AAACTGGTTATACTGGAAACCAGTGTTAGAAACTGAGATATCAAAGCCAGGAACTACCGGTAAATGGCACCTTAAACCTAGGTTATGGGCGCAATAACAGAACGTCTAGGTGTGCTTTTTTATAAGAAGACTACAACACTGAAAATGAATGAACTGCAGCTAAAATATTATGTTCATTTTCCACATGGTCTAGTCCTTCCCTGCCCACCCTCCTAATATTCTTAAGAGGGTCTCTTCTCCAGTCTTCAGAGTGTAGCTGGAAAAGGTCCCCCTTTCCTTCCACTCTGCAGTTTTAATCTGAAGTCTTAGGCGCAGTACTGAGCCCAGAACTCAGAAACTTCTCGCACTAATGAAATTCCGCAGCAAAATGTGCCTGTTTTGAAACTATTCAACCCACACATGTGGGCACCTAGAGGCATAAAATACAATTCATGTATTCTCGCCTACCCATTAAAACCCACCCCATAATTTGTGTGTCACTAATGCATGGATAACTGGTGAAATCCACTGTCTCAAGGTAGGGTTGCAAGCTGGTGCATCAGCCTATGCTGACGCAAGGCAATCCTGGCCCACAGCTGAGCCTCCCAGTGTGTCCAGGAGCAGTCCCAAGCAGTTATTGTAGTGGAATCCGTCCAAGACTAGCTGTAATACTTCGTACTTTAAATTGCCACAAGAGCCTCATGATAGTTTTGTTGCAACAGACTAACACAGCTAATGGAATGTTTCCCTTGTTACTATTCTGCTGTTTGTTTTCATTACTTAATTTTGTTACTTGATTTCTGATCAAGACACTTGATCTATAGATGTTGTAAAATGCCAATGTTGCGTACTGTTTTCATGATGCCAAATACAGTGGTACCTCTGGTTACGAACTTAATTTGTTCCAGAGGTCCATTCTTAACCTGAAACCGTTCTTAACCTGAGGTACCACTTTAGCTAATGGGGTCTCCCACTGCTGGCGCACGATTTCTGTTCTCGTCCTGAGGTAAAGTTCTTAGCCAGAGTCTGTAACCAGAAGTGTTTGTAACCCGAGGTGTTTGTAACCTGAGGTATCACTGTATAGGACCCATGAGGAGAGTGTGGGAATATTATAGTTCTCTTTGAGATTTTGCTGACAATAATTACCATAATCCTAGCATAAAGATAAGGAGAGTTTGTTGAGCAAAGGTTGGGTGCATTATAGGGCTACCCTGTAAGGACAGCAGAAGGCAAATAATGTGTAAGTGTAAGAGTGTAAGAGGCAAGTGTAAGAGTGAGTCAGCGGTGGAATCCACACACATGAAAAAACACTGTGAAAATGCTTTTTTTAAAAATCATTTTGAAAAATACATTGAATTTTGCATAGCTCTCCATCTAGTTTCACACATGTATATTGCACTTTACAACATATTTAAAACGTTTTATTTGCAGCTGTATAGGTGACTCCACTATCTGTTCTCCGTGTTTCATGTTGCTGGCTCAGCATACTGAGTGGCTGTCACTTGGAGGAATGTATATACCTCTCTCTGCCTATCCTCAAAAAAGGCAGCATTGCAACCCAAGTGTGCCCTCGTTCACCCCACTGAACTTCCTTAGAAACTAGTCTTGTAACTTGGTCCTTAGAAAGAGGGCATGCTGAGCAAGATTTGAGACACACAAAAAAGTCCCGGATTGCAATCGTATACTGACACAGGAGTAAGACCTACTGAACTCATTGGGACTTAACATCTGACTAGAGAGGTAGAGGACTGAACTGTTGGTTTTATCACCACCTTTTCTACAGCTGCTGCTTCCAGATTATTATTCACCTTGCTTCACAACAAGCTAGTAGGAGAGTAGGCAGCCCACCAACCTAAAAATTATACTCACCAGTAACTACAGTGAAACCAAAGAAACCAGCACAGGGACCAAACCCTGCAACATATCCAGATACCTACTCAAGCAATACTGTTACAGGACCTAATGATATTGTGCCTGGCATCATGGGCTTATTCACCTGCTCATTCCAATATGATATGTGATATCATCTACTAGAGATGCCTCTCTACACAGAAGAACAAACGGCTACAAATCTTGACACCAGAAACAGCAGTAGCCAGAAACCATTATGAGAGCATGTCAACATGCAGGGATATAACTGTCAAAGGAATTTCCAAGAGAGACTCCAGTGTGCAACTACTGAATTACTACAGAGGAATCTTTGTTCAGGAGCAGGCTTCACTTCCTCTTCTGTCTTCCTGAGAGACCAGAGAAGCCCTGTTTATCATGGGGTGGGGAGGGATTACAGATTTCTAATCCCATGTACCAATACCAGGATATTTGTCTACTATGAGGCATGGCTGGCATAGTGGAGGGGGTGTCTCTTGGCTGCCATTCTGACAATGGCATTGCTGCTGCTTACCTGGGTGATGCGGAAATGGGGCTGGGTGTTGGCAAGGGCAGGGCTCCGTGGGTGCAAAAGTTGAGCCAACTGCTGCTACCCTACCTAATCTCTGCACCATCCAGGTGAGTAAAAAGGTAGAAGGTAAAGGACCCCTGGATGGTTAAGTCCAGTCAAAGGAGACTATGGGGTTGCGGCATTCATCTCGCTTTCAGGCCAAGGGAGCCAGTGTTTGTTCACAGACAGCTTTCCAGGTCATGTAGCCAGCATGACTAAACCGCTCCTGGCGGAACGGAATACTGTGACAGAAACCAGAGCGCACGGAAACACCGTTTACCTTACTGCCACAGCGGTACCTATTTATCTACTTTTGTAGATGCATGCTTTCAAAACTGCTAGGTTGGCAGGAGCAACAGGAGCTCACACCATCATGGGGATTCGAACCACCAACCTTCCGACTAGCAAGCCCAAGAGGCTCAGTGGTTTAGACCACAGTGCCACCTGCACCCCTTTCATATCCAGGTGAGTGGCAGTGACAGCACTGTCAGAAGTGCAGCTCCACAGCAGCACCCATCTCAACAGCCACTCCTGGTTATCACCAACACAGCCTTAGGAAGTCTAGCCATTTTGCTGTTACGTAATTATGTAATTATCACTGCCTGTTCTTTTTGCATTTCTCTACTCTTTGACCTCTCCGTTCCACTATTATAGACTTCATGCATTTGATTAAGCAGACTCTATTATTAAAACCATTGTTAGCCTTTAAGGTGCTTCCTTGTTTTTCTTGCATTTAGGCTGATGGATATTTTGGGATTTCTTTGATGGATATATTATTTTAAATTTTTATTAGGAATAAGTGGGAAAGCTAGGCATATCTGTTATCATTTTAAAAGGAAAAAAATCCAAAGGAAAAAGACTGTGGTGGTAGTTTAACTAATTATACAATTGTGTTGACACAGTCCCATGAACTGCATTCCAAGCATTATACCTGAATCTTTTCCAGAGTGTATAGTTGCATAATGGTACTTTTCCACAGTTCCATATGTTTGAAAACCCATACATGGGAATTGTAGAGGGGGGGGCACTAGCTGGTGTAATATGTGCAAAGGTGCATCGTTTTGTAGATTATCAGCCTCTCTGAACAATAGGCCAATTTATTTAGAAGCAGAAGTCAGGCCTCTAAAATCTGTACATCATTAACTGGTGAGGGTATGATAAGGTAGAACCACTGGGTTAGATCCATACCATGTTATTTGAACTTGGGTTTCACTGAAATCAATGTGAAACATTTGCATTTACATGGGAAAATGCTGAGTAGACATGATTAGGATTGCACTGTTGGCCACAGTCCTACTGATTTCAGTGGGAAAGTTTGAAAATAAATGACTTTCCCTGGTGAAAGTCATTTATTTAGATAATTTATATTACAGTACCACCTTTTGCACAAGCCATACACGTAAATAGATAATATGCATAAAATAATAGTATCCTTTAAAAATACTTAACAAATTATTAAAGAACCAAGGATTAAAAACCTAGCTATAAAAACACCTAGCAAAAGAATTACTGTAATTAGCACCTTTAGAGAAGACAGACAACTAACAAATAAATCCCTACATGCAGGTTGCACATCCCAAATTGTCAAAGCAGTCCACTTAACCATTGTTGGCAATATTCATAAGACAAGATGCTATATCCAAAGGGCATCAGGGAGCAAATAGTTTGTCTATTTGCCCAAACTCAAACAATCTATGATTTACTGAAACAAGGTAACTTTGAACCTTGGTTTATAAAGCTGCTTGTTTCAATTAACCATATTTAGGATTAAACAGTTCAGCGTTCATATGTAATCCTAAACTGTGGTTAATCAAAATGGAAAGAAAAACTTCCAATTTCTGCACAGCCACACTAGGGGAGCAGAAGGGAGTGAAATCACATGAGCCCAAGGCTCATCCAGCCTCATTCCTGGAACAATAAAGTTTATCACCACATTCAATAGCAGCCAGTAAGCCTGCTTTGGAGATACTGACCAGGTTCCGGCACTCCCCACTCCTGCTCCCATCTAGCTGAATCAAGTTATTTTACATCCAAATATTCGCACTTGCCATTGTGGCATTCCGTGAGCAGACCAAGACTATTTTGTTACATTGGGCCTTCTGTTGTTAATTATGTTATGTTCATGCTAGTTTGCCATTTTCTTGCAATCAGTTTTCATGATTTTAAATTATTGTTGCTGTGTTTGAGTTGTGTGGTTATAAGCCACTTTGAAATCAGTCAGTAAAAGGTGATGTAGAAACTTTGAAAATGAAATAAACTGGCAACATATTATGAAATTGGTAACGTAATATATAAAGCAATTTATATACAAAAGCATTATTAAATAGTTATTGATAAAGTTTCAAGAACGGCTCATAGAATACTATAGGCTTTTTAAACAATCACTAAAGTCACTTGAAAAATACATTCTTTCAAGAAAATCTCTTTGCAAACTTGTCTTAAGCTGTCCCAAAGTTGTGGTGGTGGTGGTGGTTTTCTTATGCAAGGATATTAACATAGCTATCCCTCTGGAACGTGTTGCAAATTTGATGCAAAAAACCCTAATTATCAAAGGAGATTGTAATTATATACCCTTTCATTTCAGATACATAGAAAATAATGAATTGTGACAACCAGGATAGTATGTGTTGCTGTAATCTTAGATGACTGCTTATATAAAGCTCTGAGGAGAGCATCATTCATTTACAATTACATCGTAAATACAAATCCCTGATGAAAGTCAACGTGTGCCTGCAAGCTACTTGGACTAGTAGAACTGGTGTGGTCAAAACACATCACCAGTGATGGTTCCATAGCAGATTTTCCCAACCCGTGCCTCAACAGATGTACCGTCAAGTACTTCAGCTGGAAACATTGTGAGGTTCAAACCAAAATCCTGTAGGACTAAATATGTAAATTCTCCACATACATAGAAATAGATACTGCTAGGTTTCAAAAGTGAAACATTTGTTGTGGCTTCCTTATACCATGCATCACATTCCACATTATGACTTTAAAAATTGGCTCTCTTGCATGAAGCACATCAGCCCAATTCAACTCAGCAATTTAAGACCCTTGTGGTTCTTTCCAATGCTACAATTCTAAGTCAATAGTATAAAGGTTTAGAAGTCTCCCTTGAAGAAAAGCTATATATACCGATTCATCTTCAGAGCAGTCCTACCTCATAGATGATATTTTCTCATGCACCTCAGCCCCAGCGAGGAGGTCTCAAGGCACAACTTCACGGTCTTCTCAAAGAGATGGTGCAGCAGTAAACCAGGCTTCTCCTCCCAGGGCTCTGCTTAATGAGGGGAGGATGAAGCAGTTATGGAAATCACCTATGAATGCAGCACTTATCACCCACTATCAGATGCTGCACCCACAAGGGATTACATGAAAGCCCACCAGAAGCCAGGCTCCTCTGTTGGATGTCATATAACAGGTTTTCAGCTAATCTGCCTAGTTCCAATACAAAGCACTAACATTCATCTACTTATAGGGATGCTTCGCGTAATTAATGTCCAAATAATAATTGAATTGCTCTTCAACTGCTTTACTCCTCCTCTGATACGATTTACTTCCACTCATGGTAATTTGCAACATGATTTAGCAGAACACTTTAAGTGGGTCTGCCATATTAGCAGAAGACTGCAGCTACATTCTCAACAATCTCAATGAATATACATTTACTCCTGAGATTAGCAATTTTTAGCAGCATAAATCAAAGCCACTATGGCTAAAATTAAAATATTCCTCAGAATTCCAGGAGAGCCATGAACTTACTTTTAATGGCCCTGGCAACCACCATTTAACTTCTACGATTTATAATTATGGTACTTCTTAACATAGGGGTTCTACCACTGAGTTAAAGAGAATCTTGTCCAGGCTTAATCTTAGGGACAGGTAGAATATAAATTTAAATATGTAAATAATAAATCATGTATTGGTTAAAACAAATTGTCCATTCTTGCATACCACTTTTTCTCAAGCACTCTACGTGGGGCTACCTTTGAAAGTGACCCAGAAACTACAACTAATCCAGAATGCGGCCGCCGAGACCACATAACACCGGTTCTGAAAGACCTACATTGGCTCCCAGGACATTTCCAAGCACAATTCAAAGTGTTGGTGCTGACCTTTAAAGCCCTAAATGGCCTCGGCCCAGTATACCTGAAGGAATGTCTCCACCCCCATCATCATCATCATCATCAACCTTTTATTCGACCGTCAGTCAGAAAAAAGTACATTTGTCAATACACAGTTAAAACATCCAGGGAGATTTTAGAACTTAGCCAACACTAAAATGGGCTAAACAGATAGCCCCATATCAGTCAATTATAGTCTTGCGACGCTTAAAAGCTAAAAAAAGAAATTTGGCCACCAAGGAAGGTATAGCAAGTGTAAAACCTGGTTTTCTCCGGGTAGGGGTAGGAAGCTAAATTGACATAGGAGTGGGTCTATAAAATTTTGTCTAAGCTCTGCATAAGAAGGGCAAGTCAAGAGAATGTGTTCGGTGGACTCAACCACACCCATGGCACAATGACAGGTTCTCTGGGCGTATGGTACTCCCCTGTACCTTCCCCACAATATCGCAGAGTCAAGGACATTTAATCTAGCCACTGTAAGAAGTCTGCGGTATTCCACATAGTGGATTTCTGCAAGGTAGGGGGCTGGTATTGTCCGATAAATCTGGTCCCCTAGGAACATCCCTGGTTTTACCTGGGCTATGTCCTCTTGTCTGGCAATGTCACTCAGTCTCCGGGAGATCACAGCTCTAGCTTGATTGTACGTCATAGACTCAAAGTAAAGGTGAGACAATCCACAGGATTGAACCTCGTTAATGACCTCCCTTTCCCACAATGATTGGAAATTGTCCCTCAATATCAAGGGGGCAATCCCACTGGTCTAAAACAAAGCTTGAGCCATAGCCAGAGCTTCGTCTTCAAGGCCACATACCGTAGAGCTTGCCAGCCGACCTCTAATCTCATAACCGCACCCGCTACCGAGGGGGGAATCCTAAGGATGGCTCTAAGGAATCGCGTTTGGATAGAATCCAGTTTCAAAAAATCCCTGCGGGAGCCTAAAGAGATGCCCACCAAAAGAAGGGGGAGGACTTTCATTTGAAAAAGTCTCAAAGATATCTTCACTGATTGAGCCTGATTCTTAGCATATAGAGATCTAATCTGGATGGCTGCTTTAGATGCATTAGTTGTTATATAGTCTCTATGGGCCAGAAAAGTCCTATTTGACCGTATTACTTGTCCCAGATATTTAAAGCAGTTAACCTGCTCTAGGGGGATCCCATTCTTCGACCATCGATGGAGTCTTGGTCGGGCAGAGAAGACCATGATCTTGGTCTTAGCATAGTTGGGTTGGTCCACCCCCATCGTTCAACCTGGACACTGAGGTCCAGTTCCAAGGGCCTTCTGGCAGTTCCCTTACTGTGAAAAGTGAGGTTACAGGGAACCAGGCAGAGGGCTTTCTCAGTAGTGGTGCCCGCCCTGTGGAATGCCCTCCCATGAGAGGTCAAGGAGATGAGTAATTATATAACACTGAGGAAGCACCTGAAGGCAGCCCTGTTTAGGGAAGTTTTTAATGTTTCTAATATTTTGTTGGAAGCTGCCCAGAGCAGCTGGGGAAACCCAGCGATATGGGCGGGGTATAATAATAAATAAATAAATAAATAATAATTAGCAGCAGCAGCAGCAGCATAATTTCAAAATTATTTACACAAATTAAAATGAACATTAACAGCAAGATTCTCAAACTGCATTAAAACCATAGTGTGATGTTGTGGTGTCGGAATTAGACAGTCACTTTTGCCTTTTTATGATAAGCACAAGATGAAGTACATAAACAATTGAATTCCCTGTAAGATTCCACAGTATTATAGACTGAAATACATTTACCACTAGCTGCAAAAACTTTCCCATCCAAGCTAGCTACATTGGCGTCAGTAACTATCATTCAATGAATCCCTATTCAGACCTGTACAGATAACAGCATGTGGTAACTTCAAAAGTAAACTTCACAGTGGGATGATGCATTATCTGAATCTACCCTAGCTTATCTCAAGCTCAAATTTAATACTGGCATAAAAACAGCCCACAAACATAACAGAGATTTCATTACATATGTTTATTGACAAGCAAAGTGAAGATATTTACCAGTGTTAAGAGAGCTTCAATATATCAGAACAGAAGCAAGTTAGAACAAAATGACTTTTAAAAAACCACACTCATATTTAATAAAATGGAAATTAATGTTATGGCAATTATTTAGAAGTTGTATTATAATTCCACCATCATGCGGTTTAAATAAAGAAAAGAAGTTCTCTTTCTTTTAAATTTGCTAATGAGGTTTTGAACATCATGTAGCTATTAGCATAATGGAACCAGTCAGTCAGTATAGCTCATCCCCATCAACAAAATAGCCCTGAACACCATGCAGTCATTAACAGACAATTGAAAAGTCATCATCATAAAATGGCAGCACAAAAACATCACCAGTAACCAAAAATAAAACAATTATACAGGGCTGTGATAATTAATCCAAGCTGAAACTCAACTAAACAAGATGGTCTTTACAGGTCTACAGTCTAGAAGATGCTAGGGTAGTTTCCCAAAGGAGGGAAATCCAGCTGAGAAAACCCTGTGCCCAGCACCTGCCATCCAAACAGAGGACAAGGAACTCCTCTGAGCAGAGTCTCCCCTGCTGAAGTATCTTCTGTATCTATCATCCTCTTAAAACTTCACATTAAGACAAGGGCTAGGCAATATCTGATTTTCAACACTAATATATCACCAGCTAAACATTATGATATATTGATATATCACAATGTCTGAAATAAGGATGGAGCTATGCAGAGGCATTTGTTGGCTTCACGGTTTTTCCTGCACCATGATTTTTGCACAGTATGTGTGCGGATGCACACACACATCGTGATTCACTATATATTGCCCGGTGAAAAATTATAAAGCCAGTATCACAGTACAGTGGTACCTCAGGTTACATACGCTTCAGGTTACAGACTCCGCTAACCCAGAAACAGTGCCTCGGGTTAAGAACTTTGCTTCAGGATGAGAACAGAAATCGTGCTCCGGCGGCACAGCAGCAGCAGGAGGCCCAGCTAAAGTGGTGCTTCAGATTAAGAACAGTTTCAGGTTAAGAATGGACCTCCAGAACAAATTAAGTACTTAACCCGAGATACCACTGTATGGACTTCAAACTGGTTTTGGACGATATACTGATATATCACCCAGCCCTAGTTAAGACATGGAGGAAAACTGAGCCGCTGCCCCATGTTGTGTATAAGTTATGCTACAGGAGGACCCTATGAGGTATCAACTACACTCCCCACCTGTGAAGGCATCTGCCAAGGTTACTGGTTCATTCCGTGTGGTATATAAGATATTGATATTTGTCTCATGGCCTAAGGCTTTCAGTCTCACAAAAAGGCAGTTAGTTGGTTAGCAATGATGAAAACAGGTCATCAGTTTATCTACAGAAATATTTTAAATCTGATATAAATTGTTGCTAATAAGAATTCTACTTCATAAGACTAAAAAAAGGGAAAACTTATTTTAAAAATGCTTTTCTCATATATATTTTTGTATATTGAATATGGTACAGTAATCTGTGGCCGAGGCACTGGTTGGTTCCGCCTTCATAGTGGAGAGACACGCTTTAAAACCAAATGACTCCAGATCCAACCCTTGGTATCTCCAGGTAAATACGACTCTTGTTTGAATTCCTAGAAAGCCAGTGCCACTCAGTGTGGACAATACTAGATGGACCAATGATCTGATTTGATATGACGAAGCTTTCTTGATTGGTTCAACAACCAACACATAGTTGCATAGCTTCTACACAGACTAGTACAAGAAATGTGTCTGCAATGGTATTTGAAACTGGAATCACTGTAGAGAACTGAACTAAACAGAAGGAACTGATTCAGGTAAGATAGTCAACACAGTAGCCCAAAGGGTTATTTTTGAATAAATTTCTCTTATCAATGAGCTGTATAGAACCCTGTTGAGAAAACTGTTTAGCTACCAAGCTGTCAACATCATATGGGTCCTGAATTTAGTACTCAAGGCTTCAGACAACACATCTGGAACAAGTAATATAACCTATGACATTGTAAACTGCATTTGTTTACTTGATTTTAGGAAAAGCTTTTTTAATCCCTAAAGTCACGTTGCAATTGGAAGAACAGTCAACAGAACCAGGTTAAAAACAACATCATCTTCCAGTCAATATTATATGTTCCTGTGTAGATTTATTGCCATCACAGACACCATACCAAAGTCTATGATGCAAAGTTCATAATGTTAAAAGCCCTTTAACATTAATGAAACAGACTTGTCTCCAAATGAATTTGCTTATAATCTCAATTGAGCATAAATCAGGGTGTGATGGCTAGTACTCAACAGAGCAGAATGCAGCCCAAAGGAACAACCAGTCATTATTTTTGTCCCAGCCTAATCTTATATTCCCCAAAATGCAAGCTCAAACACATCTTGGGCTAAATTAACCACAAAGTATGATTATAACAAGCATCATTCTGTACTATTTATATTTAAGGGAGTGCTGATAAGAAGCCATCCCAGAGTAAAATTACGAAAATTACATAATAATTAGTAATTTCTGTAATACAGGATGTTACTTAAAATGAAGGAAGTCTTGCATTGAAGGTGCAATTTACAATCAAATATGCAGTCCCACTGAAATCCATGCATCTGCCCCAAGGGTTTAGGATTGTAGCTTTAGATAAAAAATATTCCAGCTTTAATTAACTTGACTACAGTTATATGGATTGACCAACTCTGGCATTTGCAACTGAGTCTTCCATGCTTTTAACATCTGCTTGTGGAAGAGATGCATGTGCCCATTCAAATACCAATCCAATGATGACTGCCCCCTTTGGTTTAAAGATTATGCATATCGTCAGATTTAATTTCCTTTTTCAGTTTAGCCAGGCGTGCAAGACATTCATCTCGCCAGTGTCTTCTGGCATTTAGGTGTTCAGGGTCAGCTGGGGTCTTTTCACACATTGCCTGGTAAGAAAAGGTGGAAAAAAATACAAGTCAAAAATAGGAGAACTGCAGTCATACCTCGGGTTACAGATGCTTCAGGTTGCGCACTGTGCCGAACCCAGAAGTACCGGAATGGGTTACTTTCAGGTTTCGGCGCATGCGCAGAAGCGCTAAATCATGCATGCGCGGAAGCGCTGAATCGTGACCCGCATATGTGCAGACGCAGCACTGCAGGTTGTGAACGCTGCGGGTTGCGGACGTGCCTCCCGCACAGATCACGTTCACAACCCAAGCATCCACTGTACAAGTAGGACCTGTAACAAAATGTTGCATTGTATCCTTCTACCTAAAAGAAGTGCAAAGCAATTTCCATTTGTTGTGGAAGCAAAGGTCCTTTCCATTCAACCAGTATATAGCACAACAAATGGTAAATCCAGGTATCTCCCATCCATCTAGTTAGGGCTACAGTTTTGGACATATCACGTTAACGTTAGTCCTAGAGAAAGAAGTTTGTACAGGAATCATAATATGTAGACTAATTTTAAAGTGTTTTTTAAAAAATAAACATCAGACAGTGTAATCAAAGTGGGATGTAACCATGGTTTATCCTGTTTATTCTCACCTGGTCCTGAACAATGCCATTGCGTTTTTTTTATTTTAATTTTTTATTTATGGTTTTCAGTTATATACATTTCAATAGTTTTGCAGTCATTTAAACATTTCAAAACTTGACTTCCTTCCTCCTCTTTCTGCGGTTCCTTAAATTTATTTTTATCATTTCCTGCATATTTTAACTTAACTTATTCTTTTATTAATCTGCTTTAATTGTATACTCTTATGAAACTGCAGGTTATTACAATAATCCTGCCAATGTCCTTATCTGTTTACAATTTGTCATGCCACTGCGTTTTTAAGCAACATAGAAGATTCCTGGTCCTTGGCCCTTTAGGCGTAAGTACATGCTGGGCATTTGACCTCCTTTTTGTCTCCTCATAGACATTGTAAAGCAATTTGTCTGTTTAGATGTCATTTTGAGTGCATCCTTAGAGAGGTAACTTACGTAAGGTGAAATACTTAAGCCTCTGCTTTTGTGAGGCATAAAGACAAGAATGGGCCTTGAAAGTCAAGAGAGACACTGGTGCCAGTAAGATAAGAATGAGACAGGCTGTTCTGGAAAGATTATACATTAAAGGAACCGAGTGGAAAGAATGAAATGACTAGCAAGAAGCTAGTTCAGCTTTGTATCATGGAAGCATTTTTGCCCAATGTGTAAGAGTGCTCCAGATAATGACAACCAGTTTGTTGAATTAATGAGGTGACCCAAATATTCCAAAGTCGAGCATTTCAACTTACCGCTGATGAAAATACAGTGTTATGTCCTTTGGGCATGTATAGTGGTTCCTCCACCCCACCCCCTTAGATCAAACTGTCATTGCCTTTGGTGACAGCCATATTGCCTTCTTATTTTGCATGTGGTTAATGTAATGATGTAGGGTGTATAACAGCTAAAGCTGGCGTATAACAGGTAAAGGTGTGCGTATGCACAATTCATTTTGTATGCTACACTGCAGAAGTGCCACTCAAAGTGGTAGCAGGCCATGAGTAATTGCTCACTGAGTCATATGCCTGCAGTTCATGCAAACTGGGCCCAGGTTGACTGTGCTGGTCTCAACATCTATTAATTTATACAGTATTGGAATTCATTGTTCATTAAACTTCCAAACAAAAGCCAACTGATGTGTAAACTGTACCAAAAATGGGTAAGAGCTGTTTCCTAAAAACAAGATATTAAATGCAGGCTGTAAGTTTGATGGATGTCATGTTACTCCAATTTGCACATGTACCTGATTGATTTTCTGTTCTGTTTTCCCTGCAAAATCCGGTATTGGCCCAAAGGTTTTCAAGACACGTATCATACCTTCACGGTATCTGTCACAATAGTTCAGCATTCCTGAAATACAATTGGAGATCTCTTGTTGGTCTTTCCTAAACAGAGAATTCTACGTATACAAAGAACCATAAAACCAACAGAATTTCAGACCTGAGAAGAATTTCAAACTTGAGAAGTACAAATCATGTAGACAAAAAGAAAATATTTACAAGATGTCTGAAGTAGCTGGTGGTTGTTACTTCACATAGATTCACTGAAACCAATTGATCTGCTCTGATTATATTAATGGATATCACCCATTGATATTTACTCCATCTCTTGAGTGATTCAAACTTGGAAGCATTAGCTATGAAATAATCCTGCTGTCATGAATACTACAGAAATATACAGAGATTATGATGGGGGAGCTGCCTGAAGCATAGTATCCAATACAGTTTCCCCTGCTTGTTTTGCATGTGATTTTTTTTATAAGCTTAAAGTAATTCAGAAAGCTTGAAAACAAGCGTATAATGTTACCACATAATGTGGAACCTCAAAAGATTAGGCACACACACAGGAGGTACTTTGTGTTAAGATAATACTGTGATAGGTAAATGAGAAAATGTCTCTAGAAGCACTGTATTGCTGGCAGGTTTTTTCACTAAAAGGATCTGATAGCGTTTCTTTCTCTTTTTAAGTGCTGCTTTGCCAAAATTTTAAAATGCCCAGCTCTGGTATAAGAACTCACTGGACCCAAAATCAGCATTCACCATTATCATATTAAGTCAATTAGATATCCTTATAGTACTTCTCTTGTTAAAAAATGTTAAGGGCTTCCTTTCTGTCTGTCAGCATTCAGTTCTCATGTTTCTCCCTCTCTCTGTGTTCTCACTGACTTGCTGTTGGCACTTGTTCTCTAATCACAAGGCTACTGGCACAGTGCCCTACAGTCAGTTCCCTTCCCATCTATGAAGGATTGTCATTGCAGAGCAAAGACTCCTACGACCCTACTCAGAAGCAAGCCCCAGTAGTGCAGACTGGACAGCAGCCATAAGCTGCTGTCCTGTCTGCATGTTCACAACATATTCACAACAACATCCTTGGGAGGAGCAGCTAAAGGTATTAATTTCCCAAATAGTGAAGTCCATTGGATAGCCTATAGGTTTATGGGTTGTTGTTTTTTAAATTCGGACCCTTCAAAATCAGGTTCTCCCTTCCAGAACAAATGGAACAACCCAAAAAGTTCCATTTGTGTAGTATCCCCAAAGGTTGAGAATAAGTTGGACCCAGCAAGCTTTCACAGGTCTAAGGGACTGGTATTATTTTCTTTTCTCAGTCAAGCCAGTGAAGTAACTCTTGTCTTTTTGTTCCTGGATCTGTAGCTGGAGATGTTTAGCACATGAAATGTACCAAATGGACTAGAACAGTCTGGCACAATTTTTGATAGATCAGACAAGACCAGACACAGCTCACGACAGGCTGAATTAACTTTGTTTTTGTTTTCTACCTAGAAATGCAAAAAAGTGTGTGTGTGTGTGTGTGTGTGTGTGTGTGTATGAGACAGCATGCGAGTAGAGATCCTTGCGCGTCACAATACAGAACTGGAAGTTTATTATTGTTTTGGTGGGTTATATATTGTGTAGACCTAGTCTTAGGGTGCTTCTATGTGATGACACTCTGAATTGGAACACTAGTCACCCACAAGCTGCATGTAAAAAACCATTTTTACCGGGCCTGAATTGGGGATAAAGCTACATGCCAAAGCAGTAATCCTTTATCTAAACCCAATGCTCCTCTTTAATGAAGTACCTCATGTTGCCAATTCTTATCATTCATCATGGTGAAACAGCTTTTACAAATGGCTTGGAACATCCTGATACTGAAGATTAAGGTGTAAAGAAGAACAGGATTTAGGTCTTAGATCTGACCTGTTAAACCGATATTCACAATTCCATATCATGAAACATTTGCCTTGGAAACTCCCATGCTTAAATCTTAGTGGAACAAATGGCATACCTTCTGCATTCAGATGCATGGTTTCCAGGGGTCCAATAAAAGCGTACCGCATTCCCAAGCCATCAGACATTACAAGGTCCAAATCATCAGAAGATATTACTCCATCCTGAATGGCGAGAACATTATGAATGTTGAAGAACTTCACAAATTCTACTTCTTTGCTTAATCTCTAATCCCAGGGATGGAGAATATATTGAAAACAGAAGTTTTTTTTTTAAGTAAACAAATCTGTTACTATTCTTAAATGAACCATATATATTATATACATGTATTACATCACATACTATATTCTCTACAGTTAGCTACAGAGTTACCTTCCTATAATATTATTATTATTGTATCATTATTTATAATATAGTATCAGTGTGCTTTGTCTCTTTTACGGCAGTGGTGTGGAAGCATTGGCCCTCCAGTACAACTTTATCAGCCCTAGCCAACAATTAAAACATCTAAAAACTAATAACGGAAGCATCACACAGGTTTTCTGAGAGGTAAATCCAAGTATATTTGGTAGAGAGCAAAGAGTCTTTGGAAGAAGCAAGAGAATCTTGGATAGTGGTGGGCTGAGCTGGAGAAGTAAAGGTCATGTATTGGGATAGAAGAACAAGGTCATGGAAGGCTTTGAAAGTAAGGACAAGGAATGGCGAGGAAGTCAATGTTTGGATTTAAGGGTAGGCAACTCACGATCGGGACGTGGGTGGCGCTGTGGTCTAAACCACTGAGCTTAGTTCTTGCTGATTGGAAGGTTGGCGGTTCGAATCCCCGCAACGGGGTGAGCTCCCATTGCTTGGTCCCAGCTCCTGTCAACCTAGCAGTTCAAAAGCATGTCAAAGTGCAAGTAGGTAAATAGGTACTGGTCCAGCGGGAAGGTAAACGGCATTTCTGTGCGCTGCTCCGGTTTCGCCACATGACCCAGAAAAACTGTCTGCGGACAAATGTTGGCTCCCTTGGCCAGTAAAGCGAGATGAGCACTGCAACCCCAGAGTCGTTCGCGACTGGACTTAACTGTCAGGGGTCCTTTACCTTTACCTTAACTCATGATCAGTCTAATGAGAAAGTTTGATGATTTGGGCGGAAGAGTACCAGAGACCAAGGTGAGACAATGGAAAACCACAGGACAAAAACTCCTGTAGTTTAGGTGAGAGATAACCAGGCCATGGAGCAGTTTTTTGCTAAGCGGATGAAAAGGAAGAGCCATATTTTTACAATGTTGTGAAGCAACATGACTTGGGCATGGGCTGAACATGGGGAACAAAGGAAATGAGTAAAAAATGAAATCACGGCTATATGCCTGTTCAACAGGCTTAATGTTAACACTATAAAAGGATAAGCAAAGTGTACACAGAGAGATGAAGGCTTGGGATGGAAGAAGTTCAGGCTTAGATACAGTAAACAGTTTAATTTAAGCTTGACATGGTAACAAAGCATCTGCACAGAAATATATGAGAAAAGCAGCAGGAGATGTGGGATTAGAGTGAGAGGGAGAGATAGAGCTGGCTATCATCTGTGCAAAGGTGGTACCAAAAGCCATGGGATTTAATGAGGAAACATGGGGTTAGCATGTACCAACACAGAGAGGGAAAATGAGGAAAAGCTGGAGATGATTTAAAAAATACATTCACTTATCTTCTATTTATTTATTTTTAGAACAGTGGGATATTGGCATGTTCGAAGAAGCGGGAAAGAGGGTCTGATTATGTGGAAGAGAGGAAGGATAACAACAGGAGAGATCCCACAAGGAAGCAAGTGAGGATGGGATCACAGGGGACATATGGAGGGGCAAGAAGAAACTAGGGTAGTTAACTTATCAACTGAGATCTGGGGGGGGGAGAGGAAAGGCAGGAAGTTTTTAAAATGTTTATTATGTTTTTATATATGTTGGAAGTTACCCAGATGGCTGAGGCAACCCAGTTAGTTGGGCAGGGTAGAAATATTTGATGATGACGACGACGATGACATAGACAGCAGAGAGGGGGAAGAGACCAGAGTGAACAGCTTTGGATATCAAACTGTATACTTTTGATTATTATAATATTTGACTTTTTAGAATAAATGAGCATTTAAATTTGATGCTGGCAGCTACAACCAAAATTCTTTTCAAAAGACTTAGCAGCATAAACCATTTTGAAGCTGCTCTGTACATTGTATATAAGTAATGACTTTCCAGTTTATGCAAAGCACATTAGTGCAATCCTGCAGGGTGGGGCAGGGCAGAGATTATGAGAAGAAGAGAGCAGAATTTCAGAAGAAATGTTAAGAGTTCTTATCCCACTTTCACTTCTTATGAACAATTATGGTTTCCACTACAGTACAACTTTTGCTTTTGCTTTAAAAGTGTCTTTTAAAATGGAATTGTCCCAGGTGTGCGTCTTCATGGCTGGAACAAGATGATTGAATGCAGACAATGCAGGTGCCTCACAACTGCTATGAGAAGCTGCTTGCATCATGTAGGCAATTTGCATGGCTTCAACATGCCAACACTTTCAGGAAACTCCCAAATCTCCTATGTGGCATCCGTCACAAAGTGCTGTTCAAAGCTCAGTTAAATCTACAGGGTACATTTCCAAGAAATAGCAGCACACCCTAAAAACAGGTTAGGACAAGTGCATCCTCTTGGCTGTTCCACAGGTTACTGAAAATTTCTACAAGGCTATCCCTAAGATATTTACAAAGCTGCCCCCCCCCATTTTAAAAAGAAAGCTTAGATTAGAATACATATTCTTAGCTAAGAAAGTCACATTCCATCATGGCATACTAAACAGTTTCTGTAGCATAACTAAGAAAATTACGGAAAGGCAGACCTCATTTCCATACACAGCTCTGTCCCTGTTTAGTTGGCAATGCAGATCTATAACACTCATAGCAGAAACCACAATCCTGCATCACCAGTTGAACTGGCACGTAATTGCACGTTCAGTGAATTGTGCTGTTTGGAGCCATTCTGTGATTCTGAAGAAACAAAGCTATGGTAGACATTTTTCTAGAAGTTATATAAAAAAGATACACAGCAATATAGGTCACATTCAGAAATACCATCCAGAAAAAATGATGCCAATGGCCAATCTGACATACCGCCATACGTATATACTCTCCAGATCATTCCATTAAAATGCATCTTAAAAACCAAAAGCAGTGTTGAAAGAAGGCCTTAACAGGAGTTTGGTGAATTCCATTCATTGGCAATTTTCTCAGTTTCTTTGTAGCTTGCAGATATCAGGAACTCTACAGCACAAAATCTATTTTCCCTTTTCCGGGATACTTACTATATAGGTTGTCAGGGACTTGAGGCAGGCCAATTTAATTTCTTTCTCTGTCCTCCATTTCCTTTTATTTTCTCCTTTGACTGACACACAAAAACACTGGATGTCTCAACTACAGATTCAACCGATAGACCCAAACCTGACTTAATGTTTCTTTAAACTCTACTGCTCATCCCTAACACCCACCCACACCCACGGTTCAGATGCCATAATATTTTTGTAAGCTCTCGTCTGGATGTTGTTTTTCAAATTAACATACTTGTGTACTTCTGTGTACCTAGGGAATCCACAAGGTATGTACAAGTCACTCCTTTATTTCTGGGTAAAATAAAATAAATAATGACAAAACATGATGTCAAGATATTAAATTTTGCTGTACGGTATTATTATCCTTCAAAATGTCTCCCCCCGCAACAGAATAAGGCCTTTATTTAAAAAGTGCTTAGAAATCTGTAAATAGCTGGCATGTCTATAGCTAGAAGGCCATCGACAAGTTCAAATTTCACATTCCCTTAGTAAGTCAGATCAGATGTTCAATTGACACACAAATAATTTTGTCCCTGCTGCCAAAAGAGTGTCTTTTAAAGACTACCCGTTGTTCTTTGTGCTTTTAGGAGTTCTTTACAGTCTTACAACATACAATTACAAATCCTTTGACTAATTCCCTTAGGAAGCAATCCTGCTCACTTTTAAGCCGGGTAAGCAGCAGTGAAAAAAGCAGCTGCTGTCCTAATGGTGCCTTCCAAAGGTCTCTCTGGGGGCAACAAAATAAAGGAAGAAAAATAAGCTACTCAGTTCCACACATTACAAAAGCACCATGAGCAACTTCTGCTTCTCCTTTCGCCATTGCTGCTGCAATGCGGCAAGTGAGAGTTATGGATCTCCTCCCCTGCAAGATCACTGGGGTCACAGGTCATGCTGGGGTGACTAGTTGCACGTCCCACATTACAGCAGAAGCAGACTTGGCTTGATTTTTCTTTGAAGTGTCGAAAGCATCTCCCACCCTATAGCACAATCTGTTTTCAAAATGAGTTTAAAAACTCAAACAGAAGATGAACCTGTAAAAGCAATTGCTTTATGGGCTTCTTTGGTTTCCTTCCCCAGAACTAATATGGTAAAACTCCATGAATGGATTATGCTGTCAGCGTGTTGTATTCATATTATTTTAAGTGGGAATGAAATAATGTTTAGGCAACGGAGATTGGATGCAACGTATTTTAATAATCCTGAGTTGGTAAATAGTATTAGTAAAGAGTTAAACTATATTTCTCAAAGGAACCAGATGTCTCTTAGCCTACTATATGGGATGCAGGTAAGGCATATATAAGAGGTATAATTGTATTTTTAAAAGGTGTCAGAAATAAAGAAAATGAATATTCCACAAGAAACTCAACTAAAAACTAAGATTAGCACTTAACAATAACAGCACAAATGAAACAGAAGTGTGCAAGGAGGTGAACAATTGAAGAGTACAAGACAACAGCTTGAATAAATGCAAGTTCAGAAGTGGGGGAGATCTTTAATGTTTCTTAGACAAAAACATTTTGAATTTGGTAACAAGCCAACTAAAATGCTAGCAAAATTATTAGGACAGCCTCCGGCGGAATAAGCGGGTGAGACCATTAGTGGGTCCAACAGTCAAGAAGGCAGTTTCTGGAAGTGAGGGGCAGAAAGGGCTTATCAACCTGGGAAGGTTGCCCATCTAGGAGAAGGAAAACTCTGATCCTACACCTCTGTTGCCTTGTGGCTATACTCATCCACGAGAAAGGCTTCAGGAGTAAACTCCGAGGAAAAATCCTGGGGGACATCTTCAGGAGAAGAAAAGGTTAAGGAGTAAACCCTACACAAATTTGGAGTGGAGCCCCTAAGATGGTTGGATGGTGCCTTGTACGCCTCCTTCTGGCAACTCCTGCAACCAAGCTGGTGCCAAATGTATTGCTCTGCTTTCCTTTGGACCACAACAGTGAGGCTGGGGGTGGGAGTCTTGTCTTCTGGTGCTGTCCAGGATTTCCATACCCAGTTCTCAGGCTTGCACCCTGGGGAGGTCACTTCAGTGCTGCAAATGCAGCAGTTTGATTTCATTCCCAGAGGCACACTCCATTGTCCCTTGAAACAGGCAGATGCCAACAAGTTGGCATCCACACATTGTTACTAATGAACTTATGAAATGGAAAAATTCCTGGAGAAAAAATTAAGCTCTAGAAACTTTTCCAAGCCACATCACTGATTTAAAACACATATGCAGTTTAACCCCAAGACCCCATGTGAAGCAACTCGCATATAAGAATGAGGGTGGGGTGGGTAACTTTTGGCTGTCTATATATTGTTGGGCTCCTCCAACTCCCATCTTCCCTGACCACTGGCGATGATAAGAGTTGGAGTCCAGCACCATAGTCAGGGCTACACCTGATCTATGATATCAAGAGAAAGATACAGGCAACCATGTATAACAATGCTTCCTTGCAATCACACATTGTTTACAGTTACACACAACGGAAAAACAATAATGGCCTTCACCACTGAAACTCAAGACAAAGAGAGGAGACTGAGAAATTGCCTTTTTGCGCAAGGAGGTCATAACGAGTATCAGAGAATATGTAACTGTGGGAAATGCTACAAGCAATGTCACTACAAGCCATAATGAACTACACTCCAAAAAAGCAGCAGCAGGAGAAATTTGTCTTTTATTCCCTTGTATCAAAAGTTGAGAGATGTGATTCTTGAAAGCTAAGCTTACTGCTGCTTAAAGGATTACTTTCATAGTTGTTTCACTGAGCACAAATGTTATAAAGTAGAATCATAGAATCATAGAATCATAGATTACATAGATTGCATTTCAGAGATTACTTTCATAGTTGTTTCACTGAGCACAAATGTTATAAAGTATACCCAGAGCCTTCTGAATGCAAGAGGAAACGAAGGGAAACAACATGAAAATCAATATTTCTCTCGCTGACCTTTTCACCTTGTTCTTCTGGGCTTGAATGAAAATGGCATTGTTTTGGAGTGTTCCTCATATTACTGTGCAACTTAGCTTGCGTCTCTCTCTTTTTTTTTAGCATTGACTACTTATCAGTTAATGTTATTGCACAGGGGTTGTTAAGAAAATAATTAAAATATTTTGGAATATTAAATAATTTAAAATAATAATAAGTTTCTGATCCTATTTATCAAAAGTAAGCTCCACTGAGCTCAACGAGACTGATCTCCAGACTAAGTAGTACAATGCAGTCTACTGGAAGCACATTCAAGTCGGTTAAAGAATAAAAATCATACATACACCAACAAGTCTCCATGCTTCACTAATGATTGCATACTGGAGTCGGTTCAGAGCAAAACCATCTATCTCTTTTGTCAACCGAACCGGAGATTGCCCAATCTTCTTCATCAGAGCATAGGTTTTCTCGACTGTAGAAGGTTCAGTTTCTGGGTGGGGAACCAATTCAACCAGAGGAACATAATATGGTGGGTTTACCTTTACACAAAACATATTTAGAAAGAAAAGAAACATATTTATGAACATACCATTACAGCCAGTTAGCATAATTTGTGACCCTTGCATTTCAGAGGGTGAACAAGATAACCCTTGAGGTTCCCTTCCAATTCTATGAAAACCAGTATTGACATTAGGCAAGCCCTCTGATAGTAGTATTAGATCAGGGGTCAGCAAGGTTTATCTTGCCTGGGCTAGATTGGTTCTGTGGAGATCCCTCTCCCTGCGCAGATGGGATTTCCGGCACCATGGAAGCACGTCCCCACGCCATGCTGTACCAGTGGCTCAGTTCGGGGGCGGCTTGTGGGCCAGTCAAACAACCTCTGTGACCCCTGTATTAGATGATAATATGGGCACACCCACCCAGCATTCTACTCACGGACAGACGCGTATTTGCATGGCACTGGAAAATAATCAAATCATTCAATTCAAACCTGGAAATGGCAAGGGAGAGCTGAAGAGTCCTTGTGGCTTGCACGGGAGACCCTTCCCAGAGCCCGAAGAGGCACCAGTAAGGGTGGAAGAAGCCCAGAAGAGACTGGAGGTGCAGTGGAGCTTTGTTTATGCTGCTCAGCCTCCCCGCCTAGCAGCTGATGTGCGGGGTAGCGCAACAGCCACTTTCCTGCACATGCACCAGTCTCCTGGCAGCCCCAGAGCTTCAATTCTAGTTGTGGATATTTTTGGATACGGTATTTTTTTGGTATGGATTGATGAGAGAGCGGCAGATGGGCAGTTTAAAGGGTGTTTAGAGGATGCTCCCCACTTTACGTGATTTCGCTTACTTGTGCGGGGGCCTGGAACATAATCCTTGCATACATGGGGCGTCACCTGTAACACATCATCAGTGTGGATGGCACTTGACAGAGTACAAGGGGATAGGCACCTTCCCTGACAAGCTTACAACCTAAAATTTAACACATGCAAAATAGTTGAGGGTGAGAGGGAAGGGTTTAACAGGAGAGCAGGGTGTGGTTGGTTCAGTTGCACATGCCTAGGTTGGTTATGGTCCAACTTAAAGTGGGACATGGGAACTAAAAAGTTTGTGCCACAAGTTTCAGGGAAATGTAGGTTCTGAGTGTTGAATTCACAGAGGGAAGACCAAGTTGTTTCCTGTCTTTCCCAAGCCCAGTTTGGGTGCATGTCTTGACAACGGACCCTGACAAAAACAAACTAAGGTCTTTTAAAACTTGGGAAGGCACTGACTGAACCTGGGAGCTTCTGAATGTAAAGCAGATTGCTCTGCCACTAAGCCTACCCTTCCCATGAAGAATATGATCTGCCTCCATGACCAGAGGCAGCAATGCTTCTGAATATCAGTTGCTGGAAACCACAGAAGAGGGAGGAGAGTGCTCTTGTGCTCTGGTGCTACTTGTGGGTTTCCCACAGACATCTGGTTGAATCAAGGAAGGGACACCAAGGATCATCTAGTCCTGTGTTGCAGGAATCTCAACTAGACCATACATTACCGGACACTGGACTAGATGATCCAGAAGGCTCTTCTTATGTTCTTAAAGCTTCTGATGGCTGTATTACAATACTAGAAGCAGCTGATGGCCATCACAAGCAGATGAGGACCACTGAGCTCTTGTTGTATTTGTGGGTTTCCCTCTGGCATCTGCCTGGCCACTTCAAGCAGCATAATGCTGAGTTAGATAGGACTTTGTTCTGATCCAGACTGGCTTTTCTAATGTAAATGTTAATTGTGATATACTGGTATATCACCATGTTTAGCTGGTGATATATCACGATGTTGAAAACCAGGTATTGCCCAGCTCTACTGATTACTGTACAGTGGTACCCCGCAAGACGAACGCCTCGCGAGACGAAAAACTCGCAAAACGAAAGGTTTTTTCGTTTTCGAGTTGCCTCGCAAGACGAATTTCCCTATGGGCTTGCTTCGCAAAACGAAGCTTGCCCCAGGGACAGCGGGTCTTCTCTTTTGAAGCAAGGGGCTGCGGGGAGATCGCTTCTCCCGGTGCTCCGAAGCGGGGTGGGGGGGCGGGAACACCTGCCCCAGCCGCCGGGCTTCGTAGCGCTGCTGTGAAGCCGGGCGGGGGGGCGGGAACACCTGCCCCAGCCACCCCACTTCGGAACGCTGCTCCGAAGCGGGGTGGGGGGGCGGGAACACCTGCCCCAGCCGCCGGGCTTTGTAGCGCTGCTGCGAAGCCGGGCGGGGGGCGGGAACACCTGCCCCAGCCACCCCGCTTCGGAACGCTGCTCCGAAGCGGGGGGGGGGCGGGAACACCTGCCCCAGCCGCCGGGCTTCGTAGCGCTGCTGCGAAGCCGGGCGGGGGGCGGGAACACCTGCCCCAGCCACCCCGCTTCGGAACGCTGCCCCGAAGCGGGGTGGGGGGGCGGGAACACCTGCCCCAGCCACCCCGCTTCGGAACGCTGCTCCGAAGCGGGGTGGGGGGGGCGGGAACACCTGCCCCAGCCGCCGGGCTTCGTAGCGCTGCTGCGAAGCCGGGCGGGGGGCGGGAACACCTGCCCCAGCCACCCCGCTTCGGAACGCTGCTCCGAAGCGGGGTGGGGGGGCGGAAACACCTGCCCCAGCCGCCGGGCTTCGTAGCGCTGCTGCGAAGCCGGGCAGGGGGCGGGAACACCTGCCCCAGCCACCCCGCTTCGGAACGCTGCTCCGAAGCGGGGGGGGGGGGGCGGGAACACCTTCTGAAGGCGGGCGGGGGGCGAAAGTCTTTGTCCCCCCTGCCTGCCTTCCCAGGGGCTTTTAAATCGCCCCGGACAGCGGAGAAGTCCTCCGCTGTCCCGGGGCGATTTTAAAATGCCGCCCGCCAGCATTTTAAGATCGCCCGGACAGCGGAGAAGTCCTCCGCTGTCCCAGGGTTTTTTAAAATGCTGGGGGTGGGAAGAAAAGCCCTTGTCCCCCCCCCCCCAGCCTTCAGAAGAGGTCCAGGGACAGTCTGTCCCCGGACCTGGTCTGAAGGCGGTTTCCCTAGGAACGCATTAATTGATTTTCAATGCATTCCTATGGGAAACCGTGCATCGCAAGACGAAAAAACCGCAAGACGAAGAGACTTGCGGAACGAATTAATTTCGTCTTGCGAGGCACCACTGTATTTATATCACTCTTCCCAGGGTAGCTAGCTTGCTAAACTGTACGATCATAGATTTAATGCAACATATCAAAGTGGTATCCCTTTGGAAAACTTGCATATAAATGAGTAGGAACTGTACTTATGACATACAAGCCGAACACCACAAATTTAGGCTTCAACACAATAAATTACTAAAGTATCTTGGTGTACTTACAGGATGTGCCACGATACACTGCTTAACGTGCTTTAGCCCAGTGAACAACTTTGAAGGCATAAGACAAGAGGTTGAGCTGCCTAGTATTACATCATTACTGACAATAAGGTCTAACTGGCCAAAAATCTTCTTTTTCAGTTCTAGGTTCTCAGGCGTACACTCCTAGAACACAAAAAAATGTTGAAATCATTTAATAAAAACACCTATGACATTCATTTCACAAGCTCTTTAGAAATAAACTAAGACGTCGTTTTGAAAAGTGGCAAACAAACATCTGCTTACTGCTTTATAAATCGAAACAACTTACAACTTTCCACTGTCAAACTAACACTTTATGGATCTTTAGGATCAACATTTCCAGATGCTGTGCTTAAGGAAAAGTGATTGCACCAGATACAAGGGCTAGTAAAATCACAATATTTTTTTCAAAGTGGTATCCTTTTATTAGGTTTGTAAAAACAAGTCTTTGATACCTTGCCTATCATCAAAACAGGTTTTTCATCTCATGCAAGTACTATCTAGGTTGAAAATAATAGCCATGTCTGTGCATTTAAATGCCCCAATGATGATGTAATATTTATTTAATACATTCATAAAGCATTTTTCGAGATAAACTTTTCACAAATAAGTAGAAAATAGTTAATCTCTTATAATTCGTAACATTTTATTTTATCTTGTTCAGTGTTCCTGATTACATAATGTAAAAAAATGATGTGCAAACTTCCGTCTGGAGTAAAACACATTTCCCATGAGGCCAATAATTCCTCAAAGTTTTACAATGCCAATTTTATAAAGTATACCAGTTAACTGAGAAATCACTGCGCTTGTGGCAGATGTTATATGCTCCAGATTTTGGGGCTTGGGGAAGAAGCTTGCAGAAGATGGAATTTTACTGACCTTTTAAAGTCAACAACCACTGCCGTTCTGAGTGATAGAACAGGGCCATTTTCGAACATCAGAACCGACTATAATGCATCCCTTTATTGGTGCAAAACAAGGCTTTGCTCGTAATTCCTGGATCGGTTCAGTCTGCAAGGTGGGTTACCTTTAAATATTTTCCTTTAGCAAAGTCACAAGGCTAGAACTCTGTAGATACTTGTTCAAACTAATAAAAGAGCAGCAGTGAATAGTTTTATTGTGAGATTCTCCACCTGAAACCCAAAGCTTTCTTTCAGATCAGATGATAGTCACAGAGGTGAAGCTCAACACTCTTGGAAACTGAAACCTACAATGATTATGCAAGGCTTCTGAATAGACCATTTGCTGAGGGCTTCTTTGATAGTGGCACAATTGTATTCAATTTGTTGGACTGGTGCAATAAAAGTTTCTGTCCTTGTCAAGCATGGATTTGTTTTCTTAGCTAGGGAGACTGACTCCCTGAAGAATAGAAGGAAAATTTAGCTCTAAACCAGCTATTAATCCGGGGCTTCATCACTTGCGACCAACTACAGAGCTTCTCAGACTATTCAGATCACCCTGAGAAAAAGATCAAACATGAAATGGATAGGCCTAGTACTGAAAAGCCAGCTCACCTCAGTACAAGTCCACCTGAGTGAATTTTAAAAGGACATTGTATATTCCTGTGCCCATTTCTGTTTTGCTGAGGATCACACAGCTCAGATGCACCCAAACAGTAGAGCCTTATTTGAAAACTTTAACACTTGAAAAAAAGGCTATTGCTGTAACCTGAATTTCAACTTAATTGACCCTTGTAAAAGCCCTATTAGGACATGCCAAATTGTTGGCTTTAACAACAATTCACTGTTGAGACTTCCCCCTTAGGTGTTTTTTTAAAAATGCATGCCCCAGGTTTACAATGTAAATGCAGACAATTATGGTTAAAAGCCATAGGCACACACTGTCCCTGAAAGTACCAGAACAGCATCATGCGAGAATTCCCAGTTAACTCAACGAACACTTGAACTGTTGTGAATTACTTTGATATTATGTGCCCAACACCAAGAAAAAGTCAACTTGTTCCAGTCCTCAAGTATGTTTTGTACCGTACCTAAATGGAGCAATTTTACAATATGTAATTTTGAGGTACTCACTACACATGAGCTGAATCTTTTTACTTATTTATTTAAAGTGTCTTCTTAAAAGGGAGAAAAGGCTGAGATCCGGGAGAAGGAACTCACCAGTTCAAAATCAGAGGTGGCTACTCACATTTATATAAAGGCGAAACTAAGCTTTATTTAACCTCTGTCAAAGACCCAATTTGACACCCCCATGTGCATGTGCATTTGGGTACACATAAACATACAGAGAGAGAGAGAGAGAGAGAGAGAGAGAGAGAGAGAGAGAGAGAGAGAGAAGGGCTGGGAGCCTCAATGGCATCCCTCTGGAGGCTTCACCCCGGCAAAAAACACAACTACCCCCCCCCCAGCTAGGACACTGTATAAGGTATGTCTATGGTGTGAATTAGGGATGCGGGTGGCACTGTGGGTTAAACCACTGAGCCTAGGGCTTGCCAATCAGAAGGTTGGCGGTTCGAATCCCCGCGACGGGGTGAGCTCCCGTTGCTCGGTCCCAGCTCCTGCCCACCTAGCAGTTCGAAAGCACATCAAAGTGCAAGTTGATAAATAGGTACCACTCCGGTGGGAAGGTAAACGGTGTTTCCGTGCACTGTTCTGGTTTGCCAGAAGAGGCTTAGTCATGCTGGCCACATGACCCGGAAGCTGTACGCTGGCTCCCTCGGCCAATAAAGCGAGATGAGCGACACAACCCCAGAGTCATGAGACTGGACCTAATGGTCAGGGGTCCCTTTACCTTTATGGTGTGAATTGGCCCCATTCTCAAGACAGTCAGACTTGCAAATGTGGCCAGCTTCTACAATCCCAACATCCCTTCACAGTAAGAGGCATTTCCCCTCACTGAATGTTCAGCCCTAGGAGGGTAAAGGCTAGAAATATCTAATACTGCAAAGCCTATGTTTGTAATATTGAGACTCTTAAGTTGAAGTCATGCCCTGGATTTTCAGAAAGTTCTGCCCCCAATTACAGAGCCACCTTTTGGTACTTCAAAGACCCAATTTGCAATTAATAACACACCAGCTGCACTATACATGTAAAAACAGTTTAAACAGCTGCACTATACACTTTAAACAGTTATGGCTTCCCCCAAAGGAATCCTGGGAAGTCTACTTTGTTAAGGGTGCTGAGAGTATCGTGTAGATGGGGCTAGCAAGCAGTAAGAATTAAGTGGGAATGCCTGCAGCCAACAGGACATCTATTTGTTATGTTGACACTGAACGTCTTTACATCCCAACATTAAGATTTGTGTGTTATGCTACGGTAGGTATTTTGTTTGTAAAAATGTCATTCAGAAACATACCACACTCGCAGAGCGAATGACAATTATATCTTTGGCATAGCAGGCAAGTGCTGACCTGTACTCAGATCCACTTCGGGGATTTTTTGTTTGTACTGCACATAATTTTACACGAGCAGCAATGAAAAGTAATATAAGGAAAATGTTAGAAGTAGGTAGTTGCACTCAGAGCAGATAGCAGATGGATTGCATAAGGGTTCTTTAGAACCCCTGAAGCTTATTTATTTATGAAGTATTTTCATATTGCCATCTCATAAGATATCAGGGCAGCCTGTACAACATAAAAAGCAATTTAAAAAGTAAAAAAAAATCATTAAACTGAATGTTTAATCAAAACGTTTTAAACAGCTGCATAGGCCTGCCGGCCTAAAAAGTGTCTTCAAGAGATGCCTGAAAGTCAAAAGCAAATATTCCTGCCAAATCCCCGCTGAAAGAGTGTTCTTCACAGTGCAAATATGAAAGGGAAAAGAATTGGAGCTGCCTGGAGGGACTAACCGTTGGTTAAGAAATGACGAAACAAAGCTTGCGTAAGTGAATTTCAGTTTGCTCAGCATCGGAGTGCGCACCATTTCTGCAGGACGGCAGGCAAGTGGTGGCAAGTACAGCAGATGTACTAATTCTCTGATTTAACTGGTATTAAGGAGAACATGAAGTGCAGGAGTTCTCCTTCAAACAATTCATCTTACGAGAAGTAACAAGCGAAGGCCCTAGAGTAGGGGTGAGGTGCAGGGTCTGAATTTGGCCCTCCAGACTTTCCTACCTGCCCCTTGGGACTCTCCCTGGGTTCTCTCCCTCCCCAGCCCTACTCCACACTCTCTGTGTATTTTGCATGGTTGGAATGTGTCCATGAACTAAAATAATATCAGCTTTCCTGGATAGAAAGATAACATATCTTATATTCTCATTCTCACATGAGAAGTTGGCCTTATGACTGAAAAAGCCCACCTCATCCCATGGGAACACTTGCAATTGACTGTTAAGACAGTGTGTATACCATGCCCATATCAGTGTGAACAGGACAGACGAGAAACAAGAACCACAATTACCCAGCCCTGTTAATTCAACTGCTGCCTTGAATAACTGGATGAAGGATTTTGAAGGAAGTAGAGGGGAAATGTTCATTCCCTTCTTGCACTACTAACAACACTTCATTTGGGCTGCCCAGATTATTAAAAGCAGGGGGAGGAAAGAAAGAGAGCCCCTCCTTATAATATGTCAAAAGTGTCTTATGGAGAGGGTGGCAAGATATTCTTCCTCACCCAGGCCTGCTACTACTTTAACTGGCCTGGACTGAACATGGCTTGGCACAAACATGTGATCGTGCCACTTCCAAGAGAGGTCACGGTTCTTTGATCCTTCACCACTCTGCTGAACTAAGTCGTGACTTGGCATGTCGTTCAGATTCCAGCCTAACTGCAGGCTGTAGCCAAGCTTTGTCGCATGGGATACAGCCGAGTTATGCAGATTTACTTCCACATTTGATCCATATTAACCACAAAACCCTTGAAAAAGTTTCAGATGAATTTTATGTGTAACAACATTTCTTACAATAATGAGATTGGTCATGCCTGATTGAGACTATATACTTCCGTTGCCCTGATTTTTATCAGATTTCTATTGGTGTTAATAAAGTCAACCATGAATACAGATAATATTCAGTCCAGTAACTATGTAGCTATACTTTACTTACTGAATAACTCAGAGCCTTTACTAATTGTGGTGAATTATCTTCTAACAAAAGACAAAGTCCAAAAATACAACAAAAATACAGAATAGGACTTTCGAGAATCACATCCTCGCATTGGAGGAATGAGAGTGAGTGAGTGAGTGGACATTCGTATCACTTTGTAAAATTGAGAGACTGCAGATAACCAAATATTACACCTATGTGCTCTTCTCCTGTTCAGTTGTAGGACTTATGGGATAGAAGCCAATGATATTTGAAGAGGGTATTTATAGGCTTTTGCAAAGATGGCTCTCAAGAAGAATATCCCATTTCTCATTTCCCCAAGGCAACATTGTTATGACCATTGTATAAAATTAACAGAATTATGACATCAAGTAGCCCATTCTTTAACAACCGAGACCAATTGTCTTTAAAAAGAGAATGAGGGCACTTCCAGGGAACTTGTTTTGAGCACTGACTGCAATCTGATTGCTGGAAGGCTAAACAACATTATGTCAAAGTGAGTATTATCCTGCACTTCCCACTGAATTGTCCAACTCTGGCACAAAAAGTCCAATCCTTTAGAGAACCTGGTCTGCAGCATAAGACATTCCAGTCAACTATCATTGTGTAACCTGGATTTGCTGGTATGTGATTGAATCCCACCCTAAAATAGCAAAGGTCCCTGGAAGCAACTTTAGTTTAAAGCCCCGCTGATTTCTGTGGGAAACATTTAAGACCATGATTACACTTTTCCCAATAATTTTGCTTAGTTAATAAGTGACAATAGGCCAAGTGAATTGAAAATCAGGGATGGAAGAACTGTACCTAAATCAATTAACATGAAGAGTATTTGCATTATGCTAGACAACTAATGTTTTATGGCTATGAAGTAAATTTACCCGCTGTATCTAGTGAAGAGAAAGTTTTAAATAAGAAACAAAGGAGAACAAAAAAGAACTCGCTAGATTTTATCTGTTTAATGTAGTTTACGAAGTTTTATGCATTAACATTCTCTTAACAGGTTTTTTTTAAAAAAGAATTTCTACTCTTAAGGACATTGTTCATGACAGGAGTTCCAAGGAATGCAGTGAAATTACCGTATATATGATTGCATCTTATTTTACTCACAACCAAGGATATTACAAACAGGATCACAGACAGGGCTAGGGTAGCACATCCACAGCAGAAGTAACCTCTGGAGCAGTGGTTCTCAACCTGTGGGTCCCCAGATGTTGTTGGACTACAACTCCCATCATCCCTGACCACTGGTCATGCTGTCTAGGAATGATGGGAGTTGTAGTCCAACAACATCTGGGGACCCACAGGTTGAGAACCACTGCGTCTGGAGCCACCAGGACAGGAAATTGGAGCAGACGTCAAAGGCCTTCATTCAGAAAAAATGAGTAGGAGGGTCCACAAACTCAGCAGGGACCCTCATTTTTTATGAGATCAAGATAATATACATTATCATCTAAAGAGCAGGGATCCAGGGGTCTTAGTAGACCACAAGCTTAGGACGACTCAACAGGCAGCACCAAAAAAAGCTAATGCTATTCTAGGCTGCATCAACTGAAGTATAGTGTTCCGATCAATGGAAGTAACGGTCCCACTCTATTCCATCTTGGTCAGACCACACCAGGAATACTGTGTCCAGTTCTGGGCACCACAGTTTAAGAAGGATATTGACAAGCTGCAACATGTGTAGAGGAGGGCGACCCGGATGATCAAGGGTTTGGAACGGTTGAGAGAGTTGGCTATGCCTAGCTTGCTAAAGAGAAGACTGAGAGGAGGTATGATACCCATCTTCAAATATCTAAAAGGCTGTCATATGGAGGATGGAGCAAGCTTGTTTTCTCCCGCTCCGAAGGACAGGACATGAACCAATGAATTAAAGTTACAAGACATGAAATTCCGACTAAACATCAGGAAGACCTATCTGACAGTGAGAGCTGTTCGACAGTGGAATGGACTTTCTTGGAAGGTGGTGGACTCTCGTTCATTGGATATTTTTAAGCAGAGGTTGGATGGCTTTTTTTGTCATGGATGCTTTAGTTGAGATCAGCCAAGCAGTAGGAAGAATGGGATAGGGTGGGCTCCAGATAAGTGATCAACTTATATTTTCCTTAACATATGTATTAAATGAAGTAAGTGTGTGTGTGTGTGTGTGTGTGTGTGTGTGTGTGTGTGTGTTTCCAGGGTCAATCCTGAGCATCTCTAGGCAGAGCTGTGAATGTTGCGTCTGAAACCTTGGACAACCACTGCTGAACTGTGCAGACTAATGGTCTGAGTGAGTACAAGGCAGTCATCTACGTTTGGTATTTCACAGCCTCTCTTGACACGGTACTAGTCTGGCCATTGTAGGATGGCAACAGAATGTAAATGGAGGTACAGAAGCCTGAGTCAAAGCTCTGACTAAGCACTGGCCATACACAAAGCTTGTGAGATACAGAACTCATTGGAAAGCTGGTCAAGGGTTAGTGTCATCATATGCTTGCTTTAGCAGTAGCTTCAATGCACCAGCTCCCTCTTCTGGAAGAAGAAGCGGGAATATACAGGTAGAAGTTGTCTTAAGCGGGGGATTGTATAAGCAAAATTATGCAAAGCCAAACCCCCACCCCAAACAGTCCTGCACATCCATTCCTATCTCTCTGAGGCCAGTGCTGAGCAGGCCTGGCCCCCTCCCCCAAGATGGCAAGCTTTTTAAGCCCCTAAAAGCTTGCTTACTGAGCAGGTCGTGCGAGGCCTTTGGAAGGCTCTGCAAAGTTGTGATGAGATCGTCTCAGAAACCTGAAAAGTAAGGGGGGGGCTTAAAAACTCTTTCCACACTGTGTTTTCCCACAGCGAAAAGAGCTTTTTAAGCCCCCACCCTGCCCCGCTTGCTTTCCAGGCTCTGGGAAGGTTGCATGTGAGATCTCTTCTGGGGCGGGAGGTGTTTCCTGTTCTCTCGCCCATTTTATTTATTTTATTTTCTGTGGTCACATTTGTAAAATCAGTCTAAGATGAGATCTACCCGTATTGCAATTCTGTCTATTTCTAGTATTACATCACAAAACTACATGGAACCTTAACTGCATAGTTCTGCCTTTGAGAGTGTGCCCCTCCTCCCGCAAGTTGCCAGTGCAGGACATCAATCGAGATCAGGATATGTACAAACAACCCCTAAGAAATAACGTGTACAACTAGGGTAGCAAAATGTATGCTAAGACCCTTTTCACTACTTTCACTTTTAAGTTTATTTATCTGGGGGTACTCCAGTAAAATGAAGCAATAGAGTAGAATTGAATTGACTGAAGCAACAGAATTTCCATTTCTGCACTTAGCTAGATCACCTATTTATTAAAATCTGGTATATTCTTTATGCACAACCTAACCACAAAGGATTCTATACAAAAGTACCTCCTTTAACTAGACTTCTGAAAACTTTACACATTAAGTTTGGCTGATTTAAACCAGATTTAAACTTATCATTTACTTGGCCCACAAACTGCCAATGAAAAGAGGTAGGAGTACCACTTACAATTTTTGGTCAATTAAGCTCTATTAGATATAAAACTTTTGCTGGAATGGTAATGACCAGCTGCTGCATAGTCAAGGCTGTATTTAGAGGCCGGTGCTTTTAGTTTCATCCAACTATGAGATAAAGCTGGTGAATGAACAAATGATTAGAGCATAAGGAAGCCAGTGAATTCCCCACAAAATTTCCTCCCTTTGTCCCTTTCAAGCAAACAAGCATGTACTGTACTCACCTGAAGGTAAATGGCACCCTCTACTGCCGCTTTTAAATCTGTGCAGCCGCTAATGAGAGACAGCTGCTTGTCAGCTGTCAGAGTACCTTTCAGCATTCCTGTCTTTCCTAGTTCTTTCAATTCTTTGCTGTTTGAAAACAGAAGACCAGCAGAAGAATTATGAGTTTTATTTATCACACGTACTAATAAAAATATACCACAGGAAAGATTCCGGCAACCTGTTTCCCCCTACTGCACTCTTAATTTTTTCCATGCACACTTATTAAAAGGAACCCTCATGAAATATGGTGCAGTGTATGGCATTCTCAAGGACGCGGGTGGCGCTGTGGTCTAAACCACTGAGCCTCTTTGGGCTTGCCGATCAGAAGGTCGGCAGTTCGAATCCTCGCGACGGGGTGAGCTCCCGTTGCTCAGTCCCAGCTCCTGCCAACCTAGCAGTTCGAAAGCACATCAAAGTGCAAGTAGATAAATAGGTACCGCTCCGGTGGGAAGGTAAACGACATTTCCGTGTGCTGCTCTGGTTTCGATGTTCCATTGCGCCAGAAGCAGCTTAGTCATGCTGGCCACCTGACCCGGAAAAACTGTCTGTGGACAAACACCAGCTCCCTCGGCTTGTAAAGCGAGATGAGTGCTGCAACCCCAGAGTCATCTGCGACTGGACTTAACTGTCAGCGGTCCTTTACCTTTTTATGGCATTCTCTAGATTCATGCTTCAGAGCACAATGCAAACCTTGTTATTCATTTATTAATTGCCTCCCATGCCAACATCTCAAGGTGGTGTGCAATAAAAATAGCTAAAAATGGCTAAACACAGCACAAAATAGCAAATACTTTCTTTTAAAAAAACCAGAAAGGCAAAAGCAATACAATACAGACACCCTTGGCAGAAATCCAGCTGGGAAAGCATGTCAGAACAAAAATGTCTTCATTTCTTCCCGGAAAGTGCAAATGGTGGGCTCTTGTTGTATCCCGAAATGCTATTCCAAAGAAAAGGGACAGACATACTGAAAGTCTTGCTCCAAGATGCAGACTTCTGTTATCTTTGGAATTTGTAGAAGGAGCTCTTCCACAGACTGCAGCGACCTCCTGGGCATACAAGGGATAGGGTGGTCTCTCAAGTAACCTGGTCCTGAGCTGCATAGGGCCTTATATGTTAGCACCAAGACCTTGAATTTTTCCTTGTAGCAGATCAGAATCAGGCCAATTGCCCATCTAGTCCAGCATCTTGTTTTCACAACCAGAGCCTATGAGAAACCCACAGGCAGGACCCAAGTACACTCTCTCCTCCTGCAGTTTCCAGCAGCTGGTATTCAGAAGCCTAGTTCCTCAGACTATGGAGGCAGAGAACAATCATGATGGCCTTTGCCTCCATTAATTTGTCTAATCCTCTTTTAAAGCTATCCAAGTTGCTGGTCACCACTGCCTCCAGGCAGCCATCACTGATGTCCATGAGTTCTACCATTATGAGAGAAGAAACTTCTCTCTATCCACTTTCTATGTGCCATGTATAATTCTATCATGTTGCCTCTTACTCGCATTTTCACTAAACTAAGGTAAAGGGACCCCTGACCATTAGGTCCAGTCGTGGCCGACTCTGGGGTTGCGGCGCTCATCTTGCTTTATTGGCCGAGGGAGCTGGCGTACAGCTTCCGGGTCATGTGGCCAGCATGACTAAGCCGCTTCTGGTGAACCACAGCAGCGCATGGAAACGCCGTTCACCTTCCCGCTGGGGCGGTACCTATTTATCTACTTGCACTTTGACGTGCTTTCAAACTGATAGGTTGGCAGGAGCTGGGACCAAACAACGGGAGCTCACCCCGTCACGGGGATTCGAACCACCGACCTTCTGATCAGCAAGTCCTAGGCTCTGTGGTTTAACCCACAGCGCCACCCGCATCCCTTTTCACTAAACTACAAATCCCCAAATGCCGCAACCTTTCCCCATTGCTCCATCCCCTTGATCGTTTTGGTTGCCCTTTTTATATCTTACTCATGTATTCATAGAAATATTTATATAGCACCGTACCACAAAACATGTGAACTTTTCCAGCCTCTCCAGCACATGAAAATAATAATAATAATAATAATAATAATAATAATAATAATAATAATAATAATTTATTATTTGTACCCCGCCCATCTGGCTGGGTTTCCCCAGCCACTCTGGGCGGCTTCCAACAAAGATGAAAAATAAACTAAAATGTCACATATTAAAAACATATTAAAACCTTTTGCATGTCTGTTGATGACTTAACAAAGATTATACAGGAATAGGCAGACTCTTATTCGATGGAGGCACAGCATAATGTGATGTCCCAGACAATATTAACATACAGATTACCCAGTCATCAATCTGCCAGTTTCCTCAACCTGCTCGTGTCTCCACCATTCTCATGCAGAGTATATTGCAAGTGGGACCTGCAATGCTCTCATCCACCAGGAGGTGTTTAAAGTTATGTGCAGAGTGGTCACAACTTAAAAGCGGGTCGTATGCAATAAATAAATACTGGATGTGGGGGAAACCTTGAAAACAAAACAAAACCTTGAAACAAAACCTTGAAACCAACCTGGCGCTCCTTCTCACCAGTCCATGCTTCTGGCAAAGCCTTATGTTGATTATTGTTAGAGCAGTAATGTTTTCATATTGTACAATAGCAGTCCCATCACCCATAGGTAATTAGATGCTTCCTCATATTACAGACAGAGAAATCAGGGAAACAACTTAACAAAGGAATTGGGAGTGAAACACTAATCTGATAAGGGGCTTTGCTTAGCCCTTGGTCCAGTCAAATCAATTCTGAAGGAGAAACAAAATAATGCATTCCTCTTCACACTTTTAAGTATCCCTTGCCACCAAACACTCAGAAACATGAAACTGCTTTGCTGAACACTCTCTCCCCAAGTGTTTTGTTTGCTTGTTCATTCTGCTGTTACCTAGGCAATGCCATCTTGGTAGTGCAAAGAATATCACATTTCTACCCTCAACAAAGAAAACTCTGGTCTGTATGGATAACTTTTGTGATCATCACCTGAAGTTTGCAACGACATGGATATAAGATGGGGCAATGTTAGAAACATAACTTCTCTGTGACATTTCAGTGGTACATCATGCAAGTTCTCAGGAAGTTGGACATGGGAATTTAAGCCAGCACCAACTCAATTCTTACAATTTAGCACAGCTGAAGTGTCCAAAGTGCTTCACGTGCATTATCTCAATAATTCTTACAACAGCATTGTAAATAGGTCGCTATTGCCACCATCCCATATCACAAGGGGTGGGGCTGACGCCAAGAGAACAGCCTCTTATCTAAAGACACCTACGCAACTCCCGATTGAGTGATTTGAATACGGAAACTCCTAACTCTCAATAAGCATTCTGGAAACTTAAGTCTCCACTTGCTAGTATTGGAAGGGACTGGGCATCTTAAACAAGCTTTTTTAAGTGTTACTGATACAGTGGTACCTCGGGTTACATACGCTTCAGGTTACAGACTCCAGTAACCCAGAAATAGTACCTTGAGTTAAGAACTTTGCTTCAGGATGAGAACAGAAATCGTGCTCCGGCAGCACAGCGGGAGGCCCCATTAGCTAAAGTGGTGCTTCAGGTTAAGAACAGTTTCAGGTTAAGTACGGACCTCCGGAACGAATTAAGTACTTAACCTGAGGTACCACTGTATTTTTATAACACGAAAAAAATAACAAATACATGGAGCATCTGAAAGGTGAAGGTATATGACAAGCCAAGCAAGCTACTGAAAGGTGGAGGCAGCTAAGGCAGCTTCCGCTGCTGCCTTGAAACAGGAAAGGGGGACTGGCGAGGCTTAGCTGGGGGGCGGGAGGGCTTCTTTGAGTCTTCTCGCCGCCCTCCTCCCAGCTGAACAAGCCCCATATCCCTCCAGTATGCACAAGCTGGAGGGACATGGGGCTTGTTGAAGCAGAGGGAGGAGCAAGCCGTATTGTGCCTCGGCAATGCTGTTTCTCCCTTCAGTGGTATGAGGGCAGACCGTGATGGCAGTTTCCCTCAGCGGTATATCACTGGTGAAACTGCCACCACTCCCGAGTCCCTCTGCCGCCAGAGTCCGGATGCAGATTGTTTTTCCCTCAGCGTGCTGGTAGCAGTGGGACTCAGGAGGTAGCGGTTTCACCAGCAATATGCCGCTGAGTGAAGCCATCATCACTGTCTGCCCCTAATACCAGTCCTGGGCGATATATGGATATATTGCCCAGGCCTACTAGGTGACCTTGGTCTAGTCCCAACCTCTTAACCTACCTCACAGGGTCGCTGTGTAAGGATTACCTGAGGAGAGGGGTGCACCATGTACTCCTTGGAGAAAATGGTGGGATACAAATGCAATAAATAAGCTCTTCTGTGTACCTGGAGGGACCAGCCAGATGGAGATGTCAGACTCTCTAAGCACTAAGATCAGAGATAAGGGGCATCCTATCTCCATTCTATGTGCTAAAATCAGAGATAAGCCTCTGCCTGTTGTGTGACAGTAAAAGGATTTATGCCTCTGTGTGTGACTATCTGCCTGCTATTGCTTTTAGAAGGCAATAGAGGACACATTGGACAATTGATCAGGTAGTGGGGCTTGTGGGTCTCACTGATGATCTACTACCTTTTATCCCACAATTTGAGCACTACCTTGAACAGATAATCTGAATGCATCCTGAAATCCCATTAGTTCCTTGTTCATCGTGTTTAGAACTAAAAGCTAACCACAGTATTCAAACAATTATCATCCTGACTAATCTGTGCTAAAGGAACTCAAATGACTTACCCAATTTTTTCCAGGGCTTTTGTTACCTGTTCTTGTACAATATCATAAAGCTTTACTTGAAATCCACCAGAAGCAAATAACATGGCCCAGCTACATCCAATGAGTCCACTAAGAAGAAAAGAGAAAACGGTTAGCACAAATCTTTTATTGTTATTTATTTGAAAATACTTACATGCCACTTTTCCAGGCAAAGCCTGCCCAAAGCAGCTTACAGCAATAAAAACTACAAGTATATAAAAATGCTTTTTACTAAAAATCAATAATTATTATTGATCTATTCCACAGAAATTCCACAAAGAGAGTTTGGAATTCTAGTAACATAACGATATTCCAGTCTCTTTCCGGTAAGCAGGACATAAATTATTCAGGAGAAGGCCAACTGAAACAATTGAGTTTTTAAGGTCTTCTGAAAAGTCTGAGGTGTAGCTGCCATTGCAGCATTTCTGGGAAAGGACTCCAAAGGTGTGGTGGAGCCACCACAAAAAAGGCCCTGCCTCTTACGCTCAACCACCTCACAGACCTATTCCTGTCACAACACAGAAGCAAAACAAGGTTTTCCTGTTTCAGCACCTGTTGAAAGCAGCAACCTGGATGTGGATATAGTTAACCAACCCACAGATTCAGCAACAGAGGTTTAAGGTATGTTTTGAAAGGGCAATGAAAGACGCAACAGACCAATCAGCATATTACAAAGCAAATTGGCTCACACCCTACTTTTGGAACATCTAAGTTTATTAAGCAGAGAGCGAATGTTGAACAAAATGGACTTGGATTTAAAATAGTCTTGTTTCACTATTCTGTAGGTTATTCTGCATGCTACAGGCCTGAAATTCTGCACACAGAGCATCCCTCTAAGTACATATGGAATGCAGAAACATTCAGGTGAACATATATAGTTATATGAAGTTGCCTTACCCCAAGTTAGGCTATTCATCTTGCCCACTATTATATACTCTGATCATGGCTCCCTTGCCTGTCAGGATTCTTCCCTGTCCTGTTACCTGAAAATTTTGAGACTAATCTGGGAGATTATGCATGTGCTCTACCACCAGTGTTCAGCCCCACTTGGCAATTCTTTTTTTTTTTTAAATGTTGTATTATATATTTAGTCAATCCTTTCTTTCTTTCTTTTTACAGAAAATGATATTCTATGCAATTCTATCTTAGATACTGCTTAGTAATGATCATACTCATTTCAAAGATCAGCTAAATTGCACAGTGCCAACAAACAGTCCTGTTTAGTATCTGCCTGCCAACGGGCATAATTCTTGCTAAATATTGGCATCTACTTTGGATATCTAGATGCAAATTTTCTGGTCCTACAATAAAATATTAATATGGAAGGCACTCCCTAGCTCCATTCATTAATTCATTTGTTCAATTATGTATATGTAGTCAATTTCTCTTAATTTTTTTTAATCACCCTTTTCATTTGCATATAATATACTTGTATTACTTATTATTATTAATTGAATTTATATATACCAACGTATACCTGGAGGTCAGGTCTCAGGGTGGTTCACAGAACAAAATCAAAATATAAAACCACAAAATATAGAATCAAAATAAAAACAACAACCCAATACCCCCCCCAAAAAAACATACCACACATTTTAAAAGGGCATAGGATGTCAATCAAATCAACCAAAGTACTGTTTAGAAAAGAACGTTTTTGCCTGGAGGCTAAAGGTACATGATGAAGGCACCAGACGAACTTCCCTGGGGAGAGCTTCCACAGACAGGGAGCCACTACAGAGAAGGCCCGTTCTCATGTTGCCACCCTCCGGACCTCTCAAGGAGGAGGCACACAAAGAAGGGCCTCAGAAGATGATCTCAGGGTCCAGGTAGGTTCATATAGAAAGAGGCAGTCCTTGAGGTATTGCAGTCCTGTGCCGTTTAAGGCTTTATAGGTCAAAACCAGCACTTTGAATTGGGCCCAGAAACTAACTGGTAGCCAATGCAGTCTGACCAGGATCGGTGTAATATGCTCCAATTGTCTTGCTCCAGTGAGCAACCTGGCCGCTGAATTCTGCACTAGCTGAAGTTTCTGAACCTTGAGATTACCAGAGCACAGACAACAGTAGTTAGGCTATCCCTGTCCAGATAGGGGCGTAGCTGGGCCACCAGCTGAAGCTGATGGAAGGCACTCCGGGCCACAGAGGCCACCTTAGCCTCAAGCAACAGCAAAGAATCCAGGAGTACCCCTAAGCTACAAACCTGTTCCTTCAGAGGAAGTGTAACCCCATCAAGAGCAGGCAATCTCCCACCCATCTGGCCTAGGGAACCACCCACTAACAGTGTCTCAGTCTTATTTGGATTGAGTTTGTTTTTGGCTCTCATCCAGTCCATTACCGAAGCAAGACACTGGTCCAGCACTTCCACTGCCTCACCTGCAGATGTAAAGGAGAATTAGAGCTGCATAACCCCACACTGAAGGTTCCACAGGGCTGAAAAGCATTCCCCAAGCAACACCCTCTAGGAACGACCATCCAAGTAGGACTGGAACCACCGCAAAGCGGTGCCACCCACCGCTAGTTCAGACAGTCGCTCCAGAAGGTATCTAAAGCCACTGAGAGGCTGAGGAAGAATTAACAGGGACATGTTTCCCTTGCCTCTCTCTCAACGGAGGTCATCATACAGGGTGACCAAAGCAGTTTCTGTGCCAAAACCCCAACTGAAATGGATCCAGAAAATCAGTTTCTTCCAAAAGCGCTGGGATCTGGTCTTGCTCAGGAAAGGGAGATTAGCAACCGGCTGGTAGTTAGTTAGGTTTTCCGAATTCAGGGAAGGTTTCTTAAGGAGTGGTTTTACCACTGCCTCCTTCAAACAGGCAAGGACCACTCCCTCTCATAAAAAGGCATTGATCACCTCCCTACTCATGTGCTCTTATTTATTCTTTTGTTATTTCTTCCATGTAAAGATCCAGTAAAATCCATGTTTAAAAATACGAGACTACTCCTAAATTCTTTTCTATGTCTCTGTATTGCTGTAGTGGAAGGAATAATCTAAAATGAGAGTACATGTTGTAGGCTTCAGTTGCCCTGTCCACATCCTCAAACCACAACAACAGAACATAATTCCATACACTTTGACTGGCCAATGCTCTAGAAACCTCCTCTAGAACTTTATCAACACTGACGTCTAGTTTGGATCAAAATGAAAGTGACCTTGTGCTCAAAGTGCCTTGCAAATTGCTCACCGCAGGTCTCAGGAATCTCTCAAATTCAACAAGTCTGACAGCAGACTATCCCAATAGGTCCTTCACCTCTGCATTTGGGGGGTGGAGGAAAGATTACCAAAGGCAATCTAAACCTCAACAGGTAGCGATCCATCCATGACAACAACACTGTTATATTAACTCGCACTAACAATTTCTCTGTGGCAATAAACAGATTCAGTGGACTTAGGATATATGTTGATTCCACAATGTACAGTCATACCTCGAGATGAATGCGCTTCGGGTTGAGCGCATTCGAGTTGCACTACGTGGCAACCCGGAAGTAACGGAGCACGTTACTTCCGGGTTTCGCCGCTTACACATGCACTCAAAATGATGTCACGTGCATGCGTGATAGCGGCGAAATGTGACCCGCAGACACGCTGTCGCGTTTTGCGTTCCGTTCAGGATGCGAACAGGGCTCCAGAACGGATCCTGTTTGCATCCCGAGGTACCACTGTATTGAGAGAGAGTATGGCAGGCATGTATTCCTCAGTTAGATCAACCAAATGGAGTTGTCAATACACAGCTATAAAAATAAGAATAATATTTTATTATTTATACCCCGCCCATCTGGCTGGGTTTCCAAGTGCAGTGGGGAAACTCTCAAAGAGGCAAGATAAGGCCACATGAAGTCACAAGTTATTAAAGGTTGTAGCTATAGCCATGTCATATCAAAGTCACTGAAGAGCAGACATCAGAACAGAATATTCCGACAATATTATTCTATTCTGCAGCCAGGCAGTCTGTGCAAACACCTCTACTGATTTTAAATACAAGAATGTGTCATGAGATGCAAAACACTCTCCTAATTAACATGTTTTTATTATTCTTAGGTGATAGTGGAAAAATCTTTGAGAAGCTTTTCTAAAGTCTTATATATTCTTAGGTGTTTCTTATTTAGAAAAGACTGTAAATAAAGCAGTCTGACTTTTAAAAATGATTTTTGCAAGTTATTTTTTAAAATTAAATTCCTATAACGTCCATCAGCTCTTGCCACGAAAATAACATGTGCTTTATATAAGAAAGTTATATAATCCTTGCATAGTATTATCCTCCTAGGTAAGCATGTATAGAATTGCAAGCTAAATGTGCTTAAATTGGCCTGGATTATGCCCACAGTAAAGTCCCATTGAGTTCAGTAGGACTTAATCTGAATTGGCATGCATAGGATTGCACTATTAATTGCCATACATTTTCACTAGAAATTAAGCACATGCTCCACTTCAGACAATAAAATGTCTTGGGCACTGACATTATTGTGAATGGAACTGAATTGCCCAATAAATAAGCAAAATAAGGAAGTATCTATCTCTTTTTATGACTGGGGACAATGAGGCATGGTCAAGTTATATTTACCAGGAATCTTGCAGATCTCAACATCTGCAAGTAAATGTGGAAGTATATTGCAAATGTGGCTGAGTAAGCTATCTGCACTACAATACTGTATACTAAACTAGGAAGACAAGATGCTTTATATTAGATTAGAATAACTGAAATAGAATTTACAGAGCAATCATAACCCATACAGGTGGAGTTTGGATAAATAACTGCTACGGTACCATCTCTACTTGAATATGTCTTATAATTCAGTGTATTAGTATTTCCATAAAATGCTTTTAGACTTCAGAAAAGGCTTACTTGAACCTCTGATCAGTTTATTGTCAGTATTTATAATAGCAAATGTATATACAATACACTTTTTGCCATATTCAACATAGGAAATTAAAGCTTTCCACATATAAAGGCATGGATGACCACACACTTTCCTTGGAGTTTTACTGATTTCAATGGTACTTTGTTTTCATACAGTTAATAGCCGTGTTAAAAATTGGCAATAAACATGATTTGTTTATCACTTGTTCTCTTAATCAGTTAACAGGATACAGGAACAATAATGGTGCAATTCCACATGAAGGTTACTAATGGTACAGAGGTCATCTACTTCACAGTTTTATTCAGACATACACTCAATATTCAGAACAAACATGTACTTTCATTCACTTAGTTTACAAGAGAGTCTCTTAATCACATATCTGACAGCAATTCATAGTCCACAGTGCAGTAGCCTCAATAGACTACCAACAAACCTCTAGCACAGAAAGAATTGCTGGTTGACCTTTGTTCTGTGCTAGCTGAAGTGTTCCAATTTCCAACATTTAAGCAGTTTCCCAGTTGGTGCTACCATTGGGCAAAGTTTGACCTTACCCTCTACATACCACTGGTGACCGATGCATAACTGAGTGCAACCCCTAGCTGCTGCTAGTCTAACAGCATGCGACAACGTAAAAGGCACATGCTCCAAACACAATTCACACCTCTTATGTTCTGCGGTCGGGCAGCAAGACTGCGTTTGAAGAGTTACGGTTGGGGTGAAAACATTCAATTATAAAAATAAGCAAGCCAGAGTTTTAGGCCTTATCAAATGGGGAAAACAGAGGCATATATATTTTAAAGCCATTTGTGAGCTTCCAATAGACATTTGATCAGCCACCAAGTGAACAGAATGCTGGACTACATAGGCCTTCCATTTGATCCAGCAGGGCTCTTTTTTTCTTAATTATAAGCAAGCACACACAGTAGCACTAATTTTAGGTACAAATTTCCTGTTACTTTAATTAGATGCAGTTAATTTAGAGGGAGAAAAAAAAGAACAACACATACAACCTGAACATAAATACATGAAGGCTATCCAGATTTCAATCAAGTTACTACACTATAAAATTATCTTGGCAAAAATCTACATATTGCTGTTTATAAAAGCTTTCCAAAACACACCACACTTTGAATTTCCATGTTGGCAATGGACTTTTTCCCGTGCTGCTATTCACCTAGAATGTCCTTTAGCTCTCCATGTGTTTCAAGGTAATCTGTACAGACTAAACGCAAACAGATTAAATGGCTTAGATAAGTGTTCTATTCACACGCAGGAAAGTTACTCATTTGTTTTGTCTTTTTTAACACCTTGCTGCAGCAACAGCAAATGCCAATGTAAGTTGTGGTTTGGTGGCTTTGAAGACCCCACGCCTAAAACGCAGGTTCCACGTCCTTCGCGCTTTCCTGGGGGGAAGGGGGGCACAGGATCCCCTTTCCCGGACTGAAACACCCTTCTCCCTCCTCTCTCCTTGCCAACAGGAGAGCCCCTCGTCAAGGGATTTACCTGCCAACAATCACAACACGTCCCTCTTGCACGGGATCCATTGTGCCAGGTTCAGGTTGCAGCACTCACACGGTAGGAGGAGGAGAACCCGGGAAAAGCCACTGGGGGGGAACGTGGGCCAGCGGATCCCTTTTCAAGGCAGCGCTTCCTCCCCACCCCGCCACCCCCCAATTCCAAGGGATGTCACGGCCACTACCATTGGCTCCCAGATAAGAACACTTCCCATTGGCTCCCCGGGTGCCCCAAGCGGCGGCTCGAGGGAACGTCTCCAGATGGGGGTTACCCGGGTCAGGGGGAAAGAGAGGCGGGTGGACGCGTGGGGCTCTGCAACGGAGGGGGGCGAGGAAGGGGGTTCATTTGCTTCTTCCTTCTTCGTTGGGGAAGGAAGTCGGCGGGCAGTTCCGAGAGAGATTCCACAGCGACTTTGCTTTCCCCTTATGGCTATGCATCCAGATATATATATGGCTTCCTCTTCCGCGTCTTTCTGGGGGGTGCTGCGCGGCTCGGAGGATCGGGCCCTGTGAGGGTCCCACAAAGAGAGAGCGCATGCGCAAGCCAGAAAAGGCGGCAGGAGATGCTGCTTTACTCACCTCTCTCTCTTTGCACACCAGGGGTCCAGAAGAGCCACTTTGCAGGGACTCCATCCCAAGGGATGTGGGGTGGTGGCCTCCTTGGCTGCGGTATTTGAAAGACTGGGGTGGAGGGAGAGAACCCACCACCACCTTTTTCTCTCTCCCCAAGAGGCAGTGATGGCCACCAAGTTGAAAGGCTTTAAAAGAGGATTAGACAAATTCAAGGGAAACCCAGCCGGACGGGCAGGGTATAAATAATAAATTATTATTATTATAAGGCAGACTGAGGCAGATGCCGCCTCATGTGGTGGAAGCCAAGGTGTGCTGCCAAGGGGAAAGTCATATTGGTAACAATTCCAATATTTTGGCTGTGGTCCATACATGTTTTCTTGAGAGTAAGATCCATTTAGTTCAATGGGACTTTGAGTAGACACGCCTAAGGTTGCAAGTGGGAGGGCGACAGAAAGACTTTAATTCCACTGATTACTCAGGGAAAGAGGATACACAAACAAATCCCCTTATTCCTCTGCTGAGACAGAGGAACGAGAAAGTGATATGCTACTAAATAGTCAATATTTACTCTGAGAGACCAGAGATAGGCACCTGTCAACAGGGCTTCTATGGACTTTTGCCATATACTATGAAATGGAAGCAGTGTTCCTTTCCATTTCATTTCCCCATTGTCCACATAATTTGGAAAAATTCAGAGGACTTAGAAGGCCATTAAAAAATTGTATTGCGCATTCTGGGGGACTTTTATATTTAATTAGTTACTGTAAATTGGCCCAAGTACTTTTTGAAGGGCAGGGTATAAATGTTTAAAAGAGAAACATAAACCCACTTTTACTTTCCTAGTCTATAGAATATTATAATATATATATATATATATATATATATATATATATATATACACACACACTCTGTTTGTGTGTGTCTCTCTCTCTGTGTATTTATTTCCTAGTCTATATAAGCAGTTCCGTTAAATGCTGTGAAAATATTTCCTTGCTCTGTCATGTCCTTTTCTGTTTAACATGTACTATTATCGTAGAACAGTAATTCCCAAACTGTTCCACATGAGAACTCTTAGTGTGCCATGAGAAATGCATTGTATTAATTAAAGGCTTGTGTGAGCCCAGAAGTACCCCACCACAAAGGAGGATGTCTACATTGTAGTGCTATAACGACTGAGTGCTATAATCATACCAGCCTGACATAGATGGCACAATTGCCTACCCTCAACAGTGACCAGAAGGAAATAAAGTTAGAGTGAATCACTTTTGCAGGGGTGTTGTCACACATGCAGACTCTACAACACCCCTGCAAAAGTGATTCACTCTAACTTTATTTCCTTCTGGTCACTGTTGAGGGTAGGCAATTGTGCCATCTATGTCAGGCTGGTATGATTATAGCACTCAGTCGTTCTCTATGCAGAGATGCAAAAGGATTACTCTATCACAGAGAAGACTACCTCTTGCATCTCTGTGTGATTCATTGCTCTGGACCTGCCTCCTTCCAATTAGTGTTAGAAAGGAAAAAAGTAAAGGTTTTTGGAGGACATTTCCTATATGTAGACATATAGAAGCTTTTCAGTTACTCAAGTAGAATTGTGTATAACTAACAAGCTTCTATGTTCCTGCACCAACAGAAGCTGGCCCCATAAAATAAAGCGACATACACATTACTGCTTACTCTGGTACACTCCCACTGGTGGTGTCTGAAACTGTGTACAGTATACATGAAGTTAACCACAATGCATATCTACAATGTAGTTTTCTTGGGAAAGACTGCTGTTTAATGTATTTTCCCCCTTAAAACCAGCTTCCGTCTAATTTGAAAATGTAAGCCACATTCACTTTGCAATCTGAGGTACTTTTGAGGTAGCTGTCATGCATGCACAATGACATGTATTTACAAAATTGTTATATGCACTGCAGCAGCAGTAGGATCAAGTCTCCAATTTTCTGAAAATAGGCACTGGGCTTTTGTGCATAGTATGCACAGCACAAATCTTTGGATATCAGGCAGCTTGTCAGCTTAGCTAACAAAGTGTAGGGGTCTGAGAGAGAGTAGAAAATAAAATTACTAGAAACTGCTTAAATCAGTTAACATGGATTTGTGATTCCTTCATTACTCCTTCCTGTTCTTTTAACTCCCACATCAATCACTGTTGTTTTACCCGGGTTTCCAAATTAACCAAACCTGCTACAATTTGTTTCTTGTCATTAAACACAACCTAAACATCAAAGTGGAACTACACCAATCCATCCAGAACAGGAAGTGTGCATACTAATAAAGAGATGAATGTTCCAGCAAAATATTGTGCCATCAAGCCACATGTTCCCATTGTTTAAACCACTTCAGGGCAACCTTACAAACTTGAACAGCGGGAAAATGTTAGAAGTTTCTAAACTGACGAGGAGCATAGTGGAATACAAGAGCCTGATCCTTATTTAAAATAATAAGAAAAAGGATTTTAATCAGGATAATTGCGTATGAGTGTGAAATCTTACATAGCTTAAACTCATCCTATTTATGCCCTTAAATTGTTCCCCTTTTATACAACAAATTGCACTATTTTCCCGCTCTCCCTTTTATTTCCCTGTACTGTCCCCTTCGCTTTATGATCCAAACCCCGTCCTTATGCTCGCGCTAGGAAGTAGGACGTGACCAAAACTGTGGGCGCGCTAAGGATGCAGTAGCTTCACCTTCTGCTACTGCGCATGCTCTAATGCTTTCCCCTTCCCGAGCAGAGCGTTCTCGTCGCTAAGCAACCTGAAGGGGTGCATTGTGGGCTTGCGAGGGAGAGGTATAGGCCCTAACGTTGACAACGACCCGGGGCCGCGTCGGTCGCCCGAGTAGAGGGAGGGAAGGCAGCGCGGATTTGCTGGACGTCTGACAAATTTCCTGAATATTGGTTGTCAATCTTATCATTACGTTTACAGGCTTTTTAAAATTTTATTATTATTATTTTACTATTTTGAAAAATATTTTCAGCAGTTTAACTCTCGTTCTTGATGTTTACTTTTACTGTATAGGAAAACCGACACAACTGGAGTAGCTAATCGCAACTCCCGACTCCAGAAGAGTTTAACGTCCATTGAGGTAAGCATTATATTTTAATAAGTTTTTCTTTAAAAAACACTTTGGGGTTTTTTGCTGTGATGGTTTGTATTGAGTTTTTCCTGTGATGATATGTAATGCAAATACAAATATCAGTAAGAAACTGATTTTGCTGGTGCAAGAGCATCAGTGATGCAAGTTAACTGTTGCACAAAAGTGTGTGCCGATGGAGCTGAGCGATTACTATCTGTTCAAACGCTGTTAGGAATTATAACCGTGGGCATAGTAGACAGGATATTTGTTAGGGGTGGCAGGCTTTTGTTGGGGGCATAATCTCAGATTTGTATTGATTTTTATGGATTTCAGGGGGGGGGGCAGCTGCCCTTCGGCCCCCCCTTGGCTATGCCCATGATTATAACTTATCTGATTTATTCCATTAGAAGTATATACTTGATCCTTATCAGTCTGGTTTTATTGCTTGCAAATGATGGTCATTACATTGTGAACCACAAAAAAATCAAGGCATTCCAAGAGCAAGTTAAAAATGTACCAACTTTTAGGACTGCAGGTTATCAAAACTTAATGTTATAAAGTTTCTAAAATCATTTGATTTAACAATCTCCCTGACAGTTGTCACTGTTATGGGTCCTATAATAAAAATGTAACTTCCTCACAGTTAGCACCTATAAAGCTACTTTAGGTAACCAGCTTGTCTACATTGGCCAGCACAGTAGTCATCTAATTTTGAAAAGCTGCTTAGTAAATTTTGAAATGAATAGAGGGACCTTTCCATAGGTAGATTGCATAAAGGACAACATAGGATATAGCACACAATGTTTTTGATCTGGCCTGAACCACAAACACAAAGACTATATTTTGTTGGGCTGTTAAAGAATTTATTCAGAAAATATTCTGTGAGCATAAACTGATCCCAGAAGAAAAAGACTTAAGTTGCACACTTATTTGTAACAACCAATGAACACAATAAGACTTGAGCAGACACTCCTAATTGGAAGATACCTCAGAAGTAATCTAGTTCAATGCATAATTTATATGTTATAACAATTTATGTAACTGGACTAACTGAATGCTTACTGAACGCTGAAGATAAAGGTAAATATTTTAACGTAGTCAATGTTTTATAGGTTAAAATGATGAAAAATGTCCACCTGGCAACCGAAGCAGATGAAGAGGATATTTATTCTGGTTACAATGACTATAATCCTACCTTTGATACAGAGGTAAAAATATGGTGATACCAAGTTTATACTTGGATATTTTACAGTTTTGGTGTGATAAGGAAACACATTCCCTGTTTCCATGACCACCTGCTACTTTGCATAGAAGCCGAAATGCAAATGTGCAGAACAGTTTGGATCAGCGTAATTGATATTAAAAAGCTTGAGCTAGTGAAATAATGTACTACTGTGAGTCTGCATACAAATGTAGCAAAAGCCATGGGTGATATCCAATGTAAGCCACACTCGAAGTCAACCTGCTGTAACTTAATTTAAGTCCATTAATTTAAATTAAGTCTATTAATTTAAGTGGGTTTAGTCTGAGCATGATTTCATTCTCTATCACCCTATAAGAACAAGTTAGTGAAAATCAAATGAAATGCATGTCTGTATTATCTAGCTACACTAGCAAACAAAATGAATTGCAAAGTTAATTACTCCAATGTTTATCTGTTTTTATGTTATTTTAGGATTTAGAGAATGATCCAGCTTTTCAACAAGCTGTGAAAACTAGTCATGGTAGAAGACCTCCTGTAAGTAAATATTAAGAATTAAAATATATCAAAGTAAGCATGTGTAAGCACTTCTAGAAGCTGCATTTCTGTTGTAACAAGTTCACCCTATATGCTTATTAGTCCCACTAAGTTCATCAAGGCTTTCTTTCTGCTGAGTATGCTTAAGATAGCAGCAGCCTTTCCTATTTTCATGCCCAGCAGAAGTAGCATGTGTAGTACCATAACTTTCCTCAGCTATTCTCCTGTACCTTTCATTGTGAAGTTTGAACTTTTCTTAAATTTGTGCCCTTGGGACTTCCCAAGTAGTTTTCTTCTGTAATCAGACTCCAAATATGTGACTCTCAGTTGTGCCCCTTGGAATGTTATGCTCAGAAAATCATGCTAAGATTCCCAAGATGCAGTAAGGACAACATATTATGATCAAGTACTGAACATATGCAGTAATTAGCAAGTTATTGGAATTGAACAGAAATGTGCAAAAGGGCAATGAAAGTTTTCCTTGATAACTGCACAGAAGTAACCACATAAGTATTAATCTATGTATGTTTCATTATTCTAGTCAAGCACTGTTCATACTGACTAGCAGCACTTCTCAAACCCAGCTCTTCAAAGTCCAGAGCAGAGGGTTTTTTTCTGAGACTAGCTACATGAGATTCCTTAAATGGAGATTCTGGGGGCCATATCTGTGGCCTCATACCCACAAAGCACATACTTTCTTGCTGAGGAACAGATCATTTTCTATCAGTGTTGACTTTCTGATCAACCATTTAGTAATACAGTAGGTTGGTAGCCTATTGCTTCAATAGATCTGACATGTGAGGATTTCCCCTGTTTTTGGACAGTAGGAGACAGTCTTGTCTGAATTCTGAGAGAGAGTCATGACTTTTTAGTCTCTTGTCAAGAGGTTGCTCCAAAAACATGACATGATGACATTAAAACAATTTTGTTTTTTCTCACTAATAAAGGAAAAAAGCATTTTTAGAAATTGGTATAAAGCTTTACTGTAATTTTCTGTAGTAATTATATTTATAATATGCTACTTTCTTTGCATGAATACATCATTCTTGCTTAACCTTTAATCTTTTCTAATAAGCTTACAGCCAAAGTTCCAGGTACATCAGGTTCACGACCCTTAGCTACTGGATATGGGGTAGGTCTTTATTTTGTACTGAAATTTACTCAGCTTTTCTTTCTTTGGCTCAGCACTTTCTCCAATGAACCAGTACACATTGCTGTTTAATTTCTGATTCCAATAAGCCTATACAGTTGCATAGCAATGGGTCTTACATTATGCATAGATGTAACAGGGATTGATGCCAGACAGCGACAAGTGAAGTTCTGTAGCTGAAGAATCTCAGGGTGGTCTTCAGGTCACATAGTACAAACCCAGGAACTGGTCCTGGTACTTGTTGGCATTTGTCTTTTTCATGGTTTGTTTCACCTGCCATTCTTTGAATGAGATTACTTTCCCACTTCAGAGAACATCAGTGTGAAGCTAGTGTTGCTTGTGCAGGGTGGAGAAGACAATTGGAGTTGTATCTTTCTCTGCTGCAGTTTAGAAATCTGGTATCTGCAGTGAGAGTTGCCATCCTTAGTTCTGTAAATTCTGTAATAATAGAGCAGTGTTCCCTTTACGGTATTAGAACAGTGTCCTCTGAGATCCAGTCCTGTTCTTCCCTTAGAAGCAGAGCATGCAGTGATTATTGACTTTAAATATTTTCTTACATTGTGCTAGTCAAAGACAACACTATCTTCATCAATGGGCAGACCAATGACAGCAGCTGTACAGGTAATACATATTGCTACAATTATTTCTAGTTTATAGACAAGCATCAGTGTAATGTATAGAGCAAGTCAAGTGACAGGTCATTATGGTGAAGAGTTGAACTTCAAGCAGACAGAAAAAGAGCTGAGAAAAAGAGGGGAGGGAGAACAAAACTCAATGAACACAACATTAAATTTAATCTGTCTCTTTTTCTAAGCTATCATTATCTGTTTGTTTCTTCATAATTGTCATTGTATTTATCATGGGCTTCTAAAAGCTGAAGGTGTGTCTAGATTAAAACAAGCTTACACCTTTTCATGTATCAGCTTATTTGGTGTATTTCCAAACATAGACCAGTTTCTTTTACATGCTGCAGAAGATGGAGGAATCTGTAGTAGGTAAGAAGCTAGAAAAGTTTCAGGTTGTGTTGTGTTGCCACCAGGTTACAGTGAGGGGTAAGCTTCGTCAAATTCCTGAGGATGCTCTGTATTCTGCAATATTTGAAAGTACCTCTCTGGCATCAAGTCCTAAATGTGCTTCTTGTATTGTAATACAATCAAATGCAGAAGCTGTGCTCTCATCACTTAGATTAATCCAAGTGATTAATCAGCCAGTAAAAGCAGGGGTCCGGAGGGCATGTGATCAGTTGCATCTCTGTGACTATCCTGTCCGCATCATCAGGCTGTTTCAACTGGATTTGGTCTGGTAGCATCCAAGTCACTTTGAAATCAGATGACTTTGCCCACAAAGTGTATTGCAAAGCTCTTACAGCTAGTTACCATGTACTCAAGGAGTCTGTCCCTTGAATCTGGGGTAATGAGTCTCTGGACCTCATGCAACAACCCTGTCAGCTGATTCCTCAAGGATGCAATAGATGCAGTAAAGAATGACTTCTTTGCTGCCTTCACCCATGTGGCAGGCATGATTATGTGTCATAGCGTGTGTTCAGTTGGCTTCAGAGCAAGAGTTGCATCACTTGCAATCCAGTCTTCATATAGCCTGCTTCGTCAACCACAGCTCCTTAGAGTACCAGGGAAGAATACAATGTCCACCATTTCTCAGCCTTTGGTGTTGTACCTTTGTTAGTCTTTCTTACATTGGAAGCCCCTGAAGAAGGGCTACCAATAATTATTTACCAGCAACCTGAGACAATGTGACATATCATTTAATGGGAGCAATCCATTACTAAAACCATTGTCTCCTTTCCCCCATTCGTTCTACAGGGGTGGGGGAAAACTTCAACATATATTGTGCAGCCTTTTGCTATGTCTAAACATGATCAGTATTTTAGAAATGGTAAAATTAGATTGTTTAAAGAGAATAGTGTAAGATTATTCTCAATACCTCTAAGACTGATGCATTTTAGTAAAGTACATTTACCGAGAAGTAAGGCTCACTGGTTTCAGTGGGGTTTGCTCCAAAGTAAGCATGTAGAGCATCAGCAGAGTACTATAAAAGAACAAGCAGCATTGATCATCTGTGATCTTAGCATGGTGGGGCTATAGTACTAAATTCTGAGATAAGCCTCTGCTGTTGCCTTTTTCTATCAAAGAAAGGGTATCTTCCTGCTCTATGACTTCAAGTTTGAATTGCCTGATCCCATATGGTATCAGGTGCTTGGTGGGCGAGTGGCTCTCCCCATTTGTCAAAATGGCCTGTGAAGGGTGGGCCAATTTGTTTATTCTGTGAACTGCTGTGAGATCTTTTAATGAAGGGTTGTATATAAAATTAATGAATAATAACAATAAATAATAATCCTTGGATGTAGTCCTGGCCAGATGCCATTCTCCATCTCTATTGTAGAGTATTGCAGTCTTGACAGGAGTTCAACTAGTGTATTAATTATAAAGTACCTAAAAGGTCATATAATTCAGAGTGATATAATTTATAAAGCCCTGCTTCCTCAGTTATCCATATAAATAAGCTTTTGTTTTTAAAGGATGGTGTTGCTCGACCGATGACAGCAGTGCAGGCAGCAGGTTACACCAAAGCAGTTTCCAGAGGTACAGTTTTAGAAGAATCCTTGACAAGAATAGGTTTTTTTAAAGCCTTGGGAAGGCACTTTCTTACAGTTCACACTGTTTACTAATCTGCAGGTTCTGTATTTGATCCTCTTGGTCAAGCAAGGGGACCAGCTCCTCCCCTAGAAACAAAGAATGAAGATAGGTATGTGGACAATGTTTGACTTTTGTTGTTAAATGCTTCAGATCTGTTTTGTTGTTGTTGTTCAGTATTTTTTCATTAAGATTCCACCATTTGTGTATCCGGATTCTGAAGAGAAAGAAAAGAATTTGATGAGAAGAGGCTTTTTGCTGTGCCTTTATTTTTCTTAGGTTGCTACAATATGGCTTTGATAATGTAGCAGTGGTCCTGGGTTATCTCACCATATGGTCAGTTGTACAAAGTTTAACTTGCTTTCTGTGAGAAAGTGCTTTGCTGTCACGTTTTGATTTTTTAATATATAAGCTAAAAAGTTAACAACAGAGCTGCCTTTAGCTATATATCTACTAGCATGCATGAATTCAAAAATATATTATTTACATGTTGGTGGATCTGCAGACATAAATCGGAACGAGGTTGGCCAGCTTTGCACAATAACAGCAGAATCTTAAAGCAGCCAAAAATAACAGGGCTTCGGCAGCTTCTTTTAATTTCTTCTTCCTAGACCACCAAGTAAGGCATGCCTTTTAATGATCAAATGTGTTGTGATTTAGCATCATCAATATTTATTAAATTTTGATAGTGTTCCATTACAATGTTCCTTGTGAGGCTGATGATACAGAATTAAACAATGGCTGCAGTACAAAAATAAGGATCTAAATCAACGTTTATAAAATATTTCCCATGGCAAACAGATGCAAAGGCTCAGCACCAAGCTAATTGTAGAAAGGAACTGAATGATTATCCTCAAGGGTTCTGTTCTGATTCAAAATCAGAGTGACATGGTAAAAGTAAAAAATATTTTTAATGTAGGGAATAAAGCAGTTTGTAGCAACTAAGGGTCACATCAGTCTTTATATTTTATTTATTCCTTTTTGTATTCCTGAGGCTTATAAGATTATTTAAAAAACTACAATAATATGATGTATGCAATTGCAATAATAATAGCAACTTAAAAAAGAAATGGCATCATCAAAAGTTGGAAGATTAAAATACAAGTCAGAACAGAGATGAGAATAAAACAATTATTCCAATTCCAGAAATCTTTCAGGTGCCAGGTGATATCCCCCCCCCCATCTGTGGGTTGGAACCAAGGAAGTGCAAGCTGATTTCTGCTCATGCAACAGGGTGTTCTCACTGAAATATGCTTTTGAGGATGGGGGACCCTCCAGAATGGCTTGGGATGGAGAGTAGGGTCCTGCAGTGTGAAGGAAGCATCACTGGAATTGGAGGAGGGGCACATTTCATGGGTGGAAGTGCCTTTTGGCTCATGCAAAGCACATTTGAACCCAACCCCTTGATGGTAGCAGGCAAACGCCTACATCTGAAGAGGGTATTCTATAAATGTACCACCAGAGAAGACTCCCATCACCAGGGCTTAGTCAATAAATAAATAAAAAAAGGCACACATTACCAATAGTGTTTAATTTTTGTCATGGTGTTTGTGAATCTTCATGATAATTTGATTCCATTGTGTTCCCTAACTTTAGTCCAGAGGGAAAGATAAAGCAGTTGGAAAAAAAAGTGAACGAGTTAGTTGAAGAAAGCTGCATTGCTCACAGTTGTGGAGACTTAAAGTTGGTAAGTCATAGCCTTTCATTTAAGCTGCTGCTTTCAGCTTAGTTGGCATACTGATAGCTGAAGCATATGAGATGGCTGCCACAAAGAAGCATTCCGTGAACATCCCATAACATAGGAAGTCATTTGCCACACAAATTGGCCCATTCATTTGTTAGAGATAACACAGTGGTGGTGCACTTGTGCAGAGCCATCAATCGCTGACTCCCTTGCGTTAAGATAGACTTATATGCAAGTATGTTTATATGTGATGGATTGTACATGAAACACTTAAATTGACTAGCACTTCACCACTGGCCACTGGCCTGTCTATTTCAGACACAGTACATTTCCTCCTGGAAGAAATGCAGCGTGTTTCTGTTCTCAAAATGCACTTCTTAGAACCCAGGCCATGGAAACTCTCCTGGCTATTTAGTGTTGTTAAACTATATAGAGACAGATGTAGATTGTTTACTAGCTCCCTGGTGTGTGTGTACTTGTCCCTAAAGAAACACTATTGAATTTAGCCAGAAAGTACAATGAGAGCTGCAATTTCTACTATATCTCCAATTTGATCATTCTTTCTATGTGAATATGCTGTTTCTTGTTCTTTTACTGTTCTTCCGCTTATTGTCTTTATGTACGCTATAAAAATATGTTTGTATAAGTGAAAATAAATTGTTTCATACAGTATTTTCTAAAGAAGGGCAGAAGGTGCTACTGAAATGTGATTTGTTTCTTTAAGGCTCTTGAAAAGGCGAAAGATGCTGGAAGAAAGGAAAGAGCTTTAGTAAGACAACGTGAACAAACTATGTCTCCTGCCAACATCAACCTAGATCTTACTTACACTGTAAGTACTTGTCTATTTAGCAGATCAGATTCTGTCCTACCCTTTCTCAAGGACTTGAGGAAGGTAATGACAGTTCAGGGGGGGAAATATATACAAGAAGAACAGTATTCCAGTTTATCAAACAGAGTGCATGTCTAAAATGTGAAGAATGGTGATACTCACATGTGAATGCTGACACTCGGATGAATTTTGTAAATGCCTAAAATTAGAACTATACATTGTCCTGCCTCTAAAATGTTAATCCAGCCACCTGGGATCTAGGGGGATTTAGTGAAGGAAGGGAGGGAGGCAATGCATCCCTGAAATTCTGTCTTCTCCATAGTGAAGCCAGTTGCTGGTGTCGTTGTTCCATTATGCTGCTGCTGCTGCTTCTGGCTCCTCCAGGGGGGAAGCTAATCTCTTGCTGCTGTGCTGACTGATGCATCTTTTGTGATTATGAAATTCAAAGTTGGTTGTTTTTATCATATGATATAAATGTTCTCACTTATTTTCTTTCAGGTTCTCTTTAATTTGGCCAGCCAGTACTCTGCTAATGAAATGTACGCAGAAGCATTAAATACCTATCAGGTCATAGTGAAAAACAAGATGTTTGTCAATGGAGGTAGGTTACATCCACAAAGCCCAAACATTCAAATCAGTTATTGGGTACATCCTAGGAGATGGAGACTCTTGGTCAGTGTCTTTAATTTGCAGTCAAACGAGTGAGAAGTGAGAATCAGTGGGATCTCCTGATCTAACTCTGAATTCTGATTGTGTTATTGTGATTAGTTTGAAATCTGAAGTCGTATATATTTGTACAGTGGTGCCCCGCAAGACGAACGCCTCGCAAGACGGAAAACCCGCTAGACGAAAGGGTTTTCCGTTTTGGAGGCGCTTCGCAAAACGAATTTCCCTATGGGCTTGCTTCGCAAGACGACAGCCCATAGGGAAATCTCCGGGACAGCGGGGAAGCGCAGCGCGTCTTCCCCACTGTCCTCGGACCTCCTCTGAAGCCTGGCGGCGGGGCGGGAACACCTCCTCCCGCCGCCGCCGGGCTTCGGAAGGCTCCTCCGAAGCCGGGTGGTGGGGCGGGAACACCTCCACCCGCCGCCGGGCTTCGGAAGGCTCCTCCGAAGCCGGGCGGCGGGGAGGGAACACCTCCCCCCGCCGCCCGGCTTCGGAACGATGCTCCGAAGCCGGGCGGCGGGGCGGGAACACCTCCTCCCGCCGCCCGGCTTCAGAACGATGCTCCGAAGCCGGGCGGCGGGGCGGGAACACCTCCCGCCGCCGCCCGGCTTCAGAAGGCTCCTCCGAAGCCGGGCGGCGGGGCGGGAACACCTTCTGAAGGCTGGCGGGGGGCAAAAGTCTTTGTTCCCCCCTGCCTGCCTTCCCGGGAGAGCGGAGAAACGCAGCGCGTTTCTCCGCTGTCCCAGACGGCTTTTGAAGGCAGGCGGGGGGGGAGCAAAGACTTTCGCCCCCCGCCCGCCTTCAGAAGAGGTCCTGGACCTCTTCTGAAGGCTGGCGGGGGGCAAAAGTCTTTGTCCCCCCTGTCTGCCTTCCCAGGGGCTTTTAAATCACCCCGGACAGCGGAGAAGTCCTCCGCTGTCCCGGGGCGATTTTAAAATGCCGCCCGCCAGCATTTTAAGATCGCCCCGGACAGCGGAGAAGTCCTCCGCTGTCCCGGGGTTTTTTAAAATGCTGGGGGTGGGAAGAAAAGCCCTTGTCCCCCCCCCCCCAGCCTTCAGAAGAGGTCGGGGGACAGACTGTCCCCGGACCTGGTCTGAAGGTGGTTTCCATAGGAACGCATTAATTGATTTTCAATGCATTCCTATGGGAAACCGTGCACCGCAAGACGAAAAACTCGCAAGACGAAGAGACTTGCGGAACGAATTAATTTCGTCTTGCGAAGCACCACTGTAAACTTACAAATACTGTACAGGTGCCAAATACTGGTTGCTTTCAGCTAAGATAACTTTATGCTGCTATAGTTTGTTTCCTGCAAAAATAATTTGATAAATTCACAACCTCCCTCTTTTCAAAGTCACGTTTATTCCAAACACAAATGCACTTTTGGAGTCAATTCAGATTTTCCTGTTAGGTTAAAACATGCAGAAAAAGGTACTGGGAACAAGTCCAAACCCACCCCAGCCTGCATGCTCCCCCCTGCGCTGCCACTGCTCCCCACTTTCCCTTGGTAGAAGCCAAGTTAAGAGAGTAGATTCAAGCTAGTTTTGTGCTGGGCAAGAAGTTGCTTTTTACTCAAGTAGAATGGGCAACAGGAGAGTTTATGCTATCCTAAGGCCTGCTACTACACTCCTTAACCTGGCAGAAAATGAACCAAACTTTTTTTATGCCATTGCTTGTTGCCACCAATAGTAGTTTCCCATTTCAAGCAATCACATAATCATTTCGCCAGCAGATTGCTCATCCTTGCCCAGTAATTTAAAGGCTGCAGATTCATCTGTATCCAAGGTATAGATTTTCTGCATGTAACCCGAGTAAAATCCTGTGCGAGTCATGGGATACATCTGTGTCTCATTCTGTGCATTGTTTAATAGGCATGCTGAAGGTGAACATGGCAAATATTTATTTGAAGCAGAGAAACTATTCAAAAGCTATCAAATTTTACCGAATGGCTCTGGATCAGATTGCAAGTGTCCATAAAGAAATGAGGTGAGTTCCAACGAGAATAACTTTGACATTGTTTGCTAATAATAATGTGATAAAAACAGTTAGAAAAAACTTTATAATAAGTTATAAAAACAAATATTGCCTAAGCAGGTCCACCAAGCTTGGCTTCTTGCTATTTTTTGGAGGCTAGTTCAGACGTTTCTGTGTAGATGGGTTTTCAATTGATTTAACTTCTGTCTTTGTTTTATCTTGGGCCAAAGTTTACATGATAGAGGCAGTCATGCTTGTGCATTCACCTATCTGCCCTGTTCATGTATAAAGTTGAGAGGAGGACTGTCTAACATTAACAATATACAAATTTAGTATTTATTATTACACAAATAAAATAAATAAATAAATAGCATTAACATCAACACGTTCACATGGATGAGAGCCAGGTTGCACTCTTGTTGCATCTCCATCTTACTTCCCTGTGTTCCATTACTCTGGGCATTTTTCTTCCACTCTGCTAGCAGTGAGCCAGGCTGGGAAATACCGTATTTTTTGCTCTATAAGACTCACTTTTTCCCTTCTAAAAAGTAAGGGGAAATGTATGTGCATCTTGTGGAGCGAATGCACGCTGCGCAGCTATCCCAGAAGCCAGAACAGCAAGAGGGATTGCTGCTTTCACTGCGCAGCAATCCCTCTTGCTGTTCTGGCTTCTGAGATTCAGAATATTTTTTTTCTTGTTTTCCTTTCCAAAAACTATGGTCTTATGGTCTGGTGCGTCTTATAGAGCGAAAAATACGGTAGTTCCTCAAGGGAGGTAAAGTGGGGAAAGTTTCATCTCCACTCACAGTCTGCCCCTTTTAATATAAATTATTGTCATTATAATCACCATCTCCCTACCCTACACCTCTATTTATGGTTAAATGGGGCTGACACATGGCTGTTTTTGGCCTAGTTTGGCCCTTGGCTAGTTGCTGTTTTATTGTTTATAATATTGATTACATTGTTTAAATTGCATTCATTGCATTTGACCTGAAGTGTAAGCCGAACTGCTAGTAGTATTTTTAAATCTACTCTTGTACGATAAGGTTCTAATGATTATTTACTTATTTAGGATTAAAATAATGCAGAACATTGGAGTTGCATTTATTAAGACTGGCCAATATACAGACGCCATTAGCTCATTTGAGCACATTATGAGCACATTGCCAAACCTAAAAGCAGGCTTCAACTTGATCCTTTGCTATTTTGCTACTGGAGACAGAGAACAAATGAAAAAGGCTTTCCAAAAATTAATTGCGGTGCCACTGGGAATTGATGATGACGACAAATACATTTCACAAGGAGTAAGTAGGAGCAAAGTTATATCTCCAATTCATAGAGCAAGTAAGCTTGAGATGTTGATTACAGGGGTTCTTTGTTGGTATATTCCAGTGGTAGTGTTGGTTCAAATCCCACATGTGCCATGCTGAGGGGGGGATGAGCTGCTTAGCTTAGGGCTGTTGGTCTAGGGCAGGGGTGGAGGCCCTTGAGCTGGGGGAGGGGCCACATCTCTTCCCTTTGATACTCCCCCCCCCCCGCCCAGGCCACAACCCTCACTGCCCTAGTTTGAATGCTTTCGGGTGAATGGATTGCAGTTCTGAACTGTGATGATGCCTCTTGCTTGTCTGTGGAAGGGATAACGTGTTTAGAAACTCCAACTTTTGCATAGTTGCAATGCAGTCTATTGTAGTTCTTTCGGCATTCTGTTACCAACAGCGACCAGCCAGATGCCACTGAGAAAACCATAAGCATGGCATACAAGCAACAACTCTTTCCTCTTGTTGTCCCCTTTGGGGGGGAAAAGTTATTATTTTTCTGATAGAAAATATGGCATGTAATGTACTGTAGTTTACAGTCTGTTCTAATATGTATATGTGGGTTTGTATACATCCTCATCTGCTGTTGATGTAGGTGTAGTGAATAGACATTTATTTGCCTCATTTAGGATGATCCACATACAAACCTACTGATTGAAGCTATTAAAAATGACAGCTTGCGGCAAATGGAGCGTGAAAGGTAAAGTTTGAAGTCCTTTCAAAGTTGCACCATCACGGTGTGTTCTATGAATGTGTGGAACAGCTGAACAGAGGTCTGGTCTAGATTACTGATTAAGCAAATGTTCAACTCCCACCTTTTTTTTCTTTGCCATCCCTGTTTTTCTATGTAACTTCAAGTACCCATGTTCAGTCCTATTTGAGCTTTTTGTTTAGCTTTGCTTTTCTGTTTTTATTTTTTACACTTCTGCAAACATATGGTTTTCCCCAAGTCCCTCCTGTGTGTGGATGGTACTTCTTTGTCTACATAAGGATCCAGACTCAAAGAATGAGTTCACTGTTACCATATAGGATGTAGACACTACTACTGTTAATGCATCTGATGACGTGCTCTATATAGTTCACAAATGCTTATGCCATAATATATCCATTAGTTTTTAAGGTGCCACAAGACTCTTGGTGTTGTGTTCTGCTTCTATATGTCTGTGATATTTGTTTGAAATAATTTCTTATGCTTTAAAGGAAAGCTACAGCAGAAAAGTATATCATGACGGCTGCTAAACTAATTGCTCCAGCGATTGAAACATCATTTGCTGTAGGCTATGATTGGTAGGTGGCATTTTTTTCAGCTGAGTTGCCTTTCTCAGATCAGCAGTTCACCAACTACAGCCTGTAGTAGTTTGGCCCAAGCTATGTATACCATTTTCTGCTTGTATTACATTTCACCAAAGCAACTATCTGTAAACAAATAATAAATGTCCATAAAAACGGCAAAAGTAGTTTCTTTCCCAAATCAGTTTTATCTTAAACAGCAAATGCAGTAAATAAAGAGTTCACTTGTAATATGTTGCATTACAAGTGAACTCTTTATTTACTGTGTTTGCTATTGTTTAAGATAAAACTAATTTGGGAAAGAAACTGCTTTTGCCAATTATATGGATGTTTATTGTTTGTTTACAGATAGTTGCCTTGGTGATATTATCTTGTGTTGATTGCAGTAATCATTGTATCACCACCCTGTTCATTGTTTTCTTCTATTACAGTTCATCATTTTAAAATGTGACAGTTCCTAAAGGTTTAAATGTTATGCTCTTAATTCAGCAACCACGTGATTTTCTCCCTAGGGTTACAGTGAAACAAGTCACAGTTCATTCATAGTATACAGTAATTGCCTGTCAGACCTCCAGAGTGTAAATCCTAATCTGAGAAGTGGTACTATAGGTAGTGGCTCAGAATGAGAGCTGTGAGCTAGGAAATCCCTGGTTCAAATCACACCACAGCCATAAACGTCCTCATTGGCCTTTGGCAAGCAGCTATCGCTCAGTCTCAGTCTGAAGTATAGTAGTATTGCAAATAGTAATAATACTGAGCCACCATACAGCCAGGCCTGTGGAATTTTTCACTTGCCAAGATAGACTCAGTGCATTAGCCAGTTAATAGACCACCAAGAGTATAATAAGCCCCTGTTGCCTGTTTGCAACTGTAAACAAGCACGTAGTTTGTTTGGATCCTAAAATCGATATATTGGATTCGCCTGTAACTGATGCTTGGCAAAAACTGTACAGTTGCTTTCTTGACTTGGAGAGGTTCACTGCAACCAAGAATTTCTCTGTGGTTTTTTTTATTCTGTTCCAGGTGTGTAGAAATGGTAAAAGCTTCTCAGTATGTGGAGTTAGCCAATGACCTGGAAATCAATAAAGCAATTACATATTTGAGGCAAAAGGACTTTAATCAGGTATGATCGTGTACATAGCTTCCCCCTCATTTTATCCTTACAACCACCCTGTAATGCAGATTAGGCTGCAAATGTCTGATTACCCCAGCCACCTTGATAATCTGTGTTCTAAGCAGTGGCATTTGCCACCAATCACTACTTGTTTTCACATGATAGATGGCCATCCAATCTCTGCTTAAAAACCTCCAAGGAAGAAGAATCCACCACCTCTCATGGGAGTCTGTTCCATGGTCGAACAGCTCTTACTGTCAGAAGGTTCTTCCTGATGTTTAGTCAGAATCTCCTTTCTTGTAACTCGGATCCTTGCTGTTATTCCAGGTAGCCAGTGGGAAAATTTTTGCTGTGCTCCTAAGCTTGCCTCTAACTACTGCAAGGTCCAGGGCAAGCTGCACTCACTCTTGCCCTTGTTAACAAGTGATACCATAATGAAATATAAAAAGTGTGCCATCTACACACTGATACTATAGGAATACTGTGGTTGACAATGAGATAGTGGGAAAATCAACTGGCTATATTTGACTGGTTCTTTGACCAAAGTGCCAAATCTTGATAAGATTGGTTTGTGTAATGTGTCTGTCCTAAATGTTCCTCTTCCACTCATACATTTAATTTATTGGTGTTCAGCTCAGTTTATCTCTATGTTTATCAAAATGTTACTTTTCCTTTCCTTTTAATTATTCCTTTCCTTCTTTTGTACTATCTCTCCCATGTTGTTTGGTACTGTAAGTATGAAGAGGTAGGTACTATACCAATACCTATTACAAGATGAAATTTGCGTAGGTTTAGTGTAGTTTGTCAGTCTTTCAAAGAATCGGCAGCACTTAATGACTGGGTAAAGATGAATTGTCCCTTGCATTCTCTTCTGCAGCTCAAGCCCAGCTTTCCCCACCTAAATATGGCATTAACTGTCCAGGGAACTGAATGTTGATTCAGCAGTCATGTTTATTAGGGTTACCATACATTCAGAATTTCCAGGACATAGCTGGGATTCGGGATGGAAGTGTAGATTCTGGCAAATGTCCTTTAAAATAGCTCAAAACTAAAAAAAAAAAAAGGTTGCATGTACATTTATTATTTATTTACTTTATAATACAGTGGTACCCCGCAAGACGAATGCCTCGCAAGACGGAAAACCCGCAAGACGAAAGGGTTTTCTGTTTCGGAGGCGCTTCGCAAGACGAATTTCCCTATGGGCTTGCTTCGCAAGACGAAAGCCCATAGGGAAATCTCCGGGGACCTGTTTTAAATTGCTGGCGGTCGGGAGCAAAGACTTTCGCCCACAGCCGGCCTTCAGAAGAGGTCCTGGACCTCTTCTGAAGGCCGGCGGGGGGCAAAAGTCTTTGCTCCCCCCCGCCTGCCTTCCCGGGACAGCGGAGACTTCTCCGCTGCCCCGGGCGATCTTAAAATGCTGGCGGGCGGGAGCGAAGCGTTCGCTGCCGACCCCCAGCATTTTAAAATCTCCCCGGGACAGCAGAGAAGTCCCGCCCCGCTCGGGATGGCGGCGCAGAGCTGTCTGCCGTGCCGGGATCAGCGCAGCTCTGCGCGGCCATCGGGAGCCGGGGGCGAAGCCCGCCCCGCTACAGATGGCCGCGCAAAGCTGCCTGCAGTCCCGGGACTGCAGGCAGATCTGCGCCACCATCCCGAGCGGGGCGCTAAGTCCCGCCCCGCTCGGGATGGCGGCGCAGAGCTGTCTGCCATCCCGGGATCAGCGCAGCTCTGCGCGGCCATCGGGAGCCGGGGCGAAGCCCGCCCCGCTACAGATGGCCGCGCAAAGCTGCCTGCAGTCCCGGGACTGCAGGCAGATCTGCGCCACCATCCCGAGCGGGGCGCTAAGTCCCGCCCCGCTCTGGATGCCAGCGCAGAGCTGTCTGCCGTCCCGGGACTGCAGGCAGATCTGTGCCGCCATCCCGAGCGGGGCGCTAAGTCCCGCCCCGCTCTGGATGCCAGCGCAGAGCTGTCTGCCATCCCGGGACTGCAGGCAGATCTGTGCCGCCATCCCGAGCGGGGCGCTAAGTCCCGCCCCGCTCTGGATGCCGGCGCAGAGCTGTCTGCCATCCCGGGACTGCAGGCAGATGTGTGCCGCCATCCCGAGCGGGGCGCTAAGTCCCGCCCCGCTCTGGATGCCGGCGCAGAGCTGTCTGCTGTCCCGGGACTGCCATCCCGAGCGGGGCTAAGTCCCGCCCCGCTCTGGATGGCGGTGCAGATCTGCCCGCCGTCCCGGGATCAGCGAAGCGTTCGCTGCTGACCCCCAGCATTTTAAAATCTCCCCGTGTCCCGGTGAGATTTTAAAATGCTGGGGGTCGGCAGCGAAGCCCTTGTTCCCCCCCAGCCCCCCCCAGCCTTCAGAAGCCCTTGTCCCCCCCCCCAGCCTTCAGAAGAGGTCGGGGGACAGACTGTCCCCGGACCTGGTCTGAAGGCGGTTTCCCTAGGAACGCATTAATTGATTTTCAATGCATTCCTATGGGAAACCGTGCTTCGCAAGACGAAAAACTCGCAAGAAGAAAAAACTTGCGGAACGAATTAATTTCGTCTTGCGAGGCACCACTGTAATTAAATGTACAGCCATAGCCATACCGATAGAAAGAGCTGAATCTGTTTTTAAATTTGAAAAACTGCTTCAGGGAGGGGGAAGGAAGGTGGACTACTGATGTCACTGGCTTCCAACCAATCAGCGCTCTGCACAGCCATCTTGTGCTGTACACACACAGAAGTGGTTTCCTCTGGGCTCCATCTGCGAGAAAGGCTGCGCTGCACTTCTAAAACATAAATCTGAAACAAAGCACTGTGAGCGTGCTTCTGCTGCAGACTCTTTACGTATCCTCCTTCCGCTATTAATTCTTACTTAATACAGGTCCTTGGTTAGGCAAGGTTCCATACGCACTGCCATAGTTTTACTGTAGCTGCATTGTTTCAGTTCTGTCGCTTTATTGGTAGCAATCTAGGTGTGTATCTTCTACAACTCACGCTGTAGTGCATTTGCTCATTATTGATGTTTTCCCATTTTCTTATCTTGAAAGAAATATCTTCGGGGAGGTTTTCAGAAAGCCACTTGAGCATCAGAGGTGAAGAAACCATGCAAAAACTGTCCTTTGATGGCTTTTGGCTTCACGGCCCAGGGTTGTCTTTCAAATTATTTCTGACATGGCTGTTTAATTATTGTCAGTAAAAGTGAGGGAACATGTAGAATAAAAAGCAACCTCCACTTGGCTTCAGGGTTGTTTAACACAATACAGTGGTGCCCCGCAAGACGAATGCCTCGCAAGACGGAAAACCCGCTAGACGAAAGGGTTTCCCGTTTCGGAGGCGCTTCGCAAGACGAATTCCTGGCTTGCAAGACGAAAAAGTCTTGCGAGTCTCGCCATTTTTCCCCCCGCTTCCCCCCCTTTTTCAAAGCCGCTAAGCCACTAATAGCCTTTTAGCAGCTTAGCCGCTAATCCTTTAATAGCCGCTAATGGGGTTGCTTCGCAAGACGAAAAAACCGCTAGACGAAGAGAATCGCAGAACGGATTCTTTTCGTCTTGCGAGGCACCACTGTACTTACTAATAATTTTAACACCTCTGTATAGAAAAATGACAAGTACAGCAAATTATAACACATTTTTTATTTTGCTATGTGTAAACACAGTTTTTCCTATAAATCAGGAATATCTGTAGGAAAATACTTTCATGACACTACTGGCTGTATTCCGACATAATAATGGGTTAGTGCTACACTCTAGCTTAGAATTACGTCCAGATGAGGGCAATGGAAGGAAAATGATGATTACTGATCTGGGGTAGGCCCTGGTATCAACCAGTTTGAAATAAAATATAATAAATGGATAGTATTTCTAGCAAGCAGCATTCACTTTGCAAGATAATCTGCTATGTTAGAAGGGAAGGTTGTAGCTGAGTGGTGGAGCAGGTTGAAATCACTGGCATTTCCAGGTAGGACTGGGTAAAGTCTCTGTCTCAACCCCTGGAGAACTGTTGCTGACTTGGGTAGATAATACTGAGTTAAATGGACCAATGGTCTGTCTCAGTGTATGACTGTTTTGCTCAATTTCCCATGTTCTTGCATCTTATTGAGAAATTTAGATAGAGTGACTTGCTGATGATTGGACTTTACTTAGTATGCTAACTCTTGCACTATACTTACTATACTGACTTGTTATGATTACCTAAAATGTTTTAACAACGGTTTTATACTCAAGTCCTTATTCCCATTATTTGGACACAAGTCTTGTGACTATAACAGAATTGATTTGGATAGGTGTGTTTAGGATTATAGCCAGATATTCATAGCGATAAACAAAAACCTATGGTTGAGAGCTTCCATAAAACCTAAGCATAAGTCACGCACATCTGAAATGCTTTCCCCCCGCACCTCTGAAATTAATGGTTTCTTTAGATAATTCATTGTAATGAGAAAAGTGTTCTGCTATAGGAGAAGTATGGACTTCCTAAGTGGTTTGCTGGGGAGCAATAAACTTGAGCTAGCCCCATGTGTTTTGCATATGCCCTCTTTTGCACCTCATAAATTAAGACAGTAATGCACTTTGTGCTGGAAACTGTAAACCTAAAATATACTTAAATTCTTGGCTTGCTGCTTTAAGGTACATTCACTTTATAGTAAGTAACTGAATTTCTGTGCTCCATAAACTTCTGTGTAGGAGAAAACGGAGCCTGGTGAATTGTAACAAGTATTTTTATATTGTAGGGGGAAAATGAGTTAAATTGAAACTGAAAGAAGTATAACTTTCCAAAGCAAAAATGCGGTGGCGGCTGATATGATTATGATCTACATTTTTTCAGGAAATTTTGGAACCTTCTCTTAAAAAGCAATGAATTGCATTTATTTTAATTCCTGCTCCATGCACCAACATAATTTAAGTTCTAAATGTTTAAAAACAAAGCACTTTGTTAAGAATACTTGTACCTAGTGTAAATCCAAATCCAATAGTACTATATTCTTTCTCCACATAGTAGAAAGTAGAGGAAACTTTGCTGAAGAGGAAGGAAAAGAGTTATTGCTGAGCAGCTTGTTGTTTTTTTTTAAAAAAAGTAGAGATGTGCTCTAAAGCACTAGAAAGCTGGTATGCACAGCTCTCGGTTCTTGTTAAATTTAGCAAAATTAAGCACCTGCAAGAACAGCATTATATGTCTGTCTGCTGTGGTAGAATTTTACATAATTAATTACCTAATCATGTTATTCCACTCTATTGTGCAATTGCACAATGCAATTGGAAAAGAAGTGATCAATTACATATTATTTGCAGACTAAAAAACAACAGCAGCAAATACTGATCATATGTGCAGGATTGATTTCTTTTTCAGACATGAATAAGCAAACATCAACAATTTTCACTCCCATTTCCATCAGAATTCTCTGACGTCCCTAGTTACATCCACACTGTAGTGACATTCTCTGTTGCTGCTGCCCACAAATTCCCCCACTTAGGATCAGGGTGCCAAAAATGCAGCCATGAGCTGGCGTCATTAAAATCCAGCAATTATTTTGAAAACAAATCACTTCAAGAACCTTGCATTTGTAATACAAAATGCATACAACAAATTAATTTGTTTTAAATTAATGATTCAGTGATGTCTACAAATTTATTTATTAAAAATATAAATCAGGATGGAAAAATACAGTGTGAATCCAGAATAAAAATGTACTTATCCTGGTTTCTTAAGACTGGTCATTGACCATAATAATAAAGATTTTATTTGATTTGGTTAAAACAACATAAAATAAAAATGCAATAATGCCTAAAGCTATTCATTGTTAAAGATCTCAGTGCTCCTTATCTTGAGACATACTGTAGATCTGTTTTATAGCTGCTGAACTTACATGGCTTTCCTCAGATCATTCTGGGACGTAAAATTTCCAGTGCATAGTTATGCAAGTTTACTCAGAAATCTATTCCTTGCCCCTTCTTCCACTGAACTTCAGGAAAGAGGGCTTGACTGCAGTATATAGGCCTCTAAATGCATTTACTTGGGGGAAAGTCGCTTTTGATTTTATTGGAGCATCTTGAATATTAATGAGTTTCTGATTGCTATCAAATGTATTTTATTCTGTGATCTTAAACATGACACATCCTATCATGCTTTATGATGTTACACTGACAGATAGACACTATATCCTAGCCTAAGTGTTTATTTTGCATTGCTTCTCACTACAGAAAAAGTGCATCAACCCCAGTTTGTTTGAATGGTTTAACAACGTGAGTCACTTTATTATTACTTGCTTCTAGGCTGTGGAGACTTTAAAGATGTTTGAAAAAAAAGATAGCAGAGTTAAAAGTGCAGCTGCAACGAACCTTTCGTTTCTTTATTTCTTGGTGAGTGAATGCGTGGTGGGTGTATTTCAGTTAATTTACTTAATCCAAGACTGAGAGTATGTGGCCCCTTTGGATTTAATATATTTTGTCTTAAATTCAATTAGTAGTTTCGAAGATAATTGTTGAACACATTTATTTGAATTAGAATATTAAAACTGCCAACTCAGCTTCATTTTAATTGTTTATTATGGGACTTTCTTTCCTCCATTCCCTCACTCAAAAAACCCCTTTCTGCTCTGGAAATTTGGGGGAAACCCCAGAACAGATTTACTGCAAGAGAGGAGAGGAAGGAAGTTCCATTGTGAAGGTAGAAGCCCTTGTGTTGATGGAATACATTCATTGGATACAACCCTTAATGTTCTAACACTTGGATATATTATTCTAATACCAACACTGCACATTTTGAGAAGCTCAGTCTGCATTAACTGAATAAAAACTCATCAAGAACTTAATTTCACATAATGCAGCCCACAAATGTCCATGACAAACCTGTCGCAGTGCCATAGACCTCTCTGTAAAAACAAGAATAATGAGTTCATTGTGATCTTTAAAGTGCACTGTGGTGTTATGGCAGTTGTCATGACATGACAGACCTATTCAGATGCCAGAAGTAGGTTGAAAATGGAAAAGGCAGAGAATATTATTTTAATATTGCCTGCCTGCCTGCCTAAGATGTGATCAGTGCATTGTTGAAACTCATCAGACTACAGTGGTGCCTCGCAAGACGAAAAGAATCCGTTCCGTGATTCTCTTCGTCTAGCAGTTTTTTCGTCTTGTGAAGCAACCCTATTAGCGGCTAAGCGGATTAGTGCTATTAGCGGTTTAGCGGCTTAGCGGCTATTAAAGGATTAGCGGCTAAGCTGCTAAAAGGCTATTAGCGGCTTAGCGGCTTAGAAAAAGGGGGGGGGAGCGAAGAAAAAAACGCAAGACTAGCAAGACGTTTTGTCTTGCGAAGCAAGCCCATAGGGAAAATCGTCTTGCGAAGCAACTCAGAAACAGAAAACCCTTTCGTCTAGCGGGTTTTCCGTCTTGTGAGGCATTCGTCTTGCGGGGCACCACTGTACAGTGGTACCTCGCAAGACGAAATTAATTCGTTCCGCGAGTTTTTTCTTCTTGCGAGTTTTTTGTCTTGCGAAGCACGGTTTCCCATAGGAATGCATTGAAAATCAATCAATGCGTTCCTATGGAAACCGCCTTCAGACCAGGTCCGGGGACAGTCTGTCCCCCGACCTCTTCTGAAGGCTGGGGGGGGGGGACAAGGGCTTTTCTTCCCACCGCCAGCCTTCAGAAGGCTGTTCTGAAGGCTGGCGGTGGGAAGAAAAGCCCTTCTCCCCACCTCCCGCCCCGCAAGCTCCGGGGACAGGAGGGCTTTGCTGCCGACTGCCAGCATTTTAAAAGCCCCTGGGACAGCGGAGACTTCTCCACTGTCCCGGGGCGATTTTAAAATGCTGGCGGGCGGCAGCGAAGCCTCCGCTGTCCCAGGGCGATTTTAAAATGCTGGCGGGCGGCAGCGAAGGCTTCGCTGCCGCCCGCCAGCATTTTAAGATCGCCCGGGACAGCGGAGAAGTCTCTGCTGTCCCAGGAAGGCAGGCGGGGGGGAGCAAAGACTTTTGCCCCCCACTGGCCTTCAGAAGAGGTCCAGGACCTCTTCTGAAGGCCGGCAATGGGCGAAAGTCTTTGCTCCCCCCCCCGCCTGCCTTCAAAAGCCGTCGGGATAGCGAAGAAACGCGCTGCGCTTCTCCACTATCCCGGGAAGGCAGCCGGTCGGAAGCAAAGACTTTTGCCCCCCGCCGGCCTTCAGAAGAGGTCCAGGACCTCTTCTGAAGGCCGGCGGTGGGCGAAAGTCTTTGCTCCCGACCGCCAGCATTTTAAAAGAGGTCCCCGGAGATTTCCCTATGGGCTTTCTTCTTGCGAAGCAAGCCCATAGGGAAATTTGTCTGGCGAAGCACCTCGAAAAACGGAAAACTCTTTCTTCTTGCGAGTTTTCCGTCTTGCGAGGCATTCGTCTTGGGAGGTACCACTGTAATTGTGCATGATAAGAGCAGTAGAGGACAAGGGAAGACACGAGCCAGTGCCTGCTTTTTCCCTCTCTCACATCCAGTGGCGTAGGAAGGGGGGCAGGGGGTGGTCCACCCCGGGTTCCATCCCTGAGGGGGGTGACATCACCACGGGTGCTGCCATTGTGACACTCGCGCACGGATGGCACCCCCATTGGGATGTTTGTGGGGGCGACATGCCACTCTCCCCCGCTCCAGGTGCCAAAGCCCCTAGCTCCGCCACTTCCCACAATCCACCCTAAGAAATGATAATGCAGATAACATGTCACATCTTGGGTGGCTTGTGTAGTTTAGGACATTGCCCATGGAGTCATGGATGCTGGATTGGAGCATATACCCTGAACAATAGCTCTTTGTCTGCACTTCCTAGATTTGGTTATTGACATCAAGAACCTTGAGACATAAAGGAAGAGAAAAACTACTAAAGTCCCTTTCCCAAAATTTGCTATAGGATAGAAGGATATTTGGAAAGCTGATGTTAAGCTTATTTTACAAGAGCCAGTGTGGTGTAGTGGTTAAGACCGGTAGTCTCGTAATCTGGGGAACCGGGTTCACGTCTCAGCTCCTCCACATGCAGCTGCTGGGTGACCTTGGGCCAGTCACACTTCTTTGAAGTCTCTCAGCCTTACTCACCTCACAGAGTGTTTGTTGTGGAGGAGGAAGGGAAAGGAGAATGTTAGCAGCTTTGAGACTCCTTAAGGGGAGTGAAAGGCGGGATATCAAATCCAAACTCTTCTTCTTCTTCTTTAATATTAAATGGAATGGAATGATACATTTTTAATGAAATTTCAGAAACAGAATCTCTCCCATCTCTAATTTGATTAATGTACTTCTTGTGCCAGCAAAGTATTGAGGATGCAAAATGGCAACTGCTTAATTTGTATTGTGTTTCATTCAGGAAAATGAATTTACACAGGCAAGCCACTATGCAGATTTAGCAGTAAATTCTGATAGATACAACCCATCTGCTCTCACAAATAAAGGAAATACGATCTTTGCAAATGGAGACTATGAGAAGGCAGCAGAGTTCTATAAGGAATCTCTAAGAAATGATTCTTCGTGCACTGAAGCGCTTTATAACATTGGTAAGTCTAATATACTTTATGATAAATTTTGTGCTTGACATTCTGGTTATTATATGTATCCTTTTTAGAAGGGATTGAGAGACTACTTTTGAGCTTTATTATATCCTTCTGATTAAAGCTGTATTAACTAACAAAATAGTACAGTGTGATATAATTGTAATTGTCTCTCTTTCGAATCTGCTGTCCACACCAATGCTGAGACAGAGTTTCTGTCTGAGCAAGTTTTCTTATCTCTTTCAACACTGACATATTGTTGTGCTTTTAACTGGGGTGAGGGGACACCAGAAGTGCCCCTTCTTTTTTAATGTTTATGTATTGTTGTTTAACTAATGTGCCTTTACGCCAGCTTCTTGTAAATAGGATTGCTCCCTTATTTCATTTTCCATAATAAACATGTTCTTAAATTTCTGCTTCTTCATCTTATGAGTCAATGAGATTTGAATCTTCCCATTTAGATGACCTTTGTTTTTAGGTTTAACGTATAAAAAGCTGAACAGGTTAGATGAGTCATTGGATTCTTTTCTGAAGCTTCACGCTATCCTTCGAAACAGTGCCCAGGTTCTCTTCCAAATAGCAAGCATGTATCTTTTCAACAATTATAGAATCAAGCATATGAAACACTAAATCCTCTATGTGTCTTTATAATGTAATAAAGATCTTTTTGAAGGAAGGGCGAGATACAGAATTAATTAATAAATAATAGTAAAGTGTATGATTACGTGAGGATTTCAGTTAAATTCCCATGCGTCAGACTCACAGCGAGAAGTTCCTTAACTGGTGGTACTTCAGATATGAATTAATGGAGGATCCTAATCAGGCCATTGAGTGGCTTATGCAACTCATCAGTGTTGTTCCAACGGACTCACATGCATTAGCAAAGCTTGGAGAACTCTATGACAGTGAAGGAGATAAGTCTCAGGCTTTTCAATATTACTACGAGGTATGTGCTTTTACCTTCTACAATAGGCATACAATGCAAAGGAACACATGCTAGCTTAAGCTGATGCTTTGAAAAGGAAGCTGTATATAGTAGACATTTTTATATAAAGTAGTAGCTATGTAAGTGTTGAACCTAGTTTGATGGTCACATTCAAGTATACATACGGCATAGGTCCCAATACGACTAATCCAACCCATTGCCTCTGGATTGGAGTCAGAGAACAATAAATAGCAGAGCTCTTACAACTTCCCTCTCCCAACATGCTACAGTCCCCTCTGTAAATGTGTAGGGTGGGGTACAGGGGGCTTCAGTGGTATGGGAAAATCAGAGAATTTTGTCGGGGATGTAATTCAGGAGGAGAAGTATCTGTTTTCACAATACACTCAAACCTCGGTTGTCGAATGTAATTCGTTCCGGAAGACTGTTTGACTTCTGAAATGCTTAACAACCGAGGTACGGCTTCCGATTGGTTGCAAGAGCTTCTTGCACTCAAGCGGAAGCTGCGTTGGACGTTCAGGTTCCGAAAAACTGGAACATTTACATCCAGGTTTTTGGCGTCCGGGAGCCGAAATGAGCTGTTGAAGAACCGAGGTTTGACTGTATTTTTTTGGATACATATATGAGATACATATATATGAATGAAAGAGAATTAGATATAGTTTCCTATATGAGTTGCAATATTCAAACAATGGCTCTCTTTTTCATTCCTTGCTTTTAGTTGCAGCATCAACTAAAGCTTTCCTCCTGCAGCATCAAATAAAACTTCCGTATTTCCCTAAAAACTTCTTTCTTTTAACCACACAGTGGCCCTTTGAATCACCATTCTCATTCTGTTCTTGCTCCTGGCAGCGGCCTATAGCTTTGTTGTTTTTTGCTTGCACAGGGAGCAGCACGTTCTGTATTATTATTATTTTTTAAAAATCATAAAAATGGATTTGATCTGATATTTTAGCTTTTAGGGCAGCAGTCCTAAACACACTAGGGTAGTAAGCTCCGCAGAGAATACTGGGATGTTTTTACCATGTAGAAGTGCATAGGATTGCATTGTAGATGTAGCTTAATTATTGTTGTTGTTTTTTAAGTCAAGACAACTAAAAATATTTTTCAATTGCCAATTTTACCTTTCAAAATATAAAATACACTCCCTCCAACAGATTGGCAGGAAACCTATCCTGAATACAGCTTTTTTTTCAAAATGGTCATGTAAATGAAAAAAATAAATTATATAAGAAAATGAAGGTACTTTGTGGAGTGTATCTTTCGTTTCACAAAATAGGACACGCAGAAACTTACCTCAGCAAAGTTTTCTAAAATGTCTTTTTGCTATTTGCAAAACCTGCCACGTTTTCTTTAGGGATTAGTTAGTGTATTAGCACACTGCTCTCATTCATAAATTACATGTTTTCAGCATCTGGAGGATTAAACACATAAATGAGTAAGATATTCCAAAAGCAAAATAAATATGTTGTTTATCACTAATGTTGTATTTCTTCCACCTTCTTTATTTTGTCAGTCCTATCGGTATTTCCCTTCAAACATTGAGGTCATTGAATGGCTTGGAGCCTATTACATTGACACACAATTTTGTGAAAAAGCCATTCACTACTTTGAAAGAGCAGCACTTATTCAGTAAGCAACCATTCATGATGTTGTTATTTTTGTTGTCGTTGAGTGTTTAGACCAGTATCATTTGTAAGGGGACTTTCTGCAGTACACTTATGTTGGACACAGGGGAAGCACATTGATATATATTTATGTATTATGCTACATGTAAATTATGGAGTAATTTGTTTGGAGTTTTAAAGGAAGGAATTCTAAGACTTCAGCTTAAGCAGAAACGCAGCACTGATCAAATGCATCTACTTAGGTGGTCTTCATGTGATCAGAAGGTTTGATTACTCTGGATGAGTGTTTTCCTAGGACTGCATTCATAAGAAACAGGAGGCAACATCCTTTAACAATCCTAGCCTACCCAAAGATGTTTGCTATATGAGAAAGTTTAGATTTATTTCCAGTGTTTGCTGCAAGCCACATAAGAACAGCAACAGGAATCACAGAGAGCTACAGAGATGCTTCAACCATCGTGTCTCCTCCCCAGCATCTCTCATACCCACCCTCCCAAAGACAAATTAATTGCTTTGATAATTTTAAATCAAGAAATGTTTAGTGAGGACAATATACTAGATATAAAAAAGCTATTGGGCCTGGGATTTGCTGCAGCTCATACATAAACCAATATTGAGCTACATTGATCAACGTTCTAACTTAGCCTGCAGCAGCCTCCTTATTTTATTTTTTAAAATTCCCGTAAATGCGTTTAATTCTCACCAGCTGAAATAGTTGGAACATCAGTGTGCTTAACGTTGGCTAGATGTTGGGCTCCATCTACTAAGCATACTGTACAATCTTCAACAACGTCCTTGCCAGATTAAAAACTGGCACAGTAACTTAATCCCAATGAATACCATATTTCACCCTCATGCTGGAATCCAAGCAAGGATTCATTTGGGTAAAATTCACTTGGTGAAGAATTTCCTTTATACCCTTAATATTTAGAGCAAAGATGCATTTATTTATTTAATTAATATCTTGCCACTCTTCCCAAGGGAGCTCAAGGCAGCAAACTAAATAGCAAAACAGTACCAAAAAAAAACAACCATGTATAGTTATACCTTAAAAACATTGAAACATTTTATGAGTAACACTTTGGCATTTTTACCTGCAGACCAACTCAGGTGAAGTGGCAATTGATGGTTGCAAGCTGCTTCAGAAGAAGTGGTAAGTCTCCTTTCGTATCTCATGTTGACTTTGATAATCATATCTCACTGTTTCACAGTGCTTAACCATTGCAGGCAATCGGGGGGGGTCTTTTTTTCATCCTGATCTTACACACATTTACTCAGAGATAAGTTCAGTGGGACTTGCTCCCTGATAAATATGTATACGATTGCAGCCTTAATATCTAACTGGTTTCATTACGTGTTTTTATTTTGCATTTGAATGCTTAGAGTGTGCTATAATGTTTGGACTATTTGTAAAGTAGATTATTAAATGTCAGGGGTTGTATTCAGCAAAGTTGACCCGTTAACACAAGGACTTCAGCCTGTGCAATGGGATTTCCTCTCCCCGTGCACCGCCAATACATTTTTGTGATGGGGTTCTCCAACCCTCCAGAGCAGATAGGGGGCGCAAACAGGAAGAGGAAGCGGGAGAGGATGTCCTGTTGCACAGCTGCAAGTCCTTGTGCTAATGGGACGGCTTGGTTGTATACAACCTGTGATCTCATTTTCCTCATGTTTTTCAGGACAGTGGGTTCGGTCTTTCCTCAATAGCTGTGGTACTGTCAGGGACCCTGTTGCCTGAATAATACTAACCCTGTAATGGGGAGGGGCAGTATTCTTGTATTTTTTTTTTACAAATGGGTAACAATAAAAATGATATGTTTGACTATCATTTGAATTTGAATTCTGAAATGACCAAAATGCAGTTGAGATGTAGGAAATCTTTGATCTCTTGGCATATTTTTTCTTTAGTTAAAATCAGCCATGATAGGGGTAGGATATGGATTAAAGTTGCAATGCTGTGGTGTTTAACCCTTTCCTCCCCATACCATTTCCTGAAATAAATTGTCCTTCCAGAGCTACTCTAAACTGCAGAGCATGAGGAAGACGGGTACCCACATTTTCCCGTTCTGCAGCTAATAACAGCTTTGGCAGATCAGACAGTTTTAAGCAGTGACAGACTTTGGCCTTTAAAATTTTAGCAGTGCCAAAATCCCCATCTCTCATCTTCCATTGTTCGTCATTGTCGTGGCACCCCTGCAGAGCCCTCTCGGCTCAGAGCCCAGCGTGGGCAAACTGGTTGTGCTCCCCTAAATCTGCTTTTTTTAAGTTGGGGGAACACTGTGATGGGAAAGAATTAGACTCTCTCTTCCTCAGCCCTGCAAGCCAATCCACCCCTTGCCCAAGCTAAGGGATGCTGGAGAACCTCTGTTTCTCATGCAGAGGTGTAGCTGGGGGTCTAGCCAGGGTTTCTGCCCCAGGTGAAGCCTCCAGAGGGACACCATTGAGGCTCCCAGCCTCCTAGCATGTCTGGGCTTCAGACGGAGAGAAAGATGAAAAAGTGAACAGCAGCCACAAGCTCCATCCTTCCCCTTCCCCCACGAAGCTGAAGAAGGCTTATTTACAATGTGATGCAGGGAGAAGGAGAGTTGGAAAATCTGGAGAAGCTGCGTGGCTCTCCCCAATGAAGAAGATAGGATCGCCTGTGGGTTTGCTATTGTGTGAGAAATAAATTTTGGAGGGATGGAGGGTGGGGCGGAAAGCTGACGAAGAGAATCAGTTGGACTAGATGGTCCTTAGGGTCCCTTCCAGCTGTACGATTCTATGATCCCTTCAGAACTTTAAATGTGTTTAAATAGCTAAGGCTGAGTCATTTTACAGACTATACATGATCTACACACAGGAAAGTAAGGGGTGTGTGAGCATTTTTCCTGCCAGAGGCAGTTCCCTGGCAAGCTCTGGTCAGCCCAGCTGCATTAGGAATGTAATGGAAGGGCACTTTCTACTTTAGACTCGTAAAAAGCATGTCTTCACTTTAAATAAAGGTACCCCTGACCATTAGGTCCAGTCGTGGCTGACTCTGGGGTTGCGGCACTCATCTTGCTTTATTGGCCGTGGGAGCTGGCAAACAGCTTCCGGGTCATGTGGCCAGCATGACTAAGCTGCTTCTGGCGAACCAGAGCAGCACACGGAAACGCCGTTTACCTTCCTGCTGGAGCAGTACCTAAAATGACTACAAAATGTCTTTGACCTGGGTGACAGAAAACCTAGTTTTGGCCCTGTCTCATGGTAGTGTCTCTGTGTGTTTTATATCACTAACAGGTAACTACCAAAAAGCTCTTGATACCTACAAGGCGATTCACAGAAAGTTTCCTGAAAACGCGGAATGTAAGTGGCTTTATATGATGCACCTTTTATCCTAAGCACACTTTTTATATTGGATAGTCTTGTCAAGGCAAGGGGAGCCAATAGCATGGCCTCCAGATGCTGTGCATTTCAACTCCCATCATCCCTGACCTACTGACTGGGGAGCTGAAGACTGTGTACACAGCATACATTTAAAGCACTGCCCCCCTCCCCAAAAGAAGGATCTTGGGAATGGTAGTTTACTCCTAATATAGCTGCAATTCCCAGCAACCTTAACAAACTACAGTGCCCAGGAATCTTTGGATGGGGGGAGGGATATGTTTGAAACACATGGTGTGTATGCAGTCTTCGTCTACATACAACAACTGGAGGGCACCATGTTGGCTACCCATGTGTAAAGTATCAATACTTGCCCTAACACAGTGATAATCATGATCCATTTGTGGCAGGTCAATGCCATTTATGTTGCTTCTCAAAATAAACCTACAGCCACCAGTCATGCCCTCATATGGCTCTGTAGTTTGCGCATAGCTCCTGCACGAACAGGCTTCCCAGGGCTCTTCAAACAGAGGGAGCCTCTCCATCTGAGAATTTCCTGCTTTGGAGTAAATAGGAAAGATGTGGAGAAAGGATCTTTTCTGGATCTCTCATGTTGAAATCTGGAAGTCCCATTTGCATAAAAATCATTGGATATAGGGCTTCTCTGTAGTGCATTGCATGCGTTGGCGTAGTGCAGATGGCACTGGTTGGATACACACATGGGACTTCAACAAATGGCTTGTGCAGATCAACAGGTGCTGATATTCCTGACATGTATGAACATTAAGTAAATTCAATTTATGAACAACTAACTTTCAGTATGCTCATTAAAGATGTTCAGTATTCTGCATACAAAGAGCACTGGCTCCCTTGGATATATTCAATTCTCCTTCCTCAGTGTTCAGCATTGTAGGTAGCATTCTAGCCATTGCTTGCTCCAGTCTTCCCATCAACTCATCTAATCAGTGAGTTCAAACGCACTGGAAAATTCTGTGCAGCTTTTTCATGCATCTGATGAAAAAATGCATCTGGCCACAAAAGCTTATGCTAGAATAAATAAGTTCAATTCTAAGGTGTCACAAGGCTTGTTGTCGCTTTTGCTACCACAAACTAACAGGGTTAGCCCATTAATTTTTTAAAAAAACTGATCTAATAAATTACTTTTCAACATATTAGACTGTCTTGTTGTTTTCTTTGGGTTACAACTGCCACCATGGGCTTCTGCCCACCTCCATATCTAACGATGGGCCTGTAACTTATTGTCGTATTACCATTCTGCATATAGGAAAGTCTTTTTACAAAATCCCAGCTTGTTTTTCTTTAAATGCATTTCTTTTCACAGCTTCATTACTAGACACTGGAGCAGAAAAATAGCTCTTTTTTACTACACTGCTGTCATGTTTGCTAAATCATATTGCCACTCAATAAATACAGTGGTCACAATTCAACACAGTGAAACTACTTAATCCATTGAAATCACTGGGCTTAATTGCAGTTGGATTGCGGTCATTGTTGCTAGGCTCTGTGCTCTGCTTATTTTTTCAGCTGCTTTTAAGTCCAATAATGGCAACTAATGGTATGACTTTTATACCACTAGGTTTACGCTTTTTGGTCCGACTCTGCACAGACATGGGCTTGAAAGAAATCCAAGAGTATGCAACAAAGCTTAAGAGAGTGGAAAAACTGAAAGAAATAAGGGAACAGGTATGTTGGGTCACTTAAACAACTAAATTTCACTGTTTCTCAAAGATCTGTAAAGAAAGTTCTCTTAAATTGCATTTTCTATAAGGAGCTGAGGTGGGGCTGATTCTTCCTTTATTGCAAATGTTGCTCACAAGACCTGCAGAAATCTTGGTATCTTGCTTTCTAAAGCTACTTTTTATGCTTCTGAACAAGCAGCTGTTTTCTGTCCTCAATGGAAATTAACAAGCGGGTGGTAAAGTATCAACTTTTAGAGGTTTGTGATTGTAGTTAGTCTGTCTAGGACTGTCAAACCAAAATTTCACTTCAAAGACAATTCTTAATATAATATTTAGAACAGGGTTATTGTCTACATCTTATTGAGCTTGCTGGACTACCTGAGGCTGTGATCAGTGATCTATCTTTGCTCAGTAGAAACATACCGGTACTTTGGAATTAAAAATAAGCGCACCAGCATCTATGCTGTGATGCAAACTGACCTGCATCTGTCGTAAGTCACCCATTGTCCACTCCCATAACGGTTGCATACAAAAAGGACCAGCCAATATACAGTGTGCCAGAAATGGCAATACTTAATGTGAGAGCTGGGGTGGTGCAGTGGTTAGAGTGTCAGACCAGGACTTGGGAAACCAGGGTTCAAATCCCCACTTGCCATTAAACTCACTTGGGCCAGTCCCTGTCTCTCAACCATTGGAAACTCAGACCAATTCACATGCAAAACAAGTTAAACTGACTTTTTGTTTGTTTGTTTCGTTTTTCTGAGTGGCTGATAAATCTTCAGGGAAAATGCATTGCTGCAGGTTTTCATAATGGAATGCCCTCCCCAGAGTACCTCACCTGACAAAAAGTTTGATGCCTTTCCTTTTTATTTGCCTAGGCCTTCCAGAATATCTTGTAGCTATTTTTTCCCCTGTGTGTTTTATTTTACAAGCTGTTGTGTTTCTGCAGATTTCACGTTTTGTTCTGTATCTGTATTTTCAGTCTTAAGTGCTACTTGTTAAAGGGGAGGGAGGTGGAGCCCTGAAAATAATAAGCCACACACAGGTTATTGATAAACAACAAAAGGATCTCGCTCACTAGGTGTAGGCTTTGGCTGTAAAGTCTTTTGGCAGTACCTCACACTGCCCTGCTGCTCAGTACCTTAGAAGGATTAAGGAAGAGGTTCTACTATATCTCTTGAATACTGCTAATGCCTTTCTACGATAGCGTGGATCATACATTCAGAACTGTTGCTTTAGTATGATAGTTTTAGTTGAAAACATTAACTTAATAGTCTGTGCACCTGCACAAATTTTGTAGACTTGTTCATGTATTTAGTCAAAGGTATTTCCATCTGTCTACAAGTTCATGACCTAAGAGACCTTACAGCCAAAGAAAATTTTCCTGCCTGTTTTTATGCTTCCTACATCAAGCTGACCTAGCAGTTTCTTTACAAGAAGTTGCTGAGGAACAGCTTTTTAAACACCACATATTCTGTGATTTTAGATGAATGCATACCCACAAATCTTTTTTTTTGCAAAATATGCACTGGCGCTGGGGTGAGATTTGTTTTTCAAGCTAGCAATTAAAGGTTAACCTTGGATCCATGCACCTGTTGATTGCAAATTCAAATGTTGATTTTTGCGCAATTGACAAAATCCATATTGTGAAAAGTGGGATTTATAATTAAAATCCCAATCAGTCGTGACATTCAAAAGTGCTTCTTGAGCAAAATTCGTGATTATAAAATTTATGCAGCTGGAAAAAATCTTACTGCCTTCCTCATTCCAAGAAAGTGCACTTTCCCAATAAATATTTAACGGTTTTCATTTTAGAATTTACATTTTCCAACAAATAAATTAATGTTTTTAAATTCAGTGCCAAGTATATTAGAAACATAAAACTTGGAGGGTGGCAATTTTTTTAATGTGTTCCCTACAAGTTTGCAATAATAAAATAATTTTGGATTTACAAGATTTTAATATGCAGACGTTTTCTTGAAGTGCTGTTGAAGAATATCCTCACTATTTTTTCAGCTGAACCTTCCATCTGTAATATAAGGCATTTTTCATCATCTGTTTTATATGAACCTGATCTAAAATAGCATATATTTTATTGAAATCCCTTTGCTGAACCTTCCAAGTCTATGCGAGCATTGTTAGGTTCAAGATTTTTATTACGTGCAACTTTTAACACCGTGTTTTAATTATGCCGTTCAGTGACAACATGCTAAGTCCACTTCACTGCAATTTTTTATTATATCTAGAAGTAAATGTACTTGGCAACTAGAAGTGCAATCTTACTGATTTCTTGGATTTCTTAGGAATAAAGTTGATTCACATATGTATGTTCGTCACTTGGTGGCTGCTGTGTTCAGTGATGACTGTGTTCAGTGAATAGATCCTGCATAAATAGTAGAGTGTTAGGACCTGAAACATCAACTCTGTCATTGATGATTTAGCTGAGTTTCCTACATTGCAGGGGGTTGCACTAGAAAGATGGCCCTTGGGGTCTCTTCCAGCTTCTATGATTCTGCTTTTCTGCTTCAACAATATTTCATTATGGTCCTATCATTTTATGCAATTGTATTTTGTATAAATTATAAAAATTATATATAAAACATGTTCCATTTGCAAACAAAACATTTAAATAGCTACCTTTCTACCGGTAGGATGGGGGAGGCATAGGAGTAGCCAGGACTTTTGTTAGGGCAGCAGAACCTCAGATTTGTATTGATTTCTACTGCTTTTTACTTATTTGGGGGGCAGCTGCCACCCAGGCTACGTTCAAGTGGGGGGGGGACACAGGAAGGAAACGAGGTTGGAAGGGGGACATGGTTGGGAAAAGGTTGGGAAACACTGGAGGACATCAGGCATGGAAAAGTTCAAGTAATCGCTGATGTAATTGGAGCACACTCTTAAGTACACTTCTGATTGTTCCTTTGCAGTCCCATTTTGAACTTTCAATGACCATATGAAGTCACGTCCTCCACAGGTGGGCAGCCCTACCTGCCTGTCCAAGTGGCCCTCAGTCCTGTCCAAGTGGCCCTTGTCCAGGATATGCTTGCCTTGCCTGAGGCCAATGCTTGCTTCATTTCCCCCTGAACCATTCCAACAATCTCACTGATGCTGTTTGTCATCTTAATTTTCATGCTTTATTATTATTATTATTATTATTATTATTATTATTTTAAAAAAGCTTTTATTATTTCTTACTACTCTGGCAGCTATCCTGGGAACATAATTTATGTCGGTGGGGATATAAGTGACATAAACAAGTAATAGGTAATCAGAAATCTAATAGCTGCCAGTCATTAAGGATACAGCAGTCAAGAATGGAGAAATCTAGTTATGTAGGCACAAGGAGACAAAAGATGGATGACAAAGAGACATTAATTTGAATATAGGAAGCTGCCTTATACTGAGTCAGACCATTGGTCCATCCAGCTCAGTATTGTCTACACTCACTGACAGTGGCTCTCCAGGGTTTCAGGCAGGAGTCTCTCCCAGTCCTACCCGGAGATGCTGGGGACTTGGAACCTTCTGCATGTAAAGGAGATGCCCTACCACTGAGCTGTGGCCCTCCCCAATGCCACCTTGGGATGGAATAGCCTTGCAGGCCAAATGAGCACAGTAGCACTTCTTGAGATACGCTTAGGGTTTCAGCTTTAGGGTAAGCTTTCCACTGGGAAGTTCTTTTCCACATGCTTCACAGAAACAATGGGGATACTGCAAGATGATGATGGTGCTCTTGTATGATTCTCATTCATTTCACCAAAGTGTTGGACTGGAAAGCTTTCCAGCATGTGGAGCCCATCAGACACTGAATAGGAAGCCAGGGAAGTACAGTTGACTGAGTGTTTGGTTTGTTTATTTGCATATTTAGCTGTCTTGGTCCAAGATGGTCTGAGAAGTTTAGAATTCGTTCCAGTACACAGAGCAAAAACTGGCATTAGCGTTACACACGAATCTTCTTCGGTGATCACTTGTAGCCAAATAAGATTGTCTTACATAAACATGGTTTGAACAGTGAGTCTGTAAGTGACTGTGGAAGCCAATTCTGGACCCACACATCCTTGCACAGCGGGGACATAGGTTTTCAGGAGGGAGTTGATCACAGCGAGGGTCTGCCGAAAGTGCCTTCCTCATAGTACGTTTTCCCCTTTCGTTCTGAGTTCGAGCATCTTCAAAGCCCATGACACCTTTGATCAAGGCTGTTCTCCAATTGGAGCGTTCAAAGGCCAGTGTTTCCCAGTTGTCAGTGTTTCTACTACATTTTTAGACACAAATATAGTGTGTTGAACCTGCAACAAATCCCCATTTAGTCATGATGCTCACCAAATGGCCTCGCTATCCAGCAGAAGTGTGAGGTATACCTTGTACGTTAAAAGTAACAGAAACGATTGGTGATAATATTGAAGAGCACTTCTGTCTCTTTCTTCCTCTCCTCCCTAGCGTGTCAAGTCTGGCAGAGATGGCAGTGCCCGGGCACGCAGAGAAGGCAGCGGTGGTGGTGGTAAGTGCTGCTCATATGCTGCCATATTTAAGGTTTCTGAAAGCAAAGAAAATGTGATTCCATTTATTAATCCTGCCGTCTGCATTCTCTCTGTGGAGAGGGAGATGTGGATCAAAGGAGCATTGGAGAATTGCAGGGAATGGGGTAGAACATGTGAAAGGAGGTGATACCTAAATAACACTACTAAGAATCCTGATGTAATTTAATTTGTTAAGATAGAGCCAGTGTACTGATACTGAGTCAGGAAAACTGTGGTGCAACTCAAGACGTGATCAGTACCGAGACCTACTCACGGTGGTGGCTGTAAGGATTTCTGAGTTCACACTTAACGATTGGTATTTGCTTGTGGTTTCATATCCTGGTTCGTAAGCAAGGATTAAACCAATAAATCGGAAACTGATTTAGCAGCCCAAGATTGTCACATTTGAACCATATGTGGAATGCTTTAAATACTGTTTTTATTCTGTCTTATATCGAACAGAAACACATAATCTTTGGTCTCTCATACGTGCCTTTATGGTGTAATATTTTGTCTAATACTCTCCCTTCTGTCAGATCCTGGTAGCATCACGCATAAAGGGGAGCGTCTGAGTGCTAAATTGAAAGCTTTGCCAGGAACATATGAGCCCTATGAAAGCAGTGGTAATAAAGAAATAGGTAACTGATGTTTCTAATAGCTTCCTTTGAAACAAAATACTGACTGTCAGAAGGCACCCTTTTTCTCATGCAATTATTAAAAGTTAGAGACTGTGTTGCTTTTCTTTGTAAAAAATGTGCTTCTACTTCTTTTTTTAAATTTAGATGCTTCCTATATTGACCCACTTGGACCACAGGCTGAGAGACCAAAAACTGCACTGAGGAAAAAAATAGATGAAGATGAATTTGCTGATGAAGAACTGGGAGATGATTTGCTTCCAGAATAACCTGTAGCCCAGTATAGTAACCTTAAAAGCTTTGAAAGGAAAAAAAGAGAAATGTTTCTTACAGGTTTTGATAAGGTTGTGAAGTTCTTATGTTTATTTAAGCAATGTGTATATGAACTGTGAATTTTGAGTAAACCGTTTTTATAGAGCACGATCTGAATGTTCCTTTGTTACTCATGCAGATTATCCCATGAGGGAGGAAGTCTTTTCTGAATATTTGGGAAGATTAGGTAAAGATCTGGCAGGACAACATATAGTGAGCATTATGGAAATAAGAACAGAAGGACACTTCTAGATTAGAACAAAGGACTATCTAGCCAAGCCAGCCAGCTAACTTTGGGAAGCCTACATGCAGGCCTGAATGTAGTAATCTTCTCCTACTCCTGTTCCCCAGCATGCTCTCTCTGACCCTGAAAATAGAGGCATCTAGCTCAGGGGTAGGGACGCGGGTGGCGCTGTGGGTAAAACCTCAGTGCCTAGGACTTGCCGATCGTATGGTCGGCGCTTCGAATCCCCGCGGCGGGGTGAACTCCTGTCTTTCGGTCCCTGCTCCTGCCCACCTAGCAGTTCAAAAGCACCCCTAAGTGCAAGTAGATAAATAGGTACCGCTTTATAGCGGGAAGGTAAACAACGCTTCTGTGTGCTGCGCTAGTGCTGGCTCGCCAGAGCAGCTTCGTCACGCTGGCCACGTGACCTGGAAGTGTCCTCGGACAGGGCTGGCTCCCGGCCTCTTAAGCGAGATGAGCGCACAACCCTAGAGTCGGACACGACTGGCCCATACGGGCAGGGGTACCTTTGCTCAGGGGTAGGCAACCTAAGGCCCAGGATGTGGCTCAGTCGCCTTCTCATTCCGGCCTGCGGATGGTCCAGGAATCAGCATGTTTTTACATGAGTAGAATGTGTCCTTTTATTTAAAATGCATCTCTGGGTTATTTGTGGGGCCTGCCTGGTGTTTTTACATGAGTAGAATGTGTCCTTTTATTTAAAATGCATCTCTGGGTTATTTGTGGGGCATAGGAATTATTTCATCCCCCCCAAATAGTCCGGCCCACCACATGGTCTGAGGGACGGCGGACCGGCCCACGGCTGAAAAAGGTTGCTGACCCCTGATTTGATGAGAGCAATTTTATGGGAGCAAATTCCATAGTTTAATTATACTCTCTGTGAAGAAGTACCGGTACTTCCTTTATCTGCTCTAAAGTTTCCAACACACTCTGCTTTATTTGCTAGCCCGGGCTCTAGTATTATAGAGAGGGAGCAAAATTTTTATCCATTTTGTCTGCATGATGTGCAATTGTATACACCCAAGTCATTTTTATTTTGAAGGAAAACTTTTTGCCTTTAATATCGTCCTTGCGTAGGGGAATTTTGTAGTGACTGCAGGAAACCAAGTTAATTTCCACTGTTGTCAATGCGATGGAAGCTGCCACCACTTGCGAGGCTTGCAGCTCTGAGGTTCCACTACAAGGGTAGACAACGTGGTGCCCTCCAGAAAGTGTTGGACTACAACTCCCATCAGCCTCAGCCAACATGGCCGACTGTCAGCGATGGCGGAAGTTGTAGTCCAGTAACTCCTGGAGGGCAGTGTGTTGACTTCCCCTCTTCCGCTTCATTGTGAGAAGTTTTCAACGTTTTATCATCGCCTCTGAAGATCCAATTTACTTTAAGGGTACTTAATTGCATTGTTCATGTCTGGATTTCATGGCACAGTGTATTAGGATCTTAGACTGGAATTCTCTGTTGCAATTCCAATCTGTTCTTGAAGCAGAAGGAAAATGAATGTGCCAGATGTTTCCATGCTGGCATCACCTGCTGTTGGGACATTAGTCAATTGACTAAAGTCCAGTATTATCAAATATTCCAAGGTTCAAATCCTTACCTGGCTCTAAAAGTTGCTAGGCAATGCTGGGCCTCTCAAAGACTCTCAGCAACTACCTCACAGGTTTATTGGAAAGGTAAAATGGAGGGGGGACAATGTCTACTACTTTTACTTCATTAGGAGAAAGGGTGGGGGGGAAACATCATAAACAATTCAGTCCATTTTTCAAAACACAATCATTTCACAATAACAGCTATCTCATTTGTTTTTGAGACAGCTTTTATACGTAACATTTTTGTTCCCCTAACAATACTTTATTTGACAATATTTGATGGGTCAGTTGATTGGTGAAACCTGACACACAGTTAGTTCTTACCTGTCCATTTGCAGGTCTCCTGTGTTATTGGGTGAATTTATTTGTGCCATACTAGCTACAACCAAATATATCCCTTAGACCTAGCGGGCTTCTCCCGATAGTTGCTGGACTGAATTTTCCATATACTTTTCCATATCCATCAAGTAGTCTTTGTTTCATAGTGCTCTCCATACCTGTGAGAGTACTACAGAATACTGCATGTCCCCAGTAATAAGGTTGTTATGCCACTCACTAGCACTGAGATAATAGGAATTAAAGAAATTGAAGTAATTATTATTGCACAAATTTCCATAAGAATAGTTTTGAAAAGCATGTTGTTACTGACTCCAAAGGTAGTGTTTCAGCTCTTTGCTTTTTTCCAGTTAACTGAATCATGACTTTTGACATACCATGATGTAAAAACTCCTACACATTTTTTCCTGTGCATAGTAGAGCAGTCCTTTAGCTGTAGCAGAAAAATGTGCTAGAGTCAGATCCAGCTCAAGAAATCTCCGGGGAATCATAAATTATGTGTTTGCTTCTCCTGTAAGCTAACAAAAACCCTTTCAGCTTGCAGAGGCCCCTTGTTTTCCTTTCTGCATTTCTGTCATATTTATTTGTAAAAGGCAGAAAGTTAGAAAGATACGCTATAGTGGAAAATCCCCCAAATGCTTGTTTAAATAATCTGAGGTTTTTTGTTGCAAGGGATAACTCACATATATTGTTTTGAACAAGAAAGGAGCAAAATTAGGATAAATTAAACTGCTGTTCTCCAAACTGTCTATCTTACTCAATTCATAAATTAATTCTATTTTATAGACAGGGAATGAAGCACACCCGAAAGCAACACTTATTGTTGTAACCTACCCCGGGAACTTAAGGTAAATAAATCTAATAATAGGTAACATAAAACAGTCTCTCTACGTGTTTTTTTCAATGACAGCACTGTTGCCATTTTGAAAATGATAATGATTTTATTATTTATACCCCGCCCATCTGGCTGGGTTTCCCCAGCCACTCTGGGCGGCTTACAGCATATATAAAAACATCATCAAAGATCAAACATTTAAAACTTCCTGAAACAGGGCTGCCTTCAGATGTCTTCTAAAAGTTGTATAGTTCTTTATCTCCTTGGCATCCGAAGGGTGTTCTACAGGGAGGGTGCCACTACCGGAAATTTGCATATAAAAACAATAATCACATTATTTAGAGACAGAAAGGTGGAATGCTTATTAATGCTTATTTATCAAAACTGGCTTTATTTCCATTAATTAAGTGAATCAGAAGAACAATAGTTAAATGATAGAATATTCATGTTTCAAGGGCTCTAGTTCAAAATGCCAGGCACCTCCTGAGATCTTGAAAGACCATGCCTTAATATAATTGACATTATCAGACAAGCTAGACCAATTTGGTAGAAATCAGCTTTATGTGTTCAATTCTGAGAAGGTATTGACATCATGCTCTAGTAAGAAAGGCTTATTGATGCATCTCGAGAGAACATCTTTGGCATGAATCTCAAGGATATTTGTAGGGCTCTGCCCATACATAATATTTGAATTACAGGAGGGGAGACCCACCTGGGCCCCATTTTCATCAGACCTGCAATTTGGCTAAAACTGGGAGGTGTTGGAGTGGGTTTCATTATTTCCCCCACACCCTCATAATTGTTGCTTAGGCTCAACAGTAAGTAATCAGTGGAATTTTGTAAAATTAAAACAGATGGCTCTAGCAAGCTGGATCTAGTAGAATCAAAACACCTAGAATTCACATTCAGGACCTTACTTTTTGTGAACTGCCCACAGAAAAAGATGTTAGTAGCCTGTGTTTCGATGGAGGCTTTGAGAAGGCATACACTTTCTTGATGGCAGAAAGTGAGGAGGAATTAAAGAACCTTTTAATGAGGGTGAAAGAGGAGAGCGCAAAATATGGTCTGAAGCTCAACATCAAAAAAACGAAGATCATGGCCACTGGGCCCATCACCTCCTGGCAAATAGAAGGGGAAAAAATGGAGGCAGTGAGAGATTTTACTTTCTTGGGCTCCATGATCACTGCAGATGGTGACAGCAGTCACGAAATTAAAAGACACCTGCTTCTTGGGAGAAAAGCAATGACAAACCTAGACAGCATCTTAAAAAGCAGAGACATCACCTTGCCAACAAAGGTCTGTATAGTTAAAGCTATGGTTTAACTATGGAAGTGAGAGCTGGACCATAAAGAAAGCTGATCACCGAAGAATTGATGCTTTTGAATTATGGTGCTGGAGGAGACTCTTGAGTCCCATGGACTGCAAGAAGATCAAATCTCTCCATTCTTAAGGAAATCAGCCCTGAGCGCTCACTGGAAGGACAGATCGTGAAGCTGAGGCTCCAGTAGTTTGGCCACCTCATGAGAAGAGAAGACTCCTTGGAAAAGACCCTGATGTTGGGAAAGATGGAGGGCACAAGGAGAAGGGGACGACAGAGGACGAGATGGTTGGATAGTGTTCTCGAAGCTACCAGCATGAGTTTGACCAAACTGCGGGAGACAGTGGAAGACAGGAGTGCCTGGCGTGCTCTGGTCCATGGGGTCACGAAGAATTGGACACTACTAAACAACAACAACAATGCCATGAAAGCCTACGAGGATCCCTTCCTTGGGAATCGTGGGGTTGACATTCTTTTTGCACAGCGTGCTGCATCTTACGATTTTCCCATTGCATTCTCTGCTGTTTGGGACACAGAATGGTTTCGCGCGACAGCTGATTTGCAAGTGCATTGTTGAGGGGTATCAAAGAAGAGCTACAGTGGGGAGATTAGAAGATCATTGACTTTTGCAGGATTGTTAGGCCTCTGGCCCGGGTGAGCGGACCCCGAGGGGGCCTGCTGCGCGCGCCTGGTTGCCCCTGCTTTCCTCCTCCTCAGCAAGCGCGGCAAAACTCTTCGCCGGCCAGGAGAACCTCCCCCTGCCTCCCGCTAGCTCAAGTCACACCCCAGCGAAGGGGAAAAAAAAAACCTTCACGAAGCAGCCCCCCTCGGCTGGGGCTGAAAATGATTTTGGCACCGGCAGGCCGGGGCGACGCAGTGCGAAGCGGGGCACTCTTCCAACTTCTCCTCTCGCCTCCCCCCCCCCCAACCGCGAGAGCCAAGGCCATCAGCAAGCGCTTCACGCGCCGACGCTTCCCAGAGGCTCCTCGCGCGCCTGCCCGGGCTCCGGGTCCCGGCGCGCGCGCGTCCCCACCATGCAGACGGCCAAGGTAAGGAGGGCGCGGGGAGCGGGGAGTCGCGCGACCCTCGGCGCAAACTTCCCGCCTGCTTGCCGTCGCTCCAATTCCCTTGCTAAGGCAGCGGCGGCCGCGGCTGCAGCTGCTCCTGCCGGCGGGGCTGGAAGGCTTGGCGCGGATTTGGTTGAAAGGCGCGCACTGAGGCGGCGGAGCTCTTCCCAAGGGGCGCGCGGGGTGCTTTTCCTCAGAGCCGGTGGGCGTCACTGGGTTGAGGATTCCCCGGGACAGGGAGAAGAAATAATAATAATAATAATAATAATAATAATAATAATAATAAAAGAATAAATTCGAAGCAGCTTTTAAATTCGGTCCGAATGGGAAGCGTGACCTGCCTAGGCAGAGAATTACCTCTTGCCAGCTGAGATGCTCGTGAAAGGCAACGCGGCTGGGATGCGCGGTTGCGCAGCGGGAGAATCGTTCGCACTGCCGCCCCGCAAACCAGGGCTGAGGACGCTGTTGGGCTGGCGCTGTAGAAGCTTAAAACGACCTGCATTGCAAGGAGGTGGGGTTGGACTAGATGGCCCTTGTGGGATCCTTTCCAACTCTCCAAGTTCTATGACCAAGCGTTGCAACTGCGAGCAGTGAGGCTCCCGACCTGTAATTATTTAACAGACGCAAGGATTAGGAGAGCGGGGCGAGGTGTGATACTGTGCAGGTTTACTGGGGCGCCGTGGATTTCTATACTTGGGCATCCTCTGCCAATGGCACCTACTTAGCTGACAGAATGATGTCTTTCTTGCTTGGGAAAAGGATTCCTAATGTGAAATAAACAGTTTTACTCAAGGACCTACAAAGGATTAAATCCTTTTGCTGGATTAGATCCTATTTGCCCAGAAGTTCTAATTCCCACGTTGATCACCCTGAGGCTGTACATCTAGGGATCCATGCCCCCCCGCCCCCTCCTCTCATCCCCTGTTTGAAGGATGGGTGATTGTTACTCCCAAACTGAATTCTGAATGCTGACTTATCTGTTTGATGAGTTGATATGCACAGATCTAAGTTCTTATCAAAAATGATTTGCCAATGATTTACCAATCGTAGGCTAGCTCGTTAAAGTTAAACTTTATATGTTTACCAGCCCGGGGGGGGCAACTAAGTAAATAAATAAAAATACTTAACTAAAAGTAGACATTGTAGAAAGATTTTGACAGATTTTTCTTTGCACTTGGGGTCAAAATAAAGTAATTTAAAACAACATTTCATTCCAAATCTGCTAGACAGAGCCAGACAGAGGATGATGGCAGGTGGGTGTCCTTCCTCCCTAACTTAAATCCTGGCTATGCCTATGCTTGGATTATGTCCAATTTAACTTGATAGGACTTACTTTTGAATAGATGTGTAAGATTCCATTGCAAATCTCTCTTGCGAACTAAATCTAGTGTACCTGTTATCCTCCTTCAGATGTGGAAGTGTCAGGGAAGCAAACACCTAGAAAAGCATTCTTTATATGTTTTCCTTTCCTGTGCATTATAGGTATGGGTGCTTGCCTGCCTTCTCTTGTGTGGACTCCCTTACCCAGGATTAGAGACTTTCAAGGTAAGCAAGCGCCCACTGCGTGCTCGAACCTGCGCTGACCGGCCTGAAGAGCTTCTGGAGCAGCTGTATGGGCGTCTCACAGCAGGGATGCTCAGCGCTTTCCATCACACCTTGCAGCTGGAGCCTCTGGAAAAAGATCACAATACCAGTTGTCCAGCAGGGGGCAGATCAGCTGCAGACAAGGTATACCGACTCCCTATCAACCTCAACAGCGTCTCTCCTTGGTCCTACAGGTAATGTGAATGCAATTAATCTGCCACTCCCTAGCTTAAAATGTGAAGTAGTATTGTGTGATTGTCTTATTTCTCCACCTATGGCGCTATGGCTATGTGTCACTGAACTTCAGTTCCCATCAGCCCCAACCAGCATGGCCAATGGTTAGGGGTGATGGAGGTCATAGTCCCTATAACATCTGGAGAGCCACAGGTTCCCCATCCTCTGCTCTGTGGCTTGTGACCTGTGTCGAATAGGACCAATCTATTCAGGCCGTTTCTTCATCTCTCTTCTGGTCTCTTAGAACTACTGATTCTTGAATTTGAAGGGGGAAATTAGTCATGAGACAGACCTTGCTTAATGCTGCACTTTTAAAAACCAGGGCAGAACTATGAGAGCTGTGCTTGCAGCTGATTTACTCCCCACCCCCACCCCGACTTAATAGCAGCAGGACAGGTGAGCAGAACAGGGTCTGGGTGTCTTGTTCTGCTCTCTAGTAATTAGGCTGTCACATTTTTAGCTCAACCGCAGCATCTGGGAAGCTGCTATTTTAAATGTGCATACAGGTGTCACAACAGGAAGAACAGAATTCAAAGCAAATGCATCCAAAGTGGGGCAGTTTCTAATTTTAAAAACGTGTGTTGTTATTATTATAATACTCTGAATAAATAGCAGCATTTGCATTTAGTTATGTACCTTTGTGGGAAATGCAAATATTGTCTTTTTAATGGCCACTAATAAACATTGGCTTATGTGGTTTGTCTTCTGCCTGGTTTAGCTTTAAAAACAGCTGTTTTCTCAATATGGTATTTTAAAACTAACTTTATGTATTTAGAAACAATGTTTACAAAGAATACAAACTGAATGCCAGCGCTCTAAACAGAAGCTCTGTATATCCTGTACTGAAATATCAAAAATAGCACTTATATTTTGCCTGAGTAGTTTAAAAATGTGAATATACTATTAACACTGAAGGTCACATAAGGTTGACCTACAATATGTAGATCTTGGGCAGGAAATAACTCTGGAAGGATCCACTGGTAGATCAGCTGGGTGATTTGCACTAGATCTACAAGGGCTTCTATTTTTCCCATTGTGTAACAATAGCAGGAAGGGAAAAGCTTTCTCACCACACCCTCACCCCCCAAATATCAGGCTGCTTAAGTGAAGAAAGCTTGGAAGAAGACAAAGAGTTGATTTTTGTGCAAAAGTACTGTGAGCTCAGCTCTGATACTGAGCTCATGTTCAGTTGTGTTGTGTTCCTGAATTTACAGGGCTCTATTAGAAAGCAAAAGTCGAGTCCACAGTCCTGGTCCCAACTATGCCTAGTCTAAGCAACAGCTTTCAGCCTCCAGTTCTGATTAATTGGGGCAGTCAACAAAACCAGAAATAGGATTGTTTTGTCCCTGGTTTCTGTTTAGTGGCTCTTCTTTTTCTCTGGCTAAGTAGATGCAAGTACCCAAGTACCAGAGAGGCGAGTTCAAAAGTGTTTACGTTTTATTTTGTGGGTAATGCCTCCCATAAAGAAGTTGGAACCTGAGAGGCCAGTTCAAATGCCTAAACAGCCTCAGTCCAGTATACCTGAAGGAGCGTCTCCACCTCCATCGTTCTGCCCGGACACTGAGGTCCATCGCCGAGGGCCTTCTGGTGGTTCCCTCACTGCAAGAAGCCAAGTTACAGGGAACCAGGCAGAGGGCCTTCTTGGTAGTGGCACCCGTCCTGTGGAATGCCCTCGCACCAGATGTCAAAGAGAAAAATAACTAACAAACTTTTAGAAGACATCTAAAGGCAGCCCTGTTTAAACAAACATGTTTAATAGGTTATTGTATTTTAGTATTTTGTTGGAAGCCACCCAGAGTGGCTGGGGAAACCCAGCCAGATGGGCGGGGTATAAATAATTATTATTATTATTATTATTATTATTATTATTATTATTATTATGATGCTGTCCAGTGGTTTCCCCCCTAGAAAACAGGTGCTGGTACTCACCATAAAGTTGTTACAGTAAGTGCTGCACTTTTTAACAACTAAAAAAAAGAAGTGCCGATAGTGCATACACTTGAGTACCCCCTGAAAAATTTGTACTGATCTTGTCGGTCCTTGAGAGAGCTGTGCTGTGCTCCCCTGCACATGCTCTCTCCCCCACCCAGTTGCACAGATGCTGAGATGTCCCACTCTCAAATTCGCCTGCCTTTGTTTCCCTTCCGCATGGGCCCCTCCTGATTACTTTTCATCTCCTCGCTGACTTGTTCACCAGCTCCCTCTTGTGATGTCCATCTCCAGATGTCATTGGCCTGACCAGTTTAGAGTCCAGATTATTATTAATGATGGTGATGGTAAATAAATCCAGGCCTAAAGTCTTTTCCTGCAGCTCTTCCCTGGACACCTAACCCCAGTTTGATACGCTGCCATTTATCACTGCTCCTTCCGGTCCGTGTGGCTGCATTCCTAGCTCAGGCAACTGGGTTATTTCACAAAAGAGATAGAAGGCATCTGCTGAAATCCACATGTAGGATAGTCTTGCCAGACAGATCTGCCATAAGCCTTTTTGGATCTGTAGTGCAGAGGTAGGGAACAGGACCTGGCCACTGGGCCAGATCATTCTTCCACCTACTCATGCAAGCCAACTATGACAGATGGGTGGGGCTACTCATCTGTCAATCACCTAACATCACAGTGTCATCAGGTGGCCCTTTTTAGCACAGGACTTTGCAGGCAATGCCAGTCGTCTGTTCAGCAGTGCCTGCGCACCACTATCAGCTGCGCCAGGTCCCATATCTGACGCTGGGTCTAGGACTTGTGGGCTTGACTTGGATGAAATGGTCTGGCAGGCCAAAGCAGACCTTTTCTAAACCCTGCTGTAGTGGCATGCGCTGCCTTTCCATATGTGTAATTCAATTCAATTCATCTCAGCTCATAGTCCTTAGGACTACGTCAGCAGGTTGATTTGGCATCAGTTCAGCATCAGCATGCTTAGAAGATGCAGAGCCACCACACAGGTGCAGAGTACCACAAAAGTGTTTCATCAAAGAACACACCTAAGGGATTGTTCAGTTGAAATTGCGCCCTTGCAAGGGGAAAGCTAACACAACACAAGTAGAAGTTATCCAGTGTACTGTAGACGAACCAGGTCACTTAGTGCCATTCGCTTGCAGAAACGATCATGTGGAGCAATGCAGAGATGTGGAAGCATTTGGAAAGACCTGTAGGTATACATTGGAACAAATTGCATGTAAAAAATGGCACTGCCATTGTAACTCTCATGCTCTGTGCTGAAAATTCCACCTCTCAAATTGGATGGGCAACAGCATTTGGGCTCTTTAAAATGCACTCAGGGATCTAACTAATATGTTGAGCCTAAACCTTGCTGTTCAGTAGAATGTACCAATAGCTCCAGTGGAAGATGCTTCTGGTAAGCATGCTTAAGACTGTAGCCACTGCCTTCTTTTTTCTTTTCTTTATTTCACTGGATGTTAATTTGACTACAGAAAATGGTCAAAATGTTAGAGGAAGGAAACAGTCTACTTAAACTAGTCTGAATGGCTTGAGTAAGTCAGCAAAGTACAAAAGAAAACATAATTATCAGGATTCTAATCTGCAGGAAGAGATCTTTTATCCCAAATCAATTAAACTTTAAGCAGAAAGGCCATATCTTAGTAGTAGTGCTCATGTTTTGCATGCAGAAGGTATAGCTGGGAATGTCCCTTGCCTGAAACCCTGGAAAGCTGCAGCCAGTGAGTGTGGACAATACCGAGTTAAATAGGCCAATGGTGTGTCTCACTGTAAGCCTGCTAGTCCTATATACATTTCAAAGACTTAATTCCAAATAGGCTTCAGTTGCCACTCAAAGAGTTTTAGAAGTGTTAAAGGATTTAGGAGACCGAGCTTAAGACATATATTTTTCTTGAGTGTCTCTCAAGGGAGGCACACAAGTATTTTGCAACGTTAAACTCCCTGACTCTTGGTAACACTTATTTTTGCAGCCTCCATTCTATAGGGCCCAAACTGGCACTACTGCTTTCACGTTCTTCTTCTTCTGTATTTTTAATGACTAATTCCAGACATCCTGAACAGAGTCCAACTTGTAGGAAGCTTAGGCCGACTACAGTCATCTTGAATCACTATTAATTCACTCCTGACACTGAGCAACAAAACATTTAAGGTTTGAAGCAAATATAATTTTGTTAACAGCAATAGCAAATGCAATTGGATAACCTCTTGGGACTCAGTCCTGTTTGCCTTTAACCGATTTGTACATGCATTTCAAAAATCTAAAAGGTAGTCATTTCTTTAGACTTTTTTTGTACATTCAGGCACTCCAAATACAAATTCCAGGTGCACAAATATATGTTCTGGTTAGATCAGCGTCAGAGTTGGATAAGAATGGGTCAGTGAGTGACTTGGCCTTCCCAAAGTGCTAGTTTGCACAGCTTAAGAATGTTTTAGAAAATGTAAACCATGGTACATAGTGAGCATCGTGCAATAAATTTGTTTTGACCATTCTCCTATAGCAGGTTAATTTGGTCATATTTATATGGGGTGGATGTGTTTAAGTAAGTCTGGTACGTGGAGTTTGAAGCACTAATAGGGTTTTGAGTGGGGGGGGGAGGGTTCCCACTCATTAAAACAACAACACCTCAATCTTTTTCTATTCATTCTTTAAATGAAAGTCACCGTGTCACAAATGGGAAAGCCTGTTTTACAATAAAGCACAGTCATACCGTGAAGACCCTGTTTATCCTTCATGAGTTTTTTGCATGTAGCCATTTGTGTGTAAAAAGCTGCACCAGTTGATTTACTGACTGACAGGCAGTCTTTAGGCACCATGGCATTTACCAGAAGCAGAAAAAACTGGACCGAGAAAACCCTGCTTCACCTTTTTTCCTTTTTCCTTATTGGTGTGTTAGCATGTGAGCCTCTTTCTCAGGGCTTACTATTTCCTAGAATGCTATATACGGTAAATATAACTATACTTGTATCACATGTATTATTGTAGACAGGCAGGGATTCCCTACGTGAACAGATAGCTCAAGGCACCAAAGCCTTTCTTTTTAAAAAGGGGCATTTCTGCACCAAGGCAATGAAGCTTGGTTGTGCAAAAAGTGAGCTTTCTCAGGAAAAATCGCTTCTGCTTCACATATGGACATGAGTTGCAGAAACTTGGATCTAGTTTTGTGTTCCATTTGAAGCCAGAGGTCATGTTCATCCTCTTTCCAGAGCATCCATCTATGTGATGCTGGAGCTCTGGGCCAAACATGTCCCCAAGCATGGCTTTGAATTATGCCTAATTTCTTCCATTCCGCATTTGTTAGTGAGCTTCCAAGCAGCAACAGCTTCTGAAAAGGAAAGGTTATCCAATTTCCCCCACCTCTTATTTAAACCTGCTTTTGCCTTCCTTGCTTTTACAAATAGGTACTTATCGCCTGCCTGTGAGTAGACAGATATCCCCTATTATGACGAAGGGCAGAACTACATATTCATTGCAGCTCTGTGAGTCCTTCAAAAGTGTAACTGGGTCCTACTAAGTCAAGGAAGGGAGATCCAGGAGTTTTGGCTGTTACGTGACACTTCTCCCCTCTCCTCTGCTCCTTGCCATGTGCTCCCTGTGTAAATCTGCTCCAGAGGGGTTTTTTGGGGGGGGAACCCTGGAAGAGTTTTAGGGGGCACACAAAGGGTGCAGAGGTTAGGGGCTCACAGCTAAAACATTGCACATCTAATACTCATTGTGTTGGCAGGACTGTTTCATTGGAGAACCACCTCCCCAAGCTGCTTCTTTTTTTGGCAAAGAGTGATAAGGGAAGAATTTTGGGCCTGCTGTTAAAAACGAGCAGGAGCAGGGCCAGAAAAAAGGGGTCCAACTCTGTCCACAACAAAGGCACTGCATTAGTGCTAAGATGTGTGGAAGAACAGAGACGACATACCCTCTACAGCTAAGAATCCCGGAAGGAAAATGGGCAAACTATTGATGTGCATCGGCTATGAGACAGTTGAGCCGAATGAATCCACCTTACCATTGCATGAACGAGGAAATTGAGCATGCCTTTGTTTCAGATGCTGATCCGTTTAGGGAGCTGTCCAAAGGGTTTCTCTCTCCAAGTTTTCAAATAAGCAGGCCGTGTTTAAGAGCTGCAGCTGTTCCCCTCCTCCCCTCTCCTTGGCATAATAACAAAACATCATTTAATGCAGTGCAAAGCAACTGTCAACATTTTGCCGTAATCTTTTCCAGCTGGGATAAAACAAGGAGTTGGGAGACGGTATAGGACGCACAAACTGAGTCCCTTTTCTTTTCCTTTGGCACAGAATCTCCTATGACCCAGCAAGGTATCCAAAGTACATCCCCGAAGCCTATTGCCTATGCAAGGGCTGCCTGACTGGTGTTTACGGGGAGGAGAACTTCCACTTCCGGAGTGTCCCGGTGCTAATGCCAACAGTCATCTTGCGCCGAACCACGACGTGCACCGGAGGACGCTATGTCTACACAGAGGATTATGTCACTATCCCAGTGGGCTGCACCTGTGTACCACAGGTACATGAAAAAGAAGTAGATGGTGTAAATTCCAGCATAGACAAGCAAGGGGTAAGGTTACTCGTTGAATCGTAACAGCAAGCCACCATCAGAATGAAGGCCCCAGAAGAAACCTGATGGCAAAGGTTGCTTTGCATGTCCTTTTAGCTTCGCCATTCCCTGGTTCTGGGAGTTCTGGAGTCCATTCGTAAACACACACACACCTGCATGATGATGTGGGCTGCAGCCTGCATCCATGACTGAGCCATTGGAGAACAGTCCATATGCACAGGACGTTTGTGCCAGCTCAAATACAGTCCCCTTCAGTGCAGTCAGATCAATGTACCCGGCTGCGAGGCCCTTATTTTTGAGAGGCCAGGTGATGCTTTTGCACATATAGGGCCCACCCATAGAAGCAGCGTGCTTTGAAAATATCATTACAAACGTTGCGAAGACAGAAGCTGGAGGTGTGGTGGGACACAGTCCAGTGACACAGAGCCATGATGAGATTTGAAGAATCATAATGGGAGTGAGTTGCACAAATTAAGAAATCACGCCTGGAAAGTAGTTTTGGGGATACAGTAGTGGTCCAGGAAATATGAGGCTTGTACCACCTAATAGCTGCTATAGATAAAGGCAAATGTTGGCTTTGCTCTGAAGCAGAACCATTATGTGTTGTCATCACTGACCCCCTTCTGAGACTCACATATGCCCTGGGGTCTGTCATGTCACACTGAAGCTTAAAGGTAGTGCAAGCAGCTCATTTTTTATCTGCTCCGAACATCAAATGATAGGGGACTCCCTTTTGTCACATCTTCTAAATCCTTAATGTAAAGGTCGCTGAAAGGGCTGTGTCTTTAAGATATGACCCTGATGTTGGGATTCTGGACTCCTGATTATTTTTGTTTCAGCTTTAATTGTTACTTCTGTGTTCAAAGGAAGAAAACCTTTCACAAAATAACATTTCAAAAGCAGCGTCAGCAGACTCGCTGAAAAGGTAGCATCCTCACACTGCAAAGCAGTATCAGTCTACGAATAGTTTACTCAAGGGGCAGGTGCGAAATATAGAGAAGTGAAGAACTTTACTGCTGGCGTTAACGAGGAGTAAAGTACTGGTGTTTTTCCAGTTTACAGCTCAGCTGTTGATCAGGGCAGTATTGTATATGCCGCAAATGCACACCAACCCTATACAATATACTCTCGCTCACATAACATCATGGAAAGAGAAGTCTCGGCTTGAAAAACAGTCTGGTTTATGACCCCTTTCAAAAGTGTGGAAACATGCCAGTTGCCTTTTTAAGCTGTTCTTAGCTTTCAGCTTACAAGCCAGTTATCAGTTTTAGATTTTTCAGGCTGCAGGAGCCTTTGGGAATAACAAGGATGATGAGAGATCAGATAAATGAAACCAAACTGCTTGGCCAAAGGGGGGGGGGTGTGCCTTGGCTTCCATCAGTGAGAGAGGAAAGCATCTGCCAAATTAAATGAATGTATGAGCCAAGAGCTCTAAACAGCAAAGGTTCAGAAAACTCTGTAAGCTGGAGGCAGTTGCCTCTTTAAACTCCCAAAGCTGTTGGCTCAATTTACAGGGTTAATTCTGTCTATAACTCCTTTCTCCGCAACTTCCTACACTGAAAGCACCATCCTTTATGGATATTCTGTGGCTATTTCCCAAGTCACCCATTCCACTTGGTGAGAGTGAGCCATGGTTTTTTAATGCGTAATGTTAGCAAACATCAATAGGTTACCAAATTGTAAAGGTAAAGGGACCCCTGACCATTAGGTCCAGTCGCGGAAAACTCTGGGGTTGCGGCACTCATCTCGCTTTATTGGCCGAGGGAGCCGGCGTACAGCTTCCGGGTCATGTGGCCAGCATGACTAAGCCGCTTCTGGCAAACCAGAGCAGCGCACGGAAACGCCATTTACCTTCCCGTCAGAAGGGAATCGTGGGGATTCGAACCATCGACCTTCTGATCAGCAAGTCCTAGGCTCTGTGGTTTAACCCACAGCGCCACCCGCGTTGCTTTCCATTTAGCTTTCTAGCTATCGGGTAGATGGTTGCTAATTATCTCCAAATTGCACATGACACAGCACTTGCCATTTGGCCTTTGTTTAGGGTGACCAGAATGACACCGTTGGACCTTCAGTAGTTGTGTAGAAGGGGTGGCAAATTTTTGGGATGAAGATTTCCCCTCAATTTAAGGAAGACACAAACTGAGAATAGCAATTAGTATGATGACCTGAGAAGGGTGACTAGGAGGAAGAATCTGTAAACCAAATCCTATACGGAACAATTAAAGAATACCTGGGTGCATCTAGCCTGGAAAAGATTAAGGATAGGCATTCCAGCCGTCTTCAAATATCTGAAGTGCTTTCATGTAGCAAAGGAAGAATTTTGTGTTCTGTTGCTCCCGAGGGTAAATCTAGAACAAATAGGTGGAAATGGTGGGAAAGTCAATTTTGGCTAAACCTTGCGAGAAACTTCCTAAGAGTACAAGCCACTCAACAGCGGAACTGCCTGCCTCAGGAGGTATTGAGCTCTCTTTTCCTCATTGGAGATATTTAAGCAGAGGCTGAACGAATGTCAGGGATTTTGTAGTCACACCTTGCAATGTAGATCCTGCATTGAGCAGAGTGTTAGACAAGTTGACTTCCACGATTCCTTCCAACCCAGAGGCCCATCTCTGCATGAAAAAGGCGTATCTGCCAAAATCCTTTCTTTTTCATAATGGACTCTGGGGATGAGAGGATTTATTCCATTCTGTTATTTCCTCTGGTGTGCTCTGCCCAGAGTTTAACTCCTGATCTCTAGTTTAACTATTATTAGTTTTTAAATTACAACTAGTTTTTTTCACCATCTAGCTCTCATTTCTAAGTTTCTGAAATTACAGCATGTATAGTTTGCAAATGAGCTGAAAGCTGAGGCATCTCCCTCCCCACTGCTTTCTTAATGCACCTTTGTACTGATAAAACAGTGCAGGAAGATCCATAACAATGTGAACCTATTTTTGGACAGTTTTACTAATGTGCACACTTGTTTTGACACGCTGGTAAATACCTCCCAAAAAGAATCATCACACAATTGTATAGAATCACATATTGCATTTTTACAGTATTACCACACACATGTTCACGAACACACTGGTAAGATGGTAGAAAAGGGATTGCAGTGCAATCTTGATCAAGTTTGTTCCCTCCCCCCCGCCACTGTTTTATCAACATGTGGGGAGGAATGACAGACACCCTGAAAAGCCACTGCTAATCAGAACAGGCAGCGCTGGGCAAAAACTTATCAGCTATAAGGTAGCTTCCTATGTTCCTCCATAAAAATGAAAAAGAAGAAAATAACTCAAATAAGAGAACTGTGAATTTCTAATCCAATTGGAAACAAGAGATCAACTAATTCAGATTTCCCAAAATCCAGGTAGAAACTTCTGAAATATGCCTAATGGAGCCTGGCTAACCTTTGCATCCATAACATGTCCTTCTTCTAGAAAACTTCCCAATGATTAATTTAATTTCTCTCTCCATCGCTGCGCTACACTGCACTATGCTGTGGCTCTTCCAACCAAACATTCCTTTGAGATTACTTCACAGCCCTGAGTCCATGGACCCCTAACAGAATCTCTGCATTCTATACTGGGGTGGTGGGGAGGGGGAAGGAAGGCAGATTTAAAAGGAAAGAAATGCTTGTTGAATGCAGTCCAGACATAATTTGTGAGCACAATTCAAAGGAAACACTGGCAGCTATACATAAGTTGATATAACTTTTATGGCAGGAACCCCTCCCTGCAACTTTTATTGGAAATTCAGAGGTGCAAATTGTGGTAGTCATTCACTTTAGTATCGAAATCAACTGACACAGAGGATTTTCCTTGCATCTGCCTTGTATTTTACAATACAACCAGCAGCATCCCACCATAATTTCCAGCATCAAACTATTCAGGCATCTGTGACTACTATACTATGCAACTCACTGGCATGCACTATCAGAGAACAGCTAATTTTAATGCACCCATTTGACCACAGTTCATATGCTAAACTGGGTGAATTATGTGTATCTGCAAGTGTCTAATGCTAAAGTTGTGGCTTTCAAATGCCCCCGGGGAATCTTTTCCACATTGGCAAACTAGTTAATGACCTCTGCACATTTTGGTTGGAGGCGATTATTCATAATGGGAAGGAATAAGAATTTGCGTGGGGAATGCAACTATTCTTGTAGAGGAAACTGTTCCAATCAAAGAGCAGAGTACTTGGCGGCTTAAGTAAGGGCAAGATTTCAAAGTACAGGCAATATACAGGCTTAGTCTGGAGTTCTGAGATAATGAATACAAACCAGACTCGAACTATTGAAGGTTTTGTGCCAAGGCATATGTATCCAATGTTCTCTTTTGCTCTTATTTCAGAATTTAGTTCATATTCAAACAAAAATGTAAAACCTTTGGTGGATAAGTTAAAGCACAGGTGGCTGTCACCTGTAGAATGCAGCCTGCAGGGATGCTGGGCAAGTGAGAGGTGCTATGGCCGTGGGAACTGCTGAAATGCAGGGCTGTATGAAGATGCCAGAGCACTCAACTTCATAAGAACATAAAAGAGGCCGTGCTGGATCAGGTCAATGGCCCATCTAGTCCAGGCAGCCTGTTCCCACTGTGGCCAAGCGGATGTCTATGGGAAGCTTTCCTCTGCCCAAAATATAAGGGGGAAAGAAGGAGCAGGTGTGTAAACACAAGGACCAGTGCATGGAAAGCTGGAAACCCCATGGGAAATGTTAACATCACACTTAACATGGATGTCAGCTAGCTCTTCAAAGCAAACTGGAGAAATGGGAGAATTGTAAAAATGGGAAGACTGACTTAAAAGGGAAGTACCATATTTTTCCACATATAAGATGATGTTTTTTATTATAAAAAAAAGTTAAAAATTGGGGGTCATCCTATAAACGGATAGTGCAGAGGGGGGGACAGTCGACTGGTGGCATCTGCGAGCAAGAGATTGTCAGCAGCGATTTGGCGGGTGATTGGTGGCTGCGGCCAGGCCTGCTGCTGATTCCCCCCTTTTCTTTAATTTGGAGTCCAAAAAAAATAGGATTGTCTTATACACCGGGGTGCGTTATACATGGAAAAATACGGTAGTATCCTGCACTGCTGAGAAGGGTGTAACTAACATGAATGGTTGCAACTTTCCTCCCGGTAATTGCGTTAATCATTTGCTGGACTAGAGAGGAAGGGGCAACACACCTTCCCCTTCATCGTATCTTCAGTACAGGGTGGTCTCATTATCCATAAAATCAGACCAATACTCTTTAACAGTTCTGTACAATGACTGCAGCTCAGCCAATGGCTGGGGCAGAATAAAAACCTAGCCATTCCCCATCTCCAAAGTAGAACAGGATTTAGGCAGTTTGAAAGGTTGGCAAGTCCCTGTACCATAATACATCATACAAGAGAATCTAAGGACATTTTATGGCACACAAGCGTAAGAAAATGAATTCAGTACTGTGCATACAACTTCAGTTTGATAAAGGTCAGAAAAGTTATCCAATTGCCTCTTTGGATCAATGGATGTTATGCTGCAAAAGTGCTTAATGGCTTATTCAGAGAAAAATGAAATTAGTTCAGGTTTTGTATGCGAAAATGCTGTGAGATACACTTTGAGTGTTTGATGAGGGTCACGCTCTTCCGAATTGGGAAATAAGTATTTTGCAACTCAACCACGTGATAAAGTCAGGTTCACAATACACCTGGAAAGATAATATGGCAGCCTAATAACATAAAATGCCCCTTTAAAAAAAAAACTTCTGACATAGCATTTTAGAATACTATAGTCTTCCATTTCTGTGCAACATTTTAATAAAACGTTTTTCCTTCCTCTCTAAGAAGGCAATAATTTATCACAAATCAAATACACAAGGTGGCAATTCATAATGAAAAATATGGAGCTTGTTACCAGTGCTGGAGTTCAGATTTATGCTTGCCAGGGACTCATGAAGAGGAACTTAGTTACATCACTTGTTCTCAGCTTCAGTTGCCCACAGAATTATAAAGAGCAATAGGAAAGGGAGCAAGACCTGTCAGTTGGGTTGGCAGAGTATAAGAAGTGTTTTGGTGGGAGAAAGGTTATCCAATGTTATTGCACCTGTTCCATGTCCACTTGCTCAACCCTCGCCTCTCATCACCTCCTCCCTCCTATTAGCACAAATATTGCTGAATGTTAAAAACAAATTACAAATGTTCACACCTCTAGAGAAGGAAAAAAGCCCCAGACTGAAATATTTGGTTAATTCTTTATGAGTCAAGAAACAGAATCTAGTCCAGAATCATAGTTTACGTAACATCTAAATTCATTGGCTAGGTTTCGAGTATGTTTTGGAATAAACTTGCTCATCTTCACACCAAGATACTTAGCAGCATATTCCTCCATAACAGCACCTGCAGCAGAAAATGAACAAAAGATCATGTCTTAAAGGAACAAAAAGAGCAAGAACTTTCTTGTTGGCCCATCCCATTTCAAACAGTGGCCAACCTCAGACTTCTCAGGAGCAGGGCATGAAGGCAAATAGACTTTCTCTCTGGTTGCCCCGAGCAGCCAATGTCCAGAGTCAACATTGAGATTTCAGTTTGCTATCATAGCAAAGCAATGGCATATTTAAATTATCTTTTTTAACTACTCCTGTTCCCCCCCACTATCCTCTATCCCCTTACAACAGCTTTCTGTGAGAGCTGACTGTTTCCCAAATCAAGATGCTGTACAAAGTCGTGAGCATTATCCTTTTAAATGAATGCAGACACTATAATTATAGATAATATGTTAGATGTTGCAATGCTTATACCTGTACAAAGCAGAACCTTTCCTTTAGTCAAGTATTTTATGGTTTCTGCAGTTTTTCTGAGACACTCTTCAGACAGGTAGGGTGGATCTGCTACGACAATGTCAAAACTGTGTGCTGTGAGGTTGGCCGGAAGGTTCAAGGGATTGTTGTAATCATAGAAAACATATTCAGCTCCATACACAGAAAATCTTTGGTCATATTCCAATAAACATGTTGAAAAATCTTTGTTGTCCTGTTCTTTCAATTTTTGATAAACACTGGGTGCACTAACACATGCTATTCTGAAAAGATAAAGAAATAAAGAAAAAGGTTCAGATATTTAATCCAGAACTTGTGCTAAACAGTGTGCGTGGCAACTTGAACTTCGAATTGGCATAGCAATTACCTGAAAAAGAAGGATTTATTTTTTTGAGTGGAAATGCTGACTTAGAATCACTGAATTTAAGAAACTTCACAACCAACTGCAAACAAAACCCTCACACACGAAGTGGACTGTATCTTCCTTATTAAGAAAGGAGAACTCCCACAACTATCTGCAGGTATGACAAGGTTAAACAATGCATTTTTATTATCCACATATTTCCAACGATATCTCTACTGACTGCATTGTGTATATTCAACCATTACAGTTTTCATGCGCCAAGAAATGCAGTCCCCACCACATGGAGGAGCCAAGGGCTGAGCTTCCGTACTGCAAAAACAGTTGATCATACAGAGGTAATGTGCACAATTAGGACTGTTGCATGTCACAGGAACCAGAAAACATTGGTCCTCCAAACAGTTCTGGAATGCCATCTTACTCAAATTCACAATAAATATAAAAGAGGTCTTAGAGATGGACAGGAGTTCTTAGCATCATTCTGCAAAGTTCCCTTGGACCTCAGAAGTGAGGCTTGAAATCCATGCACAAATTAATAGATGGCCTCAAGTCTCAGTCTCAATTCATCTGTAAAACGGAAATGTTGGTTGCTTTGTCACAGGTAGGTGATAAGGGAAGCTTTGCATGTTATATGCTATGTAAAAATCATAAACAACATTTCACAGTCTTGTGCTTTAATGATCAAAGTTGTCTCACTATCAAAGCTGTATCACAGTGATGTACTACAGAAAGGTTGACACATTAACATACTACAAAAAAACCCCCAGAAAACAGTATTACAATATTTTCAAAAAGACAAAAACACATTGCTAGATTTATAGAACTCACCTGCCACCGCTTCCAACTGCTCTTGCAGCCTCGTTAGCTAAATGGAGCGCAGTTTCAGCATCATACCAAAACTGGCTCAGTTGCTGGGGGTAATAAAGCACAAATATCAGTAATACACTTTTCTTATACAATAAATGTCAACAGAATGGGGGGGGGCACAGACACCCAACTAAGCAAAATGGGGCTCAGGGTTGTATATGGCCTCCACTACAGATATCCAATAGTTGTGTCCTTTTCTCTTTCCATTTCATTGTCCCTGAGGTAAAAAGGGCACACAGAAGCAAAAGGGAGACACAACATGTCAATGATCATGGTAGAGAACTGAAAGGTCAGACTGTGGAAGGATCAAGATGATAAGATACAATGGACTGAGTAGACAATGCTGAGTGTGGGGAGGGAGCCAGGGAAGCATCAGCAGCAACAACAGGGGTTGAGGATTGGCTGCTGGGTGCAGACAGTGGACATACACTCCTGAATCACATTCATGTTAACAATTCATATGTTACAGTATTTAAAACATGTACATGTGTGCGGCCCAAGCTTATGAGACACACCATGAACTAGCGCCAAGAGAAGTGGGCAAGGAAACTGGAATGGGAAACAAGCAGGGTGGGGGAGGACCACATGCTTGATGCTTGGAAGACATATGATGAGAGTTTCGTGTCCCAAACTGGGATCAAGAATACAAGTAAGATTTTCCTGGCTCCACTCTTGGTTCCCTGCACCCTCCAAATATCCAGTTCATACCCATTTCTTTGTCATGAGAAAAACTGGAAAGTACAGGTTAGGTAGAAAAAAACTGAGCCAACGATAACTTTGTTTCTTAGTATTAAATTGGATCTTCGGTTCCGTCCACTTAATTTTTCACTGAAGGAAAAGATAATCTCTCTTCCACTTTCCCAAACTGCATGTTTCCCATGAGAAGCAAGCTAATGAGTGGAAATAGTGCAATTATACTAATGCGGTCAATGTCTAACAGAGGAACACACACCACTATAGGCAATTTGCTTGCCCAGAGTTTACATTCTCTGAACTGTTTCTCAATACAGCAAGTTGACTTTAAAGCCAAAACCAAGTAAAAAATTTCATCTGAGCTGTAACAATAATGGTGGATCTCGATGTCATTTAGCATTCCAACTATTGACAGTCTTGTTGGGTGCCTCTCTTCTCATTATTTTGTCCTGCATATCTGTGATCCTGTGCCATTCTATAGAAGTGCTACCACAAACTGTATTTTGGTCAAAATGCACCTGCTTACCCAGTTCTCTTCTATTGAGCCAAGAGAATTGTTATCAAATCTTTCTGTTGCCTTAAAGTCTTCTCTATGCTGTTGCTCAATATAGAACTCTTGCAGAGCAGATAAGGCTTCAGATGAAAGCTGAGGGACATCATCGTCACTGTCACTCATTTTCTAGACACAAAGGAAAATAACACAACCCTTTTGTTAATTAACAAAAATCTTCAAAAGATACAGGGACTAGCTGTAAAATTATATCTCTTTGCCATAAGAGGCAGAGATGAGAGTGTTTTCAACAAAAATAGGAATCAAGGCAATATTTCGGAAATATTTTAAATTTCATACATTTTGACTGCCCATACATCATGGAGAGCATCTCTAGGAATCCTTATAGGAAAGGAGTTCTCAAATACTGTGGGTGTTTGCAGCTGCTATTACTCTAGATTAATTCCCTTCCTATGTTATTTTCATGCTGAAGTTACACTTTAATTGGTGGGGAGGTGGGGAGCAGAGAACTAGAAACACTCTTTAGTTTCACTTTTAAGGTATCAAGCAAAATTATGATGTTTAAACTGTATATTTTATTATTCTGTTCTGAGCCAATATCAGCACAGCTGTCAACTTCAAAAGAAACATGTTTTCATGTCTACAAACTTCCAGCTGTGTATATTTACGGTATGTTAAACATGGTTCATAATGAAAAGTCTTGTATGGATTAAGATCATATTTGACAAATGTATGCCTAAAGCAATTTAGTAGTAGTAGTAGTAGTAGTAGTAGTAGTAGTAGTAGTAATAGTAATTTTTATACCCCACCCATCTGGCTGGGTTTCCCCAGCCACTCTGGGCAGCTTACAGTACAGTCATACCTCGGGTTGAAGTAGCTTCGGGTTAAGCATTTTCAGGCTGCGCTCCGCGGCGACCCGGAAGTAATGGAGTGCGTTACTTCCGGGTTTTCCTGCTCGCGCATGCACTCAAAATGACATCACACGCATGCGCGGAAGCAGCAAATCGCGACCCACGTAGACGTGGGTTGCGTCCGCTTCAGGATGCGAACGGGGCTCCGGAACAGATCCTGTTCGCATCCAGAGGTACCACTGTACATATAAAAAAATTGTAAAACATAAAATAATAAATTTTTCCCAATACAGGGCTACCTTCAGATATCTTTTAAAAGTCGGACAGTTGTTTATTTCCTTGACATCTGATGGGAGGGCGTTCCACAGGGCAGGCACCACTACCAAGAAGGCGCTCTGCCTGGTTCCCTGTAACCTCATTTCTCGCAGTGGGGGAACTGCCCGAAGGCCCTTGGAGCTGGACCTCAGTGTCCGGGCTGAACCATGGGGTGGAGACGCTCCTTCAGGTATGCTGGGCTGTTGTTTAGGGCTTTAAAGGTCAGCACCAACACTTTGAATTGTGCTCGGAAACATACTGGGAGCCAATGTAGGTATTTCAGGACCGGTATTATATGGTCTCAGAGGCCACTCCCAGGCACCAGTCTAGCTGCCGCATTCTGGATTAATTGTTGTTTCCAAGTCACCTTCAAATGTAGCTCCATGCAGAGTGCATTGCAGTAGTCCAAGTGGGAGATGACTAGAGCATGTACCACTCTGGCAAGACAGTCCACAGGCAGGTAGGGTCTCAGCCTGCGTACCAGATGGAGCTGGTAGACAGCTGCCCTGGACACAGAATTGACCTGCGCCTCCATGAACAGCTGTGAGTCCAAAATGACTCCCAGGCTGTGCACCTGGTCCTTCAGGGGAACTGTTACCCCATTCAGGACTTGGCAGTCCCCTATACCTGTCTGCCCCGTCCCCCCAAAACAGTACTTCTGTCTTGTCAGGATTCAACCTCAATCTTGTTAGCCCCCATCCATCTTCCAACTGCCTCCAGACACTCACACAGGTCATTCACTGCCTTTACTGGTTCCGATTTAAAAGAGGCAGAGCTGGATATCATCCACATACTGATAAACACCTAGCCCAAACCCCCCAATGATCTCTCCCAGCGGCTGTATATAGATGTTAAAAATATCTCTCTCGTGCATTACAGAAATGCTTCTTAAAAATTATTGCCTAGTTCACCACTCTGGGGCTTTACGTGACGAATTTATATCAGAAACATATAACTGATCAGGACACAATTTCTTTATATAACTTTGTATAGCGGTTGGCGTGTGGGGTGAGGTTTGGAAATAGTCAGACTCAAGCCCCACTCCGTCATAAAGCTCACGATGCGTCGGAAGTCACTTTGCCGCTTGACCTACATTGTACTATTGGTTTTGATTTTTATCTAAGCAGAGATGAGGAGCCTGCGTCCTGCCAGACGTTGTTGGATTACAACTCCTACCATCCCAGACTATGGACTGTGCTGAGATTGCCACAGGTTCTCCATCCCCAACCCAATTAGTTCAAGGAAGCCACCACACTTAAGACCCTATTCGCCCAATTCATATTTGCAGGTGCTGGAGTGAAGTAAAGCATACCAAGACCTTCCTTGACTTCTGCTCAGCTGCAAACTCAGCAGGGAACTTTGGGTCCAGCCAAGGGACCAGGGAGAGTTTTACACTATTCCTGAAGCATTTTGGGCTCGCTGCCTCTTCTCAATACCACCCACTTGTGCAACCTTTTATATGTTCCCTCTTCCTGTCCTTTCAAAAAGAAAAAGAAAAGGGGGGCATCTGGGCTAGCGACTTCGAGAGCGCCCCAAACTGCTATGCATGCATCCCTGGAAGGCGGCGTGAGGAGATCTCAGCTAAATAGAACAAGTTTGCCACACTGACTGCCAAAAAAATAGTTTTTTAAGGAAGTGCGTTGGGAACTGCGGCGTGGAGGGACTCTGCAAACACACGCAGACACACCTGACTCTCACAAGGAAATACACACACAATAAATAAACCCAGAGCGCTATTTGCGGGAACATGCTGCCTCACACGCCACTTTTGCCCCTGTCGCTAACCTTTTCCATGATGCTGCGAGCCCTGCCCAATGCAAACCTTCTCTCCCCACCCGCCCCGTCCTCTTCGTCCAACCTATTCCCCCCATAGGCACAACACTGAGAGCTGCCGGGCCTCCCCATCTCTTCTTTCGGGCCTCCGCTCCTTCCCTCCTGCGCCGGCAGCCATTTCCCCTTCCCCGCCACTCACCGCAGCGCGGCGGCCTCTCCGCCCGCGGCCTCCCTTCGTCAGGCTCCGCCCGCCTCCCCTCGCGAGCAGCCGGGAAGCTTCTCTCTTGCGCCCTCTAGCGCAGGGAAAGCGGCTCCTTTGCTCGCCCTGTTTATCCCTCAGAGCGAGCCTGATTTTTTTACTATTTTCTTTAATCTTGCCACCTACGTTTATGACACACGTCATCTTTATTATTTTATTTTATATTAACGGAGTGTGGGTGGGTGGGTGGAACGGGCCAGTTAATAAACATGCAAAGCTTAGCTATAAACCAATTAAGGAAAACCGACTTGGAAGCATGAGAATTAAAATAAAGAGGGGAGAGAGGCGTTTAAATAGGAGGAGGGAGCTATTTGAAGGGAATAAACAGAACTTGGGGGGGAAGAGAAATGGGAAACGAAGGGAAGGGTTAAAAAAAAATGCTATTAGAGAGAACATCATTCATTAGTTCTGTATTATAATTAAGTTCAGCTACATGACCCTGCCAGTTATTGCAAAAGACCAGAGGGGGCTTCAGTCACTCGGACTACCAGATTTATTTAGGATTTGCAGCCTACCGGGAAGTAAGACCCACTGAGTTGAATGGGGCTTGCTCCCAAGTTTAGGAATTGAGTCTTCGTTCTGAGCAAGCTTTTTCTCTCTCTCCAGTTTGTACATTGGTGTAACAAATCAGTTACTGTTAAGGAGTGCTGTTCCAAATGGTCACTGAATATATAAAATTGGTTAGCCTGATGGTCATGGCTATTGCCTGGTTCGACAACACTCCCATACTGCCCCAAGTCCTGGGCGCCACTTAATATTAAATCGAGGGCTGCTGCCCCTCTGGTTGATTCAGTGGCCAACTGTTCTAGGGCAGTGTCATGCAAGGTATCTAGAAACATTACCTCTTTTGCCATAACAATTCACCCCACTAATATCAACTCCCGGTTGCACAGGGCTCAAGAGGTCATATGACCATCATTTTATTGTTTCCTGACAGCTCCCATGGAACAAGAATTAAACTAGATCTTCAATGGGCCATCAAAATCTTACCTCGGGTTAAGAACTTAATTCGTTCTGGAGGTCCGTTCTTAACCTGAAGCACCACTTTAGCTAATGGGGCCTCCTGCTGCTGCCACACCGCTGCTGTGCAATTTCTGTTCTCATCCTGAAGCAAAGTTCATAACCCAAGGTACTATTTCTGGGTTAGCGGAGTCTGTAACCTGTAGCATCTGTAACCCGAGGTACCACTGTATGTACTGCATTGCAATGCTATGAGGTGTTTGCTATTGCTGTGTCTGGGGGCATTATTGCTCACTCCACCAGGCGTGCTGCTACCTTGGCTGCACCCAGTATTAAAGCTCCTGGCTGATATCTGTAGGATAGCCACCTGGTCCTCAGTTTCTTCCTTTATCAGGTACTATGGATCAGATACTGTACATTTTCCTTGGTCAAACCTTTATTCAGCAGGAGGGTGCTCCAGAAGAAAGTCTCAGTGTAGGGGAGGACCCCTGGACAGTTAAGTCCAGCCAAAGGCGACTATGGAGTGCAGCACTCATCTCGCTTTCAGGCCGAGGGAGCCAGCATTTGTCCCCAGGCAGCTTTCCAGGGTCATGCGTCCAGTATGACTAAACCACTTCTGGTGCAAGAGCACCGTGACAGAAGCCAGAGTGCATGGAAATGCTGTTTACCTCACATCTGACTATAGATGGTTGCTCAGGCAAGTTCCTGACCCATATGGGGAGAGCTGTTGAATATCCCATCTTAGGATCCTTTCTGCAGAAAAATCAAATATTGGTTCTTATTTAAGTCAGGAGATTGAAAGAATCTTCCCTGTGTCTCCCTTTCTTTCTCACTGCAGGGTGGAAGGTGGGACACAGTAATCCTGATTGTAGTAGTATGTTTCTTTGGTTTGGGTGAGAGCTGTTCTCCTACTGTTCCCGCTGCCATGGCCCTTTTTCTTCTTCTGTTAATTGGAACTACCGGTAGTTTGTTGCAGTGAAGAGCGTATGGCTGCTGAAAGCTGGACATCACTCAGGTGTGTTAAATCATTGCTTTTTCCATCTTGGTACTGTTATGCCCTGGAATATGGAGAGGGGCTCTCTTCCTTGCAGAGAGAGAGACAGACTCTATGAATTGCATCCCCCTTGTCTACTAGTAGAACAAATGGGAAGAGCAACCGATCTGATCATGTGTGTTTATGTCTTTGTATAGCACCTAAACAAGGCACATCATCATGATCATGGATGCAATCCTAAGCATGCTTCTCTGGAAGGAAGAGAGCCCCTTCCTTGAAAGTTAATCAAAATCAGCAGGACATGCATCAGAGAAATTACGTCTAGGGGTGAGTGTGTTACTATGAAACATACTCTTATTCCTCTTTCAGAAATCTGACCTGTGGAACAAAGTTCACCTCCCTCCCAAATGCACCATTCCCTTTCGGTGCCCTCTCCGGATTGTTTTTCTTTTTCATGCCACCAGCGGCTGCTATAGCTTACCCACTGTATTTGGGGCCAAGACTGGAATACATCCACAAATGTGGGTGAAAACATAATACAAAAATCCCGAATAGATGACGCAACGCATATATAATATGCATGAACAGGTTTTCGAGTTTTACTTTTGAGTCCCAGAATTTTAAAGCAAGCTGGTGCACACTGTACAGGAGCCTCTACCCCACCTACAAACAGCAAACCGGCTGGCTGTATTACAAATCCTCTTAGTCTGCTTTGCTATGAGCAAAGGAGATACATAAACCCAAAGGCTCTATGTTGTTCAGATTCCAGCCTGTGTTCAAGCCAATATTTCAGCCCAACCCTAACTCCTCAGGTGATACTTTGATGCAGTACAATTTTTGTTTGGTCTAGAGACTGCATAGAAATTTTAGTAACTACTTATTCACCAAACATGCCCCTCACATTTTCAAACCATAAGAATGTGGCAACAAAACTTACACAATGAGCAAGAGACAAGGAAATACTAATATTTAAATATCTGCTCCAAAGTACACCACTGCAATAAATTAGAATTAATGAACTGCTCAAAGCCTACTTTGTCTTCACTCCAAAGGAAAGCAGTGTCCAACCTAGTGATAACAGAATAAACAATACAGGGAGGGAGCTGCAGCCCAATATAGGGAAAAAAGGCAGTAAGGGAACCCCTAGCTACTTTAAATGAATTTAAATATTCAGGGCCTGATGAGCAGCACCTGAGAGTACTAAAGGATCTTGTGGATGTAATCTCAGTCTCTGTCTATAATTTTTGAGAATTATTGAAGAATAGGTGAGGTCCCTACAGATTGGAGACGTGCAAATGTTGTCTTAATCTTCAAAAAGGGAGGGAAAGACCACCAGCTTGACATCAATCTGCCTATGAGCACTTAGAAAATGATGCTGTGATTACAAAGACCCAACAGGAGTTTCTCAATAAACAAGTCATAACAGACAAATCTCGTTTCTTTCTTTCTTTTTTTGATAGTTACAAGCTTGGTGGATCAAGGGAATGTTGTGGAAATAGTGTATCTTGATTTCAGTAAGGCTTTTGGCAAGCTGGAATGTGTGCAGAGGAGGGCAACCATCAATCATCAAGGATCTGGAAACCAAGCCTTAGGAGGAACAGTTGATAGAATTGGGAATGTTTAGCCTGGTAAAGAGACGACTGAGGAGATATTATAGTCATCTTCAAATATCTCAAGGGCTATCATATTCAGGGTGGAGCATATATGCAGGGTTTTCTCCTGCTCTAGAAGCTAGGACGCAGACCAATGGTTTCAAGTTATAAGAAAAGAGATTCCAACGTAACATCAGGAAGAACTTTCTGACAGTATGAGCTGTTCAACAATAGAACAGACTCCCTTGGGAGGTTGTGGACTCGCCTTCCTTGGCAGTTTTTTAAGCAGAGGTTGGAAGGCCTTCTGTCAAGTATAAGCTAGTTGAGATTCCTGCATGGCAGGAGGTTGGAATGAATGACCCTCAAGGTCCCTTCCAACTCTGCAATTCTATGAATCTATACTCAACTATAGTACATTCTGCTGATCAGTAGGTTTTAATTCTATGCAACTTCTCCTAGTCTACAGTACCCGTGTCCATCCTTTTTATTACAAGGGCACTCAATTTAGGATCCAACAGCATCAGCATAATTCTCCACCCCAGAGCAAATGTGGCTTTGCCTCAATAGCTATTCTAATAGGTAATCAATATAAGACCATACATTTCAAAGTGGGTGGGTGGGTAACCAATGAATAATTTCAGGCATTTCTCCAGCAACAATACCACCTAATCCAGAAATTAAAGAGTATTTATTTGTTGAAGCAGCACTTGAAAATCCAGGGTTTGGGAGATAACTTCACTAGTTTTGAACAACAGCTGCTGCTCTCTCATGCCAATTTTTAGAGCTTTCTGGTTTGTAAGCACCTAGCTTGTTGAATGTACTGGTCATCCATATGAGCAGCAGAATTCCCTGAGAAAACTAGTGTCTGGGATTGGCTAAAGAGACTGCTGAATATGAAATACTAGGCAATAAAAACATTCCCATATATTGAACATTATAACTGTTCCAAGAAAAGTTCAAGAGGCCTGTCTTCCACTAAATTAGCCCCACTTCCACTGACTATGACAAATACCATTCTGACATATCTGTAAAACTGGCAGAACAGCTTCCCTTCCCATACCTTTGCAGCAGCCAGGCTGCTACCAGAAAAAGCAGGAAGAAAAGTAAGATGTATTTTAGCAAAACCAGTATAATTAGAAGTAGGACAAAAATGAATTCAATAGCAAACCAATATGTACAGTGACAGATTTTCCCAAGGGAAATGGATAACCTATACACACCTACAGTATGGTTTGTTCATTCCTCATTATTATGCTCTGTTCTAAAAGTAAGAAAGGAACCAAATATAGAAATCAACATTACGGGGGGGACGGGAATGTTTAAATGTGAACAAGGTTTTGCTTTACCAGGTTAAACTAATAATCCGTGTTGATGGTTTCCCCCCCAAGTTACAGTTCTCGTCTCTAAACATGATGTGCCTATTTTAAAGACTGTAGATGGAGATATATATATTTCAGTTAAAATAAGAGACAGGTACCTATTGTAACTTGCTTTCCTGAGGCAATTTGGTTTTGTTTGTTTTTAATACATATGCATTTATCAAAATATTTGCAAGACAATTCATTTCAACGGCCGTAAAGTCACAAAAGTGCATAAAAGCCTGAAGGCAGTCCGAGAGAACTTCAGCAGAACAGTCTTTGATTAGGATGGGGTAGAAGAGTACGTATAAGCATTCACCGCAGTTAAGTGTTGATCTTGTGAGAAGAGATCTTCCTAAGATTCTCTGGTAAATACAGCAATAGTTCAAAAGTAGCAAAATGCTGTTTTAAAAGCGATGGAGCAGATCAAGAAAAATGAATCATAGACACAACAGTTAAGAGCAGGTGTGACGAACATTGGATATTGGTTCCCCTGCCCCAGCTATTTTGCAGTGTTGACATTGACTTACTAAGTTTACCGAAAGAATAAACCAGACAAAAAATATTTGTACTGTAGTCTTGCTTGCAGCAACCACCTCCTGCTTCAGAACAGATAGAAGACACGTAAGCCTACTATATAATCCCACTTTTTGGTAAAAGGCAATACAATGAGTTTTAGAGTTGAAGACAGAAGCTCAGATAGTCAAACATTCATGTAGAAGCAAGCATTATTAGGTGTAATAAAGAAAAAGTTGCAATCTATACTTCCAAGACTTCTGCAATAAAACATTTTACTAGTCACCCAGCAAAGAATACCAAACCCAAATACTGTACTGAACGACGCACATTGAAGCACCAAGATTGTGGTGCTACATTTATGGGTGTTTTTCTTAAAAAAAACACAACCCACTGTCAATTAAACGAAAGGTCTGATGTTTCAGCTTCCAGCCAGGATTAAAAGAATGTTTCTCCTTTCCCTTCCACTCAAATGCTGTTCTAGAGAGAATTCATTTGCTGAACAAGGCAGGTTGGTAAAAATCCTACAGCACTAGTTCTTCATTAATGAGATATACAATCATAGCATGAAGCTGAAAAATAGAGTGTGAGCAGGAGAAAGGGCAGTGATGGGTAAATTTAAGGGTTTCCAAGTTGATGATGCTCATCTGTGAAAAGAAACAATTATTTCTGAAACAGACTAGCGTTATTCAGTCAATGGCAAGCCTCAATAATTTGAAGGCAAACTGTAGTGGCCCAAGATTAACATGTTTTTCCAGCTCCTAAAATTGGCGTTGTAAGAGACGAGAAAACAAAACAGCATCTGAGGTGTTGGGAAGGCAATCGTGATTTTGCAATGTAAATTGCACCCTGGTTGCCTCTTCCCAATACTGAATGCTCATTTCACTGCATTACCAAGAGCAAATGGCCCAGATTCTACTCAGATTTTGGTGGCACACAGAGGTAGAAAGCTGAATAACTCCCAAACTGGGTTGAAAATGTGCTACTATAAACTTATCTTGAGTAGAAACAATTGGAAAACAGTATTTCAGAATTCAGAGCAAAGGGAGATTGTGGTGGAAAAAGCAAGAATATGAACACCACAAAAACAAAGTTTCATAAGGAACCCTTTGCCACCTGTATTCTGGCTTCTTAGGTGACTATAACCTATGGCTTTTTAATGTCAGCGTCCTCTTTATCATGGGATATTCAATTTACTCTGATATGCAGTGGGATTCAGGAACTCTTATGCAATTTCAGCACTGTCATTCCATTTTTTTGTTTAATTGAGACCAGGCTGAGAACTGAAAAGGTTTCATGTTCTACTTCAGTCTTATGGTGAATTATGTTTAAATGTACAAAATTCACAGCGCAACACTCCACATATCTACTCAGAAATAAGTCCCATTGAATTCAATGGAGCTCGCTCCTAGGGTGTGTAGGACTGCAACCTTCATGACCTACATCTTACAGGACCTTTAGCATTATGGCATTAAATTGTGTTCTGCATCATGGGGGGCGGGGAAAAGATTTTGCATATTTGCCAAATTTTGCATAGCATGGAAGTCCAAAAAGAACATGTTCTACTTAGAGGACTTCTCAAAATAGTGAAGAATCTCAAGTTACAGAGATGACTCCACAAACATCAGCTGGCCAACTCAACAAAATGCATACCCTTCCAGTCAGCTCAGTCAGGAAAAGAAAGTTTCTCTGAGTTACCAATGATTTCAGATGGTTTTTGTTTGCCTGTGAGGCGCTTTTGCACACATAACCAATTTCTGGCATAGAAGTAGTTCACATAACCCACCTATTTCCAAATTAAATATCATCCTTGATTCTGCCCTATTGCAAGACTGGAAAGACCTACCATACCTACTACACCCAATTTTAGAATAATTATACAAATGTGGACTATTAGTGTGAAACATTGCTTTGTTTGTATGTTTTTGTGATCACAGGGCTTTCTTTTAGTTTACATTGTAGTCAATTAACTGTCAAATAGTAGATGTTATAGTCAGCATATGGAGCTAGATTCTAAGCACTTCACAATAATATACAATTGTTTAATTGCTTGACAAGCATTATGCCCAGTATTTGTGAATACGGGAAGAACTCTCACTTCGCTAAAGGTCATGGAGGACAGAACTGCTATTAGAATTTAGGATTCTTTTTCACTGAAATGTAAACTCACTTACCGCCCCACCCCCCACCCCTATATTTTATTTCAACAATAATTTGTGATAATACATTTTGCTAGGAGGTATGCCTTTAAAACTTATGAACTTAGATTACAACTGTTTTCAGATTTTTAGCTCTGTTGTAAGTTGAGACCATTAAATATCTATCCACACTTTGAATATATTTGTTTTATGTACAAAAAACTCTTCAAGAACCAGACGAAAGAACAAATTAGAAATCCTGTTCAGTTCTTTTGGCTATAAATATGCTAACACTTCTATTGACTCCCATGATGAGTTCAAAGTTAACTTCCCCGTGCTCAATCCTCTCGTTTACTCTAGATGTATTAAACTGTGTCAGTCAGATTCATATGCTTTGAACAATCTAGCAATTAGCAGGGTGGAATTTTAAAAAGCTATCCCCAAGGGTAATGAATGTTTTGGAAAGACTGACTTTAACCTTGGGGGGAGCAGGATTGGCGTGCTTATCATGAGAACAGACATCCCATGGAAGCGTCCAAACACCACATTCAATATTTTTATATGTTAGAATTATACAACTGTGGCTTGCATAACAGATTCTTGCATAAATCAAATTTTTAAAGCATTTTCTGTAATTTCTCACTGTGTGCCAAAACAAAGTGCTCTTATGTTAATGAACCAAATGCTTTTAAAAAAGGTCGCATGGCTTAAATTAACAGCCAACTGAAATGCATTATTATTTTTTATTGACTTCCATGAGCTTTGTTTGTGCCCCCACTAATAGAAGTACATATTATCTCATTAAAGATTGCTTTCTTTTAAAGACATGGACATAGTCAAGTAATAAAAGAGCTCTCCAGTGTGGTGAAGGTGCATATGCACCAAGTCAGGTTTCCAGAGCTACTATAAATCTCTGAAATTGGTAAAATGCTAACATTCAGAAGCTGGAGATACATATTGTGACATCTGGAAACATGTCGGATGGGGAAAGACAAGATTGAATGTCATTTATACTTTTAAAAAATACAAAAAACAGAAAAGATAGTCAGCCTTCTTAGATATTACTAACAGTTACAAAAAATTCAGGTAAAAATGTACTGGACAGTGTCCCTTTAATATAACATACATTTAAAATGAGGAAGAAAGTTTAAGATTACAAATAATCCATGACAACTCTTAATTTTAGAACCAGTCTGCCAAGCATTGTTGTTCACAAGTTCCATTCATTTTGCACTGGCATCTACAGAAGCCTGTAGTGCATGCCCTGGAAAAAAATGGAGGCTGAGGCTGCAAAGCAGCAGTGTTTGGTAGATCTTTCCCCAAGCCAGCCAGAAAGGTAGAATTCTTGGGCAAGTTTCACTATTGCCTTGCAAGTTTTTTACACTTGAAAAGGAATCTTGCAGACCCGCTTATTTTCAAAGCTTCTAGAGATAACCCTCTTATCTCATATTTCCAGAAATTAGAGGTTCACATGGCACCCATTTTAATCACTAGTTATATAAACTAGAGCAGTTATACACAATAACTGAAAAATGCAATTGAGTTACACCCCAATTTGCTATGTAGTTGCCATCTGTGAAACCTAGGCTACACATTTGCCTATTTTGCTAACCGTTAACGGCCTTCAACACAACCGGTCATGTTTTGAAAGCTGTTGTTTTAGAACCCCCCGAATTATCAAATCATTTAAAAGGACACACTCAGAATCTGTCATAATTAGAGTGAGTATGGCTTTGGTGAAGCCACAGGAACTAAATTTTCAAACAAACAGGCACCAAAGAAATTTCCTCATTCTACAGAACAACACTAACATTGGATTAGAAAAACAGGTGAAACAATATTAACCGAGAAGGAAGAGACTTGGGCTCAGTTCAGATGTCACAGCCAAACCATGGTCCTCAAACGAGTGGTTTTTAGTTTGGATAAAAATTATGGCTAGTAGAAACCAACATTTGCACCATTCAGCCATCACTGCAAAATACGGCACAATGGAACATGGGGAAAATGCACAAGCCTGCAAGCGGAGAAGGGAATGCATGAGCCCAGGGTGTGTTCTTGAAGGCAAAGCCATGGTTTAGTAGCGGTATCTCAATTGAGCCCTAAGTATTTCAGAACTTATTCAAGGAAACAACTTGCTCCTGCCTGTCTTCATTCTATGAAAAGGTTTTGCAGAAGCAGTGACAAATCCCTCTCTTGATTTCTGGGTTCATGGCTTACCAAGAAGGAATTGAAGAAGTTATGTTTTGGACCCTTACAAAATTCCACGTGTGTGTGCGTGTATACACTCACGCATCAGGTAGTGTGATTAAATTTTGAGATGAACAGCTCAAGGGTGGCAAAGAATTGAAAACATGATGCTTATACAGAGGTGAGTGTTTTATACATACCCATATAAAATGTAAAAAAATTACTACTTGGAAATATCCAATGCGGGGGGGGGGGGAATCTTGCAGAGGATGAAGCACAAGGCCTTGGAGACAAATTATCCCCTTCCTTCATCAAAACAGTTCGTTTTAACCAGCAGCATATGCATTAGCATTGGTTTAGTTTGGCTTGCAACTATTCAAAAATTCCCTGCTTCCATATTCTCGAGTTCCTGCCACTTCGTTCCCATGGCAACCTCCTATTTGGTGGGTGCAGGATGAAACCATAAAGATAATCTTACATATTATTTTTTTTTTAAAGTGCCAACACATTAAATGAGTGGGATCAGAGCAGCAGAAGACAAGCACCGCAGAATCTGACAGTGGTGGCAAGACATCAGACCACAGTTCGGTATTCTGAATCTTGAAGATCAAGCGTTCACGGCTTATGGCTAGACAAGTCTGACACTCGCGGAGTCTAGCCATCGGATCTAATGCCCCAACATAAAAAATAGTTTGTAGAAATTAATAATTTACACCATTTGAAACATTATTGCTTCAACAAATTCAGTCTAGTTCAGTCTAAAAATACACTGCAGTTGTGTACAACCTGGGCATGAATCAATAGATATCGAAAGTAAAATTACACATGAACTTCTCTCTTTACACTCACACGGACATAATACTCTCAAACACAGGAGGAGGGCTGCAAACAGGTACAATGGCAGCTTAATGCCAACATTCTAAAACAGTTCTGAAGACCCAAACTTGCCTTAGATTTCTCACCTAACTTACATCAGCTATTTTTATTTTTATTATTATTATTATTTCTTTTAAATTAAGGCAATGAGATGGCTACAGTTCCTAAAGTTCATTTCAGGGGAAACAAAAATATACACCTTTCTTCTTTCTGAACTTTAGGGCAGCAGCATATAATGTAGAAACTTGTATTACACAAACATGCAACGCCAGGTTGATGTAAAAAAAACAAAAACAAAACCCCCTCAAAAAAACAAGAACCCCCCCAAAAAAACCCTAAATCCACGTTAAAAAATATCATTTGGTGTTTTCTCTTCTTCTTCTTCTTCTTCTTCTTCTTCTTCTTCTTCTTCTTCTTCTCTTAATTACACACATAGTTTTCAGAGGGGGGAAAATAAAGCTTAAAATTGTTTTACAGTTCTGTATGTGTCTAAATCACACACTAAAAGGGTTTATAGTAACAGCAACAAAATTAGGAATCTGAATCGTCACTATTTGAGGCCATTTGGGACAAGGCACTGGTTATTTTGACTGTGCCCACATCTGTATACACTTGTGGAATTCTTTTCTCTCCCTCTTTCGCTCTCTCTTTTTTTGAAGATTTCAGTTTTTCTGTTTATTCTGTACAACATAAAAAGGTATGACAGACTGTGGCTAACAGACATTAGCAGAAGCTGATTTTAGAGTTGACACCTCCTATTCCACTGCACTATATAAAAACTTCCAGGCTCTCTAAAATCTTGGATGGCTGCAAAAAACCCAGAAACAGGCGTTAAAATTAAGTCAGCTTTCAGCATTTTTCAGTGCATTTTGCAGAAAGGGTCAAGGTTAGGCATACAGTTCTGGTGTTTATTTTACACAGAGGAGACCACCGACATTTGACATAAAGTCTTCTAAACTTTTGAGGAAGGCCATCTTCTGCTTACGGTCCAAAGTTGGCGGAGTGCTGCTTGCGGTAAGCTTGTTGAAGGCATCTGCTAATCGCTGGTAAATTATAGGATCTTGTTGACTTGTTAATAAGGTTTCAACTAATTCAGAATATTCTGCCTGTGAAGAAGAGAGTCTTCGTTACACGATAGAACACTGTAATTGATGTCCTTTTCATTTCATTATATATCATTTCCCAGTAAGCTTTAACCTTACAACAAGACCACCACATATGATAAAAATAACCTTTGTAAAAAAACTCCATGATCTTTTCTTTTGGGATTTATATGGACAGAACTACCTACAATGTACAGAAATTTATTCATGTATGCTATAAGATAACATACATGCTATAAGAAATCAAGATAATAAACTTTTTATAAAATAATGGAAATGTTTTCTTGAATATTTACAGATAAATTGTAAACAGATAAGAACATTGGCAGGATTATTGTAATAATCTGCAGTTATAAGAGTATATATTTAAAGAAGATGAATAAATGAGCAACTTAAGTTAATTTGGATATGCAGCGGATACTAAAAATTAATTTAAGGAACTGCAGAAAGAGGGGGGAAATGATTGTAAAATTAGTGAAATGTATAAAATTAGTGAAATGTATAAACTTGAAAAGTACAAATTATATTTGAAAAACTAGAAAAAAACCATTGTAATTGAAGAGATATCAGCACTTATATCGTGTAAATCCAAGGATTTCACATAGATCCTAGTAGTACAGTGGTCCCTCGGATTACATACGCTTCAGGTTACACACTCCGCTAACCCAGAAATAGCACCTCGGGTTAAGAACTTTGCTTCAGGATGAGAACAGAAATCGTGCTCTGGTGGCGCGGTGGCAGCAGGAGGCCCCATTAGCTAAAGTAGTGCTTCAGGTTAAGAACAGTTTCAGGTTAAGAACGGACCTTTGGAACGAATTAAGTACTTAACCCGAGGTACCACTGTATTAATAACAGCCATTCGAGGTAGGTCAAGGCTTAGGAAGAGGGTCATGTCTCAGTCCACCAGGTGAATTTAAGGCTGAGGGTAAGGTGACTTCCACTCACGCAAGAGGGAGCTTCACTCTCCCAGACACCTCTTACTTCTTCATGCATGCACAGGCCTCTTAAGATTCCTATCTATTATTAGAATTATTCTGCATGGAAATAGGTGCTGAACATTAGTGATGAGAATAAATGCAGGATCCAAAGTTACTTGTTGTTAACTTCCTAGAGGCAGTATATTCTCGACTCTGACGTAAGCTGCTTGACATTTTGAGAACCATCACAGCTGTGATCATTGGAAGTGAAGAGAATAAAAACACAGAAGCACATACCTGATGCAAACATACTAACGTGTAAAACGCTTCACCCGCTGCAGCTGTCATTTCTGTATTGTGCTTTTGCAGTACCAGCATATCAAAAACCATCTAAATTGTAATAAAATGAAGTGACTTAATAACCTTGAAATCAGTTTTGTATACATGTTGACAGCTGAAAATCAGAACCTGTACTATAGAAGCCACGAGACGTCATAGCTATTCAAGACAGCCGCAATAAACAAACTTTAAAATTGCACACAGATCTGTGAGGTGGAGGGAGGGAGTTGTTGAAATCAGCTCCTGTGAATGATTCAATGCATATCCATTGAGCCGGAGGAACTACTCCTTTATTTATTTTTATTCTGCCCTTCAGATAACTATCCCAGAGAGTTTTACAATAAATTTGGCTCCTTGAATAGATATGACCGCTTTCTTCTTTGGTTGCAAACATTATTCTACATTAAATATCAGAAGAAGGAATATTACATAGTGTGTATCCTAGCTAGCAGGACCAGTGGTCAGGGATGATGGGAGTTGTAGTCCAAAAGCAGCTGGAGACCCAACTTTTATAAACAATGCCTTAGCAGAAGTGTTGTGCAAGGCAACTCCCAATCCAGTTTTTGCACCCTAAAATTTTTGCAGAAGCTCATTTTAATAACTTGGCACAGCTCACTAGAGTTTATACCCCACACTTGGTATTCTCCTTATTTGTCATTTCTTCTACTGGAGTACAACCTTTGAGACATGTGCCAGTCGGGCAATAGTTTGAGGAACGGCACTAACACACTTTCTCCTTCCACTCATGTCTCTTTCGATTCAAGTTTCAGTTCACTTCTGATTCAGAACATGGATACTGACTTTGCTTTCTAGGGAAATAAAATGAATAGGTCCACGCCCGCAACTCACAAGACAGTTAAGATACAGAACAACCCTCTCACCTTAAGAAAGTGCCTTGTTGCTAAAAAGAGGGATGAATCGGTCTCCTGTGCTTTTGCACACTGTTCTGCTAATGGGGTCAGAGCTTCCAAGCAGAGCTGGCAAACGTCCGAACTCATTCTGATTAATCAAAGTCAAGGAATCAAAAAACATTTGCTACTGAAAACAGGAACGTGGCATCAGGAAAATATCAGCCATTAGACCTTGTAACTTGCCAACTAGCTTTAAAGAACACAAGACCATCATAGAGAATTTTGTTAAAAAATTGTCACCATTCTCCTTACAGGCACAAGTCCAGACTTACAGTGGACCAACTGAAATCAATGGGACAAGTTTTCACAACTAACTTAAGTCAACTTGATTGCCATATGTCCACTCTAAGAATGATTATATATTGGTTCAACCCTACAAAATGTTTCCAGAAAAGGTTTCTTAATCATTTTTTCTCATGGTTCAACTCAAATGCAATTAAAGAAAGGGAAGAGAGAGTTTAGCGCTCAAACATGTACATGTAAGGGGGTCAGTAGAGACACACTGGCTAAAGGCAAAGGGAGGCACAGAAGTTCACCAAAAAGGATACGACGTCATCCCTAATTCTAAGGAATACATAAGGCTTTTAAACAAGTCTTCTGGAAGCTGTGGAATTTTCTCAGGGAATATTTCACAAATAAAAGTAATTAGTTTGTAGTACTGATTACACAGCGACGGAAACTATAGGAAGGAATAGAGAAATCTTGGTTAATTAGGCTTCTTAAAATACAAACCTCTATTCTAGCACCAGATTATAAACACCAGGTTAGTCAAAAACAAAATACTATAAAATACAATATAGATGCCTTCAGTTTATACATAGTCCAGATCCTGCAGGCTAGTTCCAAATTGTTAATTCAAAACACACAGGCTACGCAAAGAAAAATAATTTTAAAAGCTATGATTTAAGAATAAAAATTGCTGAATTATGGCAGGTAGAAGTCAATTTGATGTAAAAATATTCATTTGTATTTACAGTGCTACCTTGGAAGCCGAACGCCTTGGCTCCCAAACAAATCGGCTCCCGAATGATCAAAACCCGGAAATGAGTGCTCCCGTTTTCAAACGATTTTCAGAAGCCGAACATCTTGCACGGCTTCCGATTGGCTGCAGGACACTCCTGCAGCCAATCAGAAGCTGCACTTTGGTTTTCAAACGGTTCCGGGAGTCAAAAGGACTCCCGGAATGCATTTTGTTCGAGAACCAAGGTATGTCTGTATATCCAACATTCCTCCAATGAATTCAAGGTGGTGTACACAGTCCCAGCCCCATTTTAATTTAAAGGCATTTCTGAAAAATTACAACTGGCTTCACCAAGCCAGTCCACTGAAACTCTGGGTGGACAGAACTAGCACTGGTGGGCTTCCCAGCAGCTTCAGTCTGTAGTAGGCCCCAAATGGGGTGTTCTGACGGGGTGGTAAGAGGCTGAGGCAGCTGAAAATTGAGCCTGCCCCATTGGCATTGGTCCAGATCAAAGCCTGATTGCTGTGCCAGTTCCAGGCTGCCTAGAAAAATTTGATTGTTCTGCAAGCCTCAGGCCAACATACACATGTACATATGCTTTACAAAGCTCAGAAAAAGGAGAAAGTTTCCAAGAATGGATTGGCATTCCCACCCAGGAACACAAGAGCAGGCAGCAGTGGAAAATGTACTGTTGTATTTAATGGCTTGGTGTATCTAGACTTGGGGGCTAAGAGTTTTCAGTTGCATTGTAAACCACCACCAATGTTGCATTGAACGGTACTTACTTTTAGCAAGTCTTGGGACATTAAAGGCAGAATTAGATTCACCCCATATAAGACAACGTCGGCCGCTGACACAGATCTACTTGTTGCTTGCCCAGGCTCATGTCCCCTAAATACTTCATCTAAAAGGAGAGGGGGATACAACAGCACACCTGAAATATGCCTCATTAAGACAAATACACATTCCCTTCCTGACAAGTCTGATATATAACGAGCACACACTCTGCTTAAAAATTATTATGCAGAAGCAACTGGAGTTCAGAACAGGCATTCTGGTAAGTCCATCTTGAACTTGACTCTGGCTACTGTAGCTGGTCTTAATTTTCTTTTCAGAGGCACTAAGAAGCAGAATGTTGCACACATACCAGCTCTGCATGTTCTGTGTCCACGACTTGGTACAGATGTATTTTTAAAGACTCACTATACGCAATGATGCAAAGAATAAATTGTGTAAAATTACAGAGGGTGGATCAGATTCTTCTTTGGACTCCACAATGGACAAAAGGAATCTGAAACCCAACTAGGAAAGGAAGGAAGGCAACTCTAAAATAGAAAACTGCCATCAAGTCCAGCTAGGGGATATTGAGCAATCCAACTGCATCACAGACTTAAGTTTGTGAGTTTTTTAAAAAATTGTATTTACTCTTCAATTTAAAGTTGTCTAGAAATAGATGCTTTGAATATATTTCAGAGCAAATGCCTCCTAATAATTTGGCTATAAATCTACCTTGTGGTACAACAAATCTCTTTGGTTCAAAATACAGGAAGTACAAAATCTAGGCATTACATAAATTAGCCACAACAGTTTTCTGTAAAGTTCAGTATCATGAAGTTAAAATCTATCTCTAGGAAAGCTCAGTGTAGCATCTCATATAACCTTTAATTATCTACTCAGAAAGACTTTCAAACCTTACACAGATATAAACCAGGATTTACACGTGTATGGTCCAAAGGGGGTCAGAGACAATCCTGACTCTGATATGTACAACTTTATGATACACATGTTTTCAGCACCCATGCTTACACATAGTGATGTGAGGTGAGAAACAGGTGAGAATATTCTGTGGAGAAAATTATCGAGAATTAGAATATTCTCGAGAATATTCTCTGCTAGAAAATTATCTGGAGATTATTCTCCACAAACAGTAAATTCTAATGTAAGAACCAGTTTTACAACCCACATTAAAAAATTTAGTAAATAACAAGTCAAGCTGTGATATTGCCAGTGTAAGTAATGAAAAATGATTTTTTTTAATCCAGTTACTATTCTCCTGTTTTAAATGAAAATTCCCTAATATTCTCGAGAGTATTCTCGAAAAGATTATTCTCGAGAATTTAACATCACTACTTACACATAACACTTCCATTTAAGAGATTCACGCCCTGCCTTCCAGTTTATCAGAATTCCAAGCTGACTTCCAAAATTACACAATATTAAAGTATGAAACTTTAAAAATACAAAAGGAGCAATGAATGTAACAAAAACAAAAAAGAGGAAACTGAGATCGGGGGGGGGGGGGGGATGATCTCAGTGGTCAAGTTTGTTCATATCAAAGCTGGTGGTTCATACTGAAGAAGGAATGGAGAACACACTGGCCTCCGGGAGCTGCCATTTATGCTGAGAGTTCAACAACATCTAAGGGCCACAGGTTCTCCATCTGAGCTTTAGATCAGGCATAGGCAAACTCGGCCCTCCAGAAGTTTGGGGACTACAACTCCCATCATCCCTAGCTAGCAGGACCAGTGGTCAGGGATGATGGGAATTGCAGTCTCAAAACATCTGGAGGGCCGAGTTTGCCTATGCCTGCTTTAGATACCCAAATGCCAAGAGGTAAAGTGCCCAATGCTTCCCACCCCCACTCTGAATTCTTTCTTACCTGTATCACTGAAATCTATAAATTCTTTTGAAAGTAAATTGGTAAGGAGTTCCATGATGAGAAGAAGATCCTGGTATTGGTCCTCTTCTGCTGTAACATCTATCCGCTGCCTACCTAAATTATTTTTGGAATACACTTGAAGTAGGGTCAGACAAGCTTCGTATAAATTCATGGCTTTAGACTACAAAGAAAAGAAGAGAAGGCTTAGTGGGAAATGTACGTTTGTTTCAGTAAGGACAGCCGCAAGCTTAAGAAACAGTTTCCATTACTACTTACGTTGTTCTAACACTCTCTAGGATACCGTCTTTTTTAATTATTTATTGCATTTGTCACTTTATAGAAAAAAACCAAATTTCCTGCAAGTGCGCATCCAACAATACAATAAGGAAGTCAAATCCTAGCCAATCCCATTTGAAGATGAGCACCACAGGAAAGGTTTGAAATCACACCCAAATATAACCCCAAAACTTAACCACCAAAAGCCTAGATAAAAGAAAACAACTGAAGCCTGGTGCCTAAAAACTGAGTGACGGCACGAGGTGTGTTTCCCCAGGGAGAGCATTCCACAAACAATTTCTCATTCTTCAAGAGCCATTTTCAAGTTCCTATGGGTGTAACTATCTGCCACTTACTAATAAAGTATTCAAAAATACTGTATGTGTTGTCAAGAACCAAATGCCTCCTTTTCTACTCATGTAAGACATTATGAGAATGAGTCTAGTTTATGCCCTTTCAACCTCCTCTCTTCTTCTCAAGTGCAGCTGCAACGTCAGAATCGTCCACCATTTTAGATTATCTGCAGTTTATAGTGTGTTGTGTGAATCCCTAAAGTAAAAAGCCAGCTTCAAAAACTATGGCTTAAAGTGAGCTTGTAACCACCAATCATAGTAAAGGTTAACCACATTTTGTTTGAGGCTGGACAATATGGCAAACTGCAGCAAGTCACAAATGGATGCAGAAGTATGGTATTTGCGGTGGCCACTCTTCACCCCTGGAGGCACACTCCATTGTTTCTCGAGACAGATGCCATCAGCAACACGAAGGAGAGGGAAGCATGTGAGCCTGGGAGGAAGGCTAGTCTTGTTCTTGTAATGTTAAACTATGCTAATGCTAGGTCCAAAACAGCCCATCCTGCAGGATTTTTGACTGACTGAACCAATTCCAGAGTGGTAAATACATTAAGTTTGTTGCAGCAAAAACCACAAACCTAACACCTTGAAGGCATAAAAAATTAATTGTGCCGCACTCCTTCATGGGCTAGAGACCACTTCATCAGATGCATGAAACCCAGATGCATGACAGATGTTGTATGTTTATGTGTTACACGCACACACATGTGCACACAGACTAGCAGTGTAAGAGAGAGGGCTGTTCTATTGCTCTGTAGAGGACAAATGCTCATGAGTTCAAGCCAAAACCATTCCAAATGGGCAATGGAACAGCATAGAAAAACACCTACAAATGGGCAAATACTTCTGCTAGTAAGCCAGAAACTTCCAGTCTCTAGTCAGCCCATCTGCTAACATCCCATCTGTTTGTGAACTCCATTTCAACAGCTTCATTGTCTATGGAAATTTTCTGCTGCTATATGTCCAGCCATTCAGGAATAGATTTACTGGAAAAAGAATACAAGGCAGTTCTTAAGTTTGGAAGGTAGTGGGCAGGTAGGGCCTGGAATAGCCTGAAACATGAACTAAGGGGAATTAAAAGGGCTGAGCATTGATTGCCCAAGTGCTCCAGTCTTCAGAAACTTGCACTCCAAACCCACACCCAAATTGTATATTTGCGCCGTTATTTACCTCTCCAAGATAGCATATTTGTTTATGTGCAACTTCAACAAAAACTTCTATAATGAGGTTAACAGTCTCTGGTGTATTCTTGTACACCTCCATGAGTCCAATGCAATTGGTGAGGAAGTCCATTAGAAAATTAAAGAGAATTGCTACATTGTCTATCTGCGTAGCCTCAGCGATGCCGCAAAGTGCCTCTAAGGTGGCAGTGATTTCCTGTTTCACCTCCTCCTCTTGACAAATCTGTTGGAAGTTTTCTTGGTTTATCACATTCAAGAACCGCTGCTGAAGCGGTTGAAGGACCTACGGAGGAAGAAGCAAAACAGAATGCATTGCAGTTCCATGTTAAAGCAGTAACAACAACCTCAGCTGGGGGTGTGAAATTTCTGACTTTTAACACAGCGGGAGCAGCTCTTACATTAGAGAGGCAGTACGTCTCTGAATGCCAATGGATGGGAATCGAGGGCTGTTGTGCTCGGATCTTGCTGGTGTGCTTCCTATAGGCCTCTGGTTGGCCACTGTAAGAACAGAATGCTGGACTAGATGGGCCACTAACCTGTTCCAGCAGGGCTTTTCTTGTGTCCTTACAGAGCCATGCCATTCCATAGGAGACAATCTGAAGAATAGCCACTGAAACCCTGTTCACTCTCCAACTTATTTGGAAGCCAGCCTGGCCTCCAGGAGAATTAGGGGTCTTTTGACTATAGCTCAGGAATGCCCTTTGTCAGGCTTTCAGTGCTACTTTGGTTGTTGAACGCAATCCGTTCCAGGAGTGCGTTCAACTCCCGGAACGGTTAAAAAACCAAGGCGCAGCTTCCAATTGGCGGCAGGAGCTTCCTGCACTCAATCGGAAGCCACGGACACCGCGTCAGGCATTCGACTTCCAAAAAACATTCGCAAACCAGAACACTCACTTCTGGGTTTGAGGCGTTCGGGAGCCATTTCATTGCACAGTGGTACCTCAGGTTAAGTACTTAATTCGTTCCGGAGGTCCGTACTTAACCTGAAACTGTTCTTAACCTGAAGCACCACTTTGGTTAAGGGGACCTCCTGCTGTTGCCGCGCCGCCGGAGCATGATTTCTGTTCTCATCCTGAAGCAAAGTTTTTAACCTGCAGCACTATTTCTGGGTTAGCGGAGTCTGTAACCTGAAGCATATGTAACCTGAAGCGTATGTAACCCAAGGTACCACTGTACTCTTTAGAAATGTGTCCCCGGTCGACAACCAAGCTACCACTGTATTTCCCATTTTAGTGCTGTTCTGCGAATCTGCGAAGACCATTATACCTTTAGAAGCTAGTGCTCTTGCTGTTCCTACTTATTTTTGCTGCTGGTTTTGTACTTATTACTGCTCTGCAGTAGAAAACGCTTCCCAAGCAGCTTATGGGAGATCAATAAAAACAAGGCAGTTCCTGCCCACAAGTTTACAATCTGATTCTTTCACCTACACTATCATACAAACGTTTGTCCTTCACAACTTACTTCTGATAGTTTTTTGTCCCAGTGACATCATATAATACTTGTACTGACATGCTTTCGAACTACTAGCTTGGCAGGAGTTGGGACAGAGCAAGGGGAACTCACCCCGTTACGGGGATTCAAACCACCAACCTTCCGATCGGCAAGCCCAAGAAGCTCAGTGGTTTAAACCATAGCACCACCCACGTCCCTAACTACATGATACACTAAGACTAATGTTAAAATAAGCAGGCATTTAAAGGTTTGCTTGAATTCTGTCACATGCAAAAGGAGATGGGAAGCCTGTGGTCTTCCAGGTGGTGTTGGGTCTCCCAACTCTTACCTCTGTCCAGTACTGCTGTTTGGTATCTGTGTCCATGTGAGCAAAACCTCCGAGAACTAAGGCTTTCATTAACGTTCGTTGCACAGAGCTAGACAAAAAGTGAAGAGGTGGGTTCCGCCGGGCAAACTGCTTTGCTAAGTTCCACCAGTTCTCACACTGAATCACTAAATTTGCCCTAAGAGCAGAAGGAGAATTAGACAATGTAGCTCAAAAGCGCACAGCAGTGACACAAATAAAGATTCAAAAGCCCTAAATGAGCAAGGTATACGAAGAACCCGTTTTCATCCATGCCGCGTTTGTAATTTTTAAGTGGGTTTCAATGGTGGCCTACTCCACGTGCCCCAGCCTTCCTAGATTAGGGGAGTAACCAGAGAGGTATTTTCCGCCTGGATTAGGTTGTTACAGAAAGATAAAATACACACATACAATAGCTTTATTTCCTTAAAAAACAACCCCTAAAATTATGGTAAGTATTAAAAAACCTAGCAGTTCGAAAGCACCTTCGGGTGCAAGTAGATAAATAGGGACCGCTTTCTAGCGGGAAGGTAAACGGCGTTCCGTGTGCTGCGCTGGCTTGCCAGATGCAGCTTGTCACGCTGGCCACGTGACCTGGAAGTGTCTGCGGACAGCGCTGGCTCCCGGCCTATAGAGTGAGATGAGCGCACAACCCTAGAGTCTGTCAAGACTGGCCTGTATGGGCATGGGTACCTTTACCTTTACCTTATTAAAAAACAACAATACAGTGGTATTGTTAAGAACTTAATTTGTTCTGGAGGTCCATTCTTAACCTGAAACTGTTCTTAACCTGAGGTGCCACTTTAGCTAATGGGGCCTTCTGCTGCTGCTACACCGCCGCTGCATGGTTTCTGTTCTCATGCTGAAGCAAAGTTCTTAACCCAAGGTACTACTTCTGGATTAGTGGAGTCTGTAACCTGAAGCGTCTGTAACCCGAGGTACCACTGTAATCTAAATCAGCCTTCACCATACTGGTGCCATCCAGATGTTTAGGACTACAGCTCCCATTAGGCCCAGCCAGCTGATGTTCTGGAGGGCACCAGGTGAATGAAGACTGATCAATGCACCAGGGATTCTTTCAAAAAATGACAACTATTTCCAGCAGTAGATGTGCAAAAGCGAATGCAGAGCCGGCAGTGAGATTTTTTTTTGCAGGGGGCACATCTATTTCTGTGGTCATTCTTGTTACTCTTGTGCTCCCAAATTGAGGTCTAAAAAAATGCTGATGAAACAAGCTGTGGAACTCTCTCACTAGGCCTATTTGCCTGGCATCTTCCTAACTACATCTTACAGTGTAATCCTACTTACGTCCACTCTGTATAGGACAGCAGCCTTAAGCACAAGGTGATGTCTATCCTGTTTCTTTGGGCTTTTTAACAATATCCAGTTGCATTTTATGATGCTATTTATTATCTATTAATTTGTGAACTGCCTTCCACAAGGCCTTAAAAACAACTAAAATAATTGTTACAAGCTGTAGCGGAACATAAAAAATGAACACCTAGGGCACAGACTTTTTCATCTAGCTGGGAAAGCTTGTTGAAATGAGAATGTCTTCAGCTGTTGTCTTGCTGTTAGGACTCCTTTGGGCTGCTTTATACATACTTGCATGCTCATCACTTGGTAACAGTGCACCCTGAAAGCCCTGAACCTGTGTGCTCTGAACTCACCTTGGATTTTGTTCTCAGAATGAACAGTGTAATTAAATGAGTGGCTGAATATTCCTAGCAAACACTGGTTATCCTTATTACCATCAGCTTTGACGGAGCCAAGCCAGAAGAGAGGCTTTACAAATAGCAATTTGCAAGAGAGTGGGATTTTTGGGGGTTTCGTAAACTTTCCCTCTTTATCTACAATGAACCTAACCTTTCTCAGGCACCTTGCAGCTGCTATTTATATAAACGAAAAACATCAGCTGCATTCCTGCAACTAGCTGACATCAGAATCTCAACCAAGAATGCTGGGGAAAGGCAAATCTTTTTCTTTCAGCTTGTAACATTTAGGCTTACCTCTCCCTCCTTTCTACCAACGTTACGAGCAACTGCACGGTGTCATTTGCAAGGTCCTGCTCAGAACTCCACACGGCAAGGTTGCTGATTACTTTTTCTAAGAGGTAACCCACAATCCATTGAGCGCCCTCTGTGTCAGCACCAAATGCTGTATTGAATGGCAGACTTATCTAGAAAAAAAGGGGGAGAAAGGTAATCCATATTGTACCTTGACGAGCAGCACAGAAAGCCCTCTCCCATGAAAATATGCTGACAATTTTGAATAGGCTAAGGAAGGGTTGGGTAGCCTGTGCTCCTCCATATTTTGCCCAAATATTATTCCCATAACCACTGGCTGGACCTGGTAAGAGTCCAACAACATCTCGAGGGCCAGGGATCCCCTTTCCCTGGCCGAAGGCAAATCTTTTGAGATGTGTAAGCTATACAGTACTTTGATAAGGAAATTCTCAAGCTCATTCCCTAATGCTGCCATGTTCACATGTCACAGCAGATCGTATTCCAAACACTTACGTTTTCTGTCTTGCCTAATAATTTATTTAACAAATTTTATACATCCCTTGACTGTAAGAAAACCTCTTGGTGGTTTTCAAAAATATAAAACAAAACACTGGATTTCTCCGTAAGTATGGGCTAACCACAATTTAAGGATGCTGTAATTATAACTGGAGGCACAGGATCCCTGGCAGTGCTGCATGCATATGTTTTCAAGTTAGAAACAAAGGTCTATGGTCTGATTTGAGCCCTAATCCACACATGCAACAGAATGAGGTGGTAATGGAAACTGCAGCATTTCAGGCCAAAGGTGGGGTACGCCATTTTAGGAATTTCCCCCCATATACAAACTCCCTGTGAGTAAAATTTTAGCACATCAGACAGAAAGATTCTATAATACTCACTGCTATACAGTCGTATATTGGCTCTCAAATGCCTTGCGACTCAAATGTTTTGGCTCCCGAACGCTGTAAACCCAGAAGTGAGTGTTCCAGTTTGCGAACGTTCTTTGGAAGCCAAACATTTGGCGTGACTTCTAATGGAGTGCAGGAAGCTCCTGCAGCCAATCGTAAGCCACACCTTGGTGGTCGAACGTTTTTGGAAGTCAAACGGATTTCCGGAACGGATTCTGTTCAACAACCAAGGTACGACTGTTCTAGCTTTCTACTTGCAGGCAGGTTTTTGTTTTTAGATAGAATTCAATCCTTTGCCTGCTGGTGGTCCAGTCTAATTGGATCACCTCAGAGTTCTAGCACCTCATCCCCAAGTCATGCTGCTGTATTTACTCTATTTAGAAAGAAGCAGTGAGCAAGACTAGTAATGCAAGGCAGAAGCTTAGGCCTTCCCTAGCAAATTCATCACCTGATTCACCTGGTACATCTAAATGGAGGAGGGGGGGGAATGCTTTTAGATTAAAATAGTTTTACCTGGTCATACAGTTTTTCATCTACTAGGAGATAGGTTTTTGCCCACCGCTTAAGGAACCATACAATGTCTTTTCCCATTTGCGGGCTCAGGAGGTGCGTTAAATCTGCTCTTATTGCTCGAGATTCCACTTCTGACACTCTTAGAATAGAAGACAATAACCTGAGGAAAATTAAAGACACCATGATTCTCCCCCCGTGTTCTCCTGTTTATCTATTTCCTCACCACACACACACACACAGGCTCGAAATCTTCAAAATAAGGGGTGGGGTAGACTGAGTGACATGATCAGTACTGGGATTTCTTAAGGGCTGGGTGTAATTGTTCCTGTTTGGAAGAGTATGTTCTCAAAGGATTCTCTTAGCTCCTTCATGCTCTAAATGACAGCTATGCTGCCTGCCTTGGAGACTAGTATGTGCTGAAGAGTCATCCACATTTGACCTGGGACTCAGGTTACTAGAATTATTTCCCCAAGACCCTGATAGTGCTGGGAACACACTCTAAAGTTCTTGAAGCGTCTGTTGAAAGACGTGCCAATTTTAATGTCTCAAACTGGTCCAAAGCCACACAGGGCTGTAATTTTGTAATTACTTCAATGGTAAAGTATGCAAGCCGGTGAATTAGACTAATAATAATAATAGTCATTGCTCAATGGTACAGAACGTATTTCACTGCATAATGTCCCAAGTTTAGCTCCCAGCACCCAGAATACAGGTTCTTGTGTAGCAAAACTGTGACAGATTCATGATCTTAGAAAGCTTCTTCTGCCAGGCAGAAGACAGGGCTGGGCTAGATGAGTATAAGGCGACTCTTTAGAACTCTATTTTTGTCCACAAGGTGTCTCTGCAGTGGCAACTGTACTATTTAAAGGGGAAACTGTGCTAATGGATATGTAATGAACAAACACCTAGGAAGTAACTGCAAACCCAAATGTGTTTACCATGTATTATGTGAAGTGGTTCTTAAGGATGCTTGTAGGGCTCTGGAAAGCCATTATCAATTTATTCTCAATTTTGTCTTCCAAAATACTGGAACATGGTAAATATTATTTCTGTTGCCACTTCTATACCCATCTTCCCTTACATTTATTGACCAGTGCCGTGATTCCAAGACTTGCAGTGCTTCTAAGAAAATACTCAGCCACTGCAACATCACAATACTGCAAATCACATTCCATCTCACGGCTCAATATTTCCCCCCAGCATGTATAAATATTGTCAACTTAAGGGTCACATGCGCAGCAATCAAAACATTTTATATCGTTTCTTGAAGAACATTAGCTGTCAAAAAGACCACAAGTTTAACATTAATTTGAACTGAAACAGGGGATGCTGTAAATTCAGTAGAATACACTATCACTTCCTCAAGATGAGATTTTGGAAACTGGCACTGCTCTTGTAAAAGAGAGGAAACCCTTCAAGTATTCCCCTTAAAAGTCAATTGAACTCCACATCTAAAATCCGTTTTGGAAGCACACAATTGGTTCTGTGAACTGCAGCCCTAACAGCCAATAGCTTGCAGTTGAAAAAATCTACCCCTTTCAATGACTAGAATGCATTTTGAAAACCTCATACTGACTTAAGACAGCGTACACTTGGGCCCCTGCTAAAGATAGAATTTTTATTAATTGTTTCTGCCTTGTTATGATCTATAAATATATACTTCAGTGGATAACCTGCAGGTGGCATTTCTACACATGCCCACAACTCACTCCACTTTCCATTATAAACTACTTACTTGTCAGTTCAAACACTTAGCCCCCTCCAGACTTGGTGCTTTTGTCTAGTCATAGCTGCTCTTGCGGTGAAAACTGATTTTAAATTGCAATGCAGCACTAACCTCTCCTCAAAGCAGAGAAACCTTTACAGATTTACTTCCTCCTCGACCATCAACTCTAGGTCACTACGGCAACTTGCCACGAAGCCTATTTAACACTTTTTCACCATGAGTGACATTCACAATGCTCACGTGGATTAAATAATCTAGAGTGTTAGCCCTATCTACCTCTGATTTGTTTTCAATATTTGGCATTAAAATACTAAATAAGTTACCTAATAACAGAATCGGTTCTGTTGTACCCTGGAATGGAAGAGGCCTTTTCTCCTGGAGATCCAAGAATTTGAAGCGTTGTATTGATGTCAACCTCAGTTGAATGCTTAATGGAATACTCCATTATTTCTGGAGGTATTAGCGGAGTCTCTCCCTGAGTATCATTAGCTAAGAGGTAGCCTTAAAATTAAAAGCAAACAAAACAAAAAAAGAAAGTAGTGACCTCAGGTTACCTGACCTAAATTAAGTACTGCTTTAAGGGCCATCAGAAGAGATGTTGAGAGCATTGGCATCAACATTTGACTATATTCTATCAGATGCTTAAGCTGTAACTTGCATTTACGTTACCATATTTCAGTTTTCTGCATGTGGGGACACATTCTGAAGAGTACAATGAAATATAATCACTGGGGTGGAAAGCAGCAGGCAATAGGGGGAAAAATACTTATCACTGTAAACTACCACAGCAAATGTAAACTAACTTTTTAAGTAAGTGCACAATGCAAATAACCTTCACAAATGCCAATTCGACCCTTTTTCACGTTCACTGTGCCTGCAGCAAACCTGAAACATTTCAGAAGTTCTGCAATATTGGTAGTCCGAAGAAACTGACTTTCATTTCAGAGGGAATACAAAAAGGCTAGGAGTATTTCATTAGGAAAATGCGATAAAACAACTGTAGCCCTATGGAGGAAGAACCTATATATTATGAGGAATATATAGCATGTGAATCATGCCATTCCACCTGCCCTTGAACCTGATGTCTATGCCTCCTGCAGCATTAAACTCCATTTGAATGTGATACCCAGCAGGGGGCCGTCTGGCAGATTTGAGGGGGTAGGCAAGTGCCTGATTGGCTGGTGTGGTCCAATCTCAAAACTTGGGAGGCCCTACAATTAACTCCTTGTTCAACACACCTTGCTTTGTCATCTGGTGAAAAGTTTTAGCTTTTCAAGAAGGAAGGTTTGACAAATGGCACATCAGCGAATTTTCACTGTAAGGAGTTGGAAGGAGACATTCTGTTCTTCAAATACCCTGATGGGAAGTCATTATCCATTTGTATGTTACGTACCAATACTCTTTCTCTAAAACAGGACTATTAATTCTTCAAGCGTCAGCCTGAACTTATCGTGGTGGTGGTGGGGGGTGGCAGTACACTGGAGGTAAATGTGACGTTCCGTTCATGCTTATTAAGGGGAAAGTAGTCTGCACTGTGATGAAGCTCTCGTCTCTGGAAGCTCTCTCCTCTGCTGCCCTAGCTTGGTTAATGGGTGAGGGTCTGGGATTGACATTAAGGGGAGCTGCTAGTGAAAAGTGGGCAATGGGGCTTATTTGCTGAGGGAGAACGTGTAGAAGATACTGCTGCTGCTACCTAAATTCTGGCTCCTTCAGTAGCAGCACTTTTGTTTGCCACCTTTGCATTCCCTTCCTCTTTTCAAGCTGGCTCTGGCCTCTGGAGCCACTTGCTTTAAGTAAAGCAAGAAAGCTAAATCTGGGTGGAATGAATCTCTGCCTCAGTTGGTGATGGTGGAATATGGGAAGCAGCTACGCTACAGAGTCAGACAATTGGCCCATCTATCTCACTGATGTCTGCACTGGCTGGCAGCAGCTCCCCAGGATATTAGGCAGGACTCTCTCCCAGACCTACCTGCAAATGCTAGGGATTAAGCCTGGGACTTTCTGCATACAAAACAGATGCAAACTGGCCTTGGCAGCGGCAGCTATTGCCTCCACTAGGGTTTTTTTTGCGAAGCTTTCTGTGCGTAAGTTTTATTGTCTCAGTGCTAGTGGGACTAAGCGGTGAGGCTTTCTGAACTCTGAAGGAACAGAGTCCTTTTAAGATTCCCTGAATATTTAGGGTCATCGGAAAAAGTGGGGGGAGAAACTTAAGGTTGGGGGGTTGATAGCCTGTTGAGCTGAGTTTCTACTGGAAAAGCCATTGTGGCTAGGCAGCACCATTGAGCAGGGAGAAGGAGAGAAACTGCCTCTCCACTTCCTGCCTCCTGGCTTACAACTGTAAGAGCAGCTTCATCCCAATGTAAACTGTTCTCCCTCAGCAACAGAGAATTAATGTGTTGTTTAATGGTACTATTCTTTACCCAAACCTCTTCTTCAACAGATGCACACCAGAGGCACTAAGAAACTTTTGCAAATGGAGTTATTCATTTTTTATCATTCTTTATTATATTTTATTTTATGGCCGGGGCGGGGGGGCAGGCTATGATGAGCTTCTGTCACACTTACAGAAAGCCCCTCATGGCCTCTTCCTGCTCCCTTGAGGGTGTATCATCATGTATGAACAGTGTACACGCAACTTCCATTGTTAAGCAAAAGTTACCAAAACGTCAGTCAAAGCAGCACCCACTTCCAACGGTGCAACATCAGTGGTTTTGTGTTCAAAGATTTTCTACTCACCTGTGACTAGGATGAGCCAATGAATGTCCTCGTATAGGTCATCAAGCGCTTTATTGTCAATAGAGGCGGACCCGGCTGAGCCAATTAACTGCTGATGCCTTTGCAACTGGCCATGAAGCCTCGTCACTCTGTCTTCTAATAAGCTGAGGGAAAGTATTGAGAAAACTTGATCGTAATTGCATTCACTCTGGGGGAAACCCCTGTAAGCACATTTACAAAGGACTGCCACAGTCCAGAAATGATTGAAGGCCATACCTTGTAAGAAGAGGTATACAGTGTTCGGCAGCAATTCTTCCTAACATGCCTACGCTGGCCAGCTGGTCACAGAACTGCTCTCTGTCATCCTCCTGAAGCTCACTTATTTCTTCCTCTTCTCTGGAGGCAACACCATTGGCAGTCTGACATTGAAATGAGTTAAGCAGATGTTGAGAAGAAGAAAGAAGAAGAAGAGGAGGAGGAGTTTGGATTTGATATCCCGCTTTATCACTACCCGAAGGAGTCTCAAAGCAGCTAACATTCTCCTTTTCCCTTCCTCCCCCACAACAAACACTCTGTGAGGTGAGTGGGGCTGAGAGACTTCAGAGAAGTGTGACTAGCCCAAGGTCACCCAGCAGCTGCATGTGGAGGAGCGGAGACGCGAACCCGGTTCCCCAGATTACGAATCTACCGCTCTTAGCCACTACACCACACTGGCTCTCACAGAAAGATACAACTCCCTGGCTGCTTGTTTTCCCCACCTCACCGGTACCTCAAAAACAACCCCTGGTACCTCAAAAACAAAACATAGATTCAAGAAAGTCTGGCTGGTTTCCTCACTTTCTCTTCCCACAGGTAGAGGAACTAGAAACACCACTTAAAATTGCTGAAGGCATCACAGTAAGGATGCAAAGCGTGACTTCTTTCTGAGGGCCTCTTTCAGCCCTCTTTCATTTATGCAAACCGTCAAATAATGCTCTTAAACTTCAAAGCCTCAGCTGTTTCCTGAAGAGTGCCTCTCTACTTGAGAAGCCTAGCTGCTACTTTGATATCGAACAAGCCAGCCTCTGCCATGCCAGCTGTGGCTTTTAAATGGTTACTCATGGGATGAGTGCCTCATCATGCAGAAATCTAAGAATTAACCTCTATAAACAAATTACGCTAAAATTGCCAAATTATAAATTCAATGGCTTCATTTACTAAGGATTTCTTGTACTGGCACTTATAAGCTTCTAATAGTGCTACAGTGAGCATTACCATGCTTTGTACAACACATGTAGAAACACTGAGGCACTTCAATATACTTTAAAAGGCCAACAATAGGCATTCCCTAAAACAAAAGGAATACGGCTTCTGATAGGTACTCGCTCTCAAGCAAAACTGGAAACCAAGCAAAAATTATATCCATTTTGTTCTTTAAAACACCACAGAAGCTTGCTCTCTCTTCCTGGCTTGATAACACCCTACACCATGAATTGTCAAAACGTAAAACCTTAATAATTTTGCAGTAGATTATATTTGAGATATGAAAAAACAACAACTAGATTCTGACTCTTCAGAACTTTAAATGGCAGACTAAGAAAGCTGGAGGAGGCTTAAGTCATACCGACAAGGAAAGGACTGCCCTGTTGTTGTTGTTGTTGTTGTTGCTATTTGGTTAGGCTTTTTGCTTCCGATAGGTTTAGACTTGTTTAAATTGGGAATTTTTAAAATCCATTTTTGTTGTAAGATGCCTTGGAAACAGTTACAGTGGTATATAAATTTAGGGCTCAGCTCAAACTGCAGCAGCCTTCCCCATCAGGTGCCCTCTTGATATTTTGAACTATAATCCTGTAGGCGCCAGCCAGCATCAAGAAAAGATCCCTTTTGTTTGTGGAGTTACAATTCTGGATCCAACCCATAGTCAATAGGTAAAATTACTTCTGCTATTTAGTGTGTGGTTTGTCATGGGCAGAAGACAACGGGAGCTAAACAGCAGGAAGAAAAAGCTCAGTCAAGTCCCTTTCCTTTCTCATAAATATGATTTCAGCCTCCTCTGTTAATTTTAATATTTATTTTATTGTAGGCAAACCAAAGCTTTTTAATTACTCTGCAATTCCAGACCTTCACTGCCAGCTCAAGAACTTACCAAATTCCTTGTACCATCAGGAGCAGCTAAGTGGCACTGGATGTAAGAATTAAAAACCTGAACAGCATGTTGGGTAAAGAAGCCTTTATGGAAATGTTTGTCATCTTGTACCAAAGTAAGCCAGGATTCCAAGAGCTTGTCATATGCCTCCATGTATACCATGTCGTCTTTGTCAAGCTAAGGAAACAGAAGAAAAAGACCTGTTACCCCACAAAAAGTTGCCTAAACTTTCTTCAAGTTACACTACTGTGCCTATTAATAACACAAGGACAAAGTGTTTTCAATAACACACACTCGCAGATTATCAACGCATGTACCACTCATTCCAAAAAACAGTTCATAGTTGGCACTTTCTGGAGAAAGATCCTTTTTAGTGGATCCAAGCATCTAAAACTGCAGACAGGCTGGATCCAAACAGCTGGTTGAAAAATCAACTAAGACACACCACCACCAGATGTAGCCACCTGTGCCACCTCAAATGCCATTACAGAGGGTCCCTCAAGTCTCAGAGTTGGTTTTTCAGGGATGTAGCGGGGTTGCAGCACAAATGAGGCTGCAAAAACCTGCTTTGGGAGCAGAACTCAACTTGCAGTTCTTTAGCATGTAACCCATTTCGACCGTAACAAAGTGGGTAGGTGTATTTTGATGAATATGACATCTTTTTGTTAATTCGTTTAGTTTTTTAGAAAACAAAACAAAAAAAACCCCCACCAATATATTTTGTCCCTGAAAAACATCTTTAACATTCTGAGAATAAGGAATCATTGAACACAACGCCTCCAGTCAGTCAGTCTTCCACAGTAATAAGTGTTCTCTCTTGCGGGCTCTCTCTTTTTTGCAAGTTATGAGGTCTCAAAACTCAAGGAAGTGTTTTAGCTACCTAACAAAAACTAAAAAAAACAAACTCCAGCAGCAGCTCAGAGATAAGCTTACCCAAAAGTTGTCTTATAATAAAAAAAAAAATATTCTTCCTTCTGAATTTCTTTAAAGATGATTAGAAAATGCAATCAGCTTCTTCATTGCATGGACAATGGAATTAGAATAGACTCATAGCCCTTTTCACATATTGGTCAAACTGGATATAATCAACATGCAGTGACATTGTCCTTGTTCAGTTCTTATGCCAAGTACACTCACTGGGCCGGCCTCACATACATGTCATGGAGTCCCTTGATTAAATCATTGTTGTACTACAATAAAACATGACGACCGAAGCTGCCTGTTAAATTAAATAGCCCCTCCCCTAAATGAAACTGGAAGGCCTTGTTTCCTTTTCCCAATCTCAAAATTCTTTTTTACACCCAGCTACTCCTTCCCCTTCCTCACAACCACACAGACGAGAAAAGCCTACTTATGTACCCCACCCCCAAACAAAGCACACAGCAATTTTCGAGAGATGTAACGCTTTTCCTAACTGAATTATTTCAAATGTGCTTTGTGCTAGGTGCTGTTCAATGTTATCGACTTCAGTTCATATGGCGCCACAACTTTTGGCTTGTTGCTGATCCTTGCTCTTCTCTGCACATATCAGGAGGGACTTCAGCAGTGCCATGCACAGTGGTACCTCAGAAGTCAAATGGAATCCGTTCCAGAAGTCCATTCAACTTCTAAAACGTTTGGAAACCAAGGCACGGCTTCCGATTGGCTGTAGGAAGCTCCTGCAGCCAATTGGAAGCTGTGGAAGCCGCGTCAGACGTTCAGGTTCCAAAGAACTTTCACAAACCAGAACATTAACTTCCGGGCTTGCGGTGTTTGGGAGCCAAAATGTTTGAGTCGCAAGGCATTTGGGATGACGGTACTGCACTTGGTTTTTGGAGCAAACACTCATGGGCTGCTTCTGCCTGCACCAAACTTCAGCATAGCATAACTGCTCCCCAAATCCTCCTCTAAGAACAAGAGAATGGGAGCTCTCATGTCAGACTGAGCTTTTACACTCCTGGTTCTGTGAAAGAACCTCCCTCCCTACTGTGTGAAGAACCTCGGGAGGGACACATGAGCATCTAGCCTGCCAAGTGGGACAGGGATACTTCTTAAGCAAACAGTTTGGAGGAGGCCTGTAAAAGATTACGAAGGAAACCTGACAGCACAACTCACGCCTTTTCCCAACCCATATGGAGATCTATCATGCCATTCTACTGGAATGTTGTAAATACAAAGCAAAAATTGCCTTTGTGAGCCAAAAATACATGTTCTGTTAAGTGAAACCAGAACACATGCAAAAACTAGGCTGTTCTAGTAATTCCACTATTTAAAATATCTTTAAAGAATAAGGAAACCTGAGCCACTTGAGCCTAACGCCCTGACAGCCCATAGGCTGGTCTTCCTGAAAATTTGGCCAACCCATGAAAAGGCAAACATCAACAAACAGAGCAGTTCATGGGAAACTGTCCCTTGTAATTTGCTTCCAGTCAATCAACTGCCTTTAGAAAAGTTCTGAAGGATATTAGGCTTGTTTGATAACCGTGTTGCGTCCCTCCCTGGTCATTTAATTAGAACACACGTTTAAAGACTCTTTGGGCACAAGGACATGCTGTACCAGTACGAACCTACAAGGTATTAAGAACTGTCAGTGCAGAATCCTCTGCAGGAAATCTAATACCCATCTGGTGTTTGAAATATAGCCATCTGTGCCAAAAGAAAAACCATAATCAAGAAAGCTAAATGCCACTATGACATTGCATCCAAAATTAAGCAAAAGCGAATAAATTATTCCACTAGTTGCATTCAGGATTTTGGTGACAAGATGGCTTCAGAGCCTTCGGGGAGGATGCATTATAAAAACTGGAAGAATGCAAGTGGTGGTGAACTGTTTGTGTAAGGCAGAAGATCCATTCAGCGCAAATGAACGGCAAGCAGATTCAATGATTACTTCTTTCAATAATTACTTCTTTCAGTTCAATGGTTACTTCTTTCAAGCTAGGACAAAACGCACTAGACTGCAATCAGAAGTGGTAAGGATCTAACTACACTGGGCATTGCAAGAAAACTTTATTATAAGATGAAAAGAGATTTCATATGAAGCAGAATAAAGGCTATAAAGGGCGAGAGTTTGCACTGACTAAGACCCAGAACAGAGTCTTAAGCCAATTTATGAAAAGTTGGTCTGTCAGTCTTTGGTATCATTATCATCATCATCATCATCATCATCATTATTATTATTATTAGCCACCCTTCACCCTACAGGCCCAGAGCAGCTAACAATAATTAAAACACAATGTCAAAAACAGTTTAAAGCAAATTGCAATCAAAGTATACATCTCAAGTGTCAAAAGCCATGGTAAAGAGAGGTTTCTTCAGCATTCACCAAAAGTTGCATAATCAAGGTGAAAGATGCACTTTTGTGGGGAGGAAGTTCTACAGGTTAGGCGCTGCCAGGCAGCATGTCCTCTCCCGAGTCACCACCCCCTGGGTTTCTGACCATATCTCCTGTGCACAAGCTGTCCCCCCCCCCCAATACAAACATTATTTTTGCCTGGCAATACGTCTTTACATAGCTATGAAGCACCACATTCTGCCCTGACAAATTCTACAGCCCCTGAAGTCAACTCTTCCATGAATGGCAGGGGCTATGCGTAGTGTGTGCATCTTACTTGATTATAAACTAACTGGAATCAGCTGCGGAAGCGGTGTGTCTTTTCTAGGTTATGCCAAGTGGGAAGCTTTGCAGTGAAAATAGTAAAATGGTGGGGCAGTTGCAAGAAGAACCCAGGAGGGAAGAATGAAGTCCTGTCGTATCAATTGGGTATCCTTCACAAGAATAGTTGTGACAGTTATTCATTTCCATGCTTCAGGCACAGTATTGGTGCTCAAGCTGTACTTTCCTGTAGGTGTGTCAAACTACACAGAAAAACATGAAGCGTATTCGAGGGAGACGTTTATCTGCTTAGGATTTATTGAGCTTCCTTTTCAACTACCAGTTCATAAAAGGCACAGCAGTGAACAAAGCTGTTCATGTAACAGAAGTGTCCAATTCAATCCTGCTGTTCCCAATAAAAGGCAATGATTTCATGGATGGGCATTAAAGGGATAATTTAACAAGAACTAGATTTGGTATGGTGTCATAGCAAGAAAAACACCCCAAAGCAGCCTCATTTGTTCACTCTGTGGTTCCTGTTTCCCCACGTTAAAAATATTTTCTTAATTAAAAAAAACCCAGTTATACTCTCAAGCAAAATTCAAAAGCTGCTACACTGAGGCAGGTACCTAACACACAATTTTAAAATGTAAATTCACTGCTGAAGTGCCAAGTTTTGAACTAGTACTAACTTCTCGCCTAATACTGTCTCAAAAAGTGCTCTCTAATTACCCTGTTTGCACACAGAAAGTACACTAACGCAACTCATTAGAACTATTACAAATATATTTAGCATTTGTGGGGTGGGGGTGGAGGATACATGGCAAGCTCAGCATTAACATGAACTAAAAACTTAAGATAAAAATTTTGAAGCAAGCCTTTAGGAATTCAAAGATCTGTACTCACCACTTCTTCCAAGGCAGCACTTCTCCCAAAAGAGCAAGTGAGGTGTGTGAGGCAGTTAACGAACGAAGAAAAAAGTTCATTTGGAATGGCTGTTAATATATTGCGAGGAAACACAGTGATCAAGTTGCTGATTATACTTGATATTCCCACTGCTTCAGAGTCCTCTATCTCAATTCTGTTAAGACAAAACATTTTTATTTTTTAAGAGAAAAGAGTAAATAACTCTACCGGCATAGTCAAATCAAGACCCACTGTCAAGAATCTTTTAAGTATTCCATGCCACTGTTCAAGCTGCAAAGAACTACAGGAAGCAAGTCCCTCCCTCCTCAAATTCTAGGAAGCAAACCTATTACATACCCATTGATAGTGTTGAGCAATCCCTCAATGAAGTGAGCTAAGTAATCGACTTGAGAACTTTCGTCTGGAAAAACTGGCCCATGGAGAGAGGCTAGCTGAGCTAGGCACTGCAGCGAGTCTTGTGCCATATCTGTGTCTTCTCTAATTTTTCGATGCACCTTTTTGGAAGCAAGAGGGTTAACACCACATGAGAGGCGGGGGTAGGAAATTAGACATTCTTCTACCATAGTCACATGGCTCGCAATCCTAAAGAGCACATTGCAAGTCCATGCACACTCAACACACGCTCAGAGCTTTCTCCACTGAATTTGAAATCAAGAGTCTTATTATTTCTAGGCACTTAAACCTTCCAAGCTGCCCTCTCAATATGCCAACTTCATAAGCCATATTTAATTAGTCTAAGGCAATGTTTCGCTGGGACCTACCTACATGTTGAACTGTCTATGCATGTTGAGACTTAAGAGAGAAACAGATGCCAGCCAGTCAGACATGCTGCTACTTCTAAAAACAGCAATAATGACAGCCATCTGTATTATGCTAACTATGCCTGGGCTACAGTGTCTTGCTAAAGTTAGTCGACAAGTTCAATCAAGATTATATAGATGCTTCTTTAGCAGAGGTAAACACAGAACCCGCAAGAAACCAAATATATTTTGCTTGCAGCAAAATCTTTTGATTCCGTTTTGATCCCCTCATTTCTGCGAGCAGGATCATGTCACTCTTCCTCAGGAGGTCTTCAGTAAGAAGAAATCATCTCAACAAAGTGAGCATCCATTTATTGACTGAATTTTTATGACAAAATAAGGCTGTCAAGGGAACTTACTTTACATAAACTATTGGATGCAATTAGAGCTTCTAGAATCCGACATCAAGAAATAGTCATCCAATAAGAAATATAATACTAGTAATTGAAATCTATGGATATAAATTAAATGAATGCCCATCTCAAAGTACTAAAAAAATAGAAGTGATGATAAATTAGAGTTCTCTTTGATTAAAGGAACACATTGAATTTTTAATATAATGAGATTCACTGTAGTGCTATGTTTTCTAGTTTAATCAAAGCTCCTACTGAAACACAAGCATGGCAAATAAACACTGCAAATCAGGAATTCGCCAGCACAGCAGAGATTCTGCTTTTTAGATACTTATTAAGCCATAAAAAAGCTGATAAATGTGTTAGTTACCATTTCATTTGTATGAATTTGACATCTAAAATAAATCTAAGTGTGTCTGGTAAAAAGAGTGATATAATTTGAAAATAAGTTATTTTACCAATAAAAGTGAGCCTTTGAGCCAGAGACCTCGTAACAGAGAATTACATTAGAAAGGGTTAACCTGTAAATGCAAAAACTATTTGCTTGTGGAGGTTCCCAGCTGACAGTAGCAACTGTCTGGGTTGTCTAGACAGCTGTTCACATTGTGTGCAGCTGTTAAATGGTCTGCCAGCAAGTTTTTCACCTTTTTGAAAATGCTTGAGCAAGATAAAAAAACTCACAAGTAACTATGTACACACAACAGCTAAAATTGTCAAGCAAATTAATACACTATACAAAATATTTACTAAACGTTATTTGACATCTAGACAAGAGTTTTAAATATTTCCTAGCTTTGAAACCAATACCCGCACATTCCTGCAATACACAATTTTATTCCTGGAGATAAACCTAAACTGGTTTCTTCCATGTATTTTTTTCAGGATGGTAATCTATATTCTTAAAGCATTGTCCTTTTTCCATTAATTTGCAATGATTTGGAGCCTTTAGGTAACCAATGCTGCAATCCTACAGCTACCCATTTGGGAGGAAAAGCACCACTGAACATGTCTAGATGGCTAAAGATTTCCTGAACGGAGTGCTCAAGGCACCAAAGACTGCCTCACGTGCAATGCCATGATCTCTTATATGGTAGTAAGATCTATGTAGAAGACATAAATGTGCACTGTTCACATGCAGCAAACATGCAAGACAAGATTGACGCATGTGTCCCTGGTTGCTTATGACAGCGACACACATCTTTCCTGCACGGAAACATCATCAAAGTAGGAAGTTGCCTACATGGGAAAACAGCCATTAAGCTGCATTAAGTTCTGCTATACCAAATGAGAATAGGGCCTTTCGAGATAGCAAGCAAGGATCTGTCTGCTTTTTATAATCGACCATGAATTTTTAATTAAGTGTCATTATTAGGGAATTGACTAACTTCACACTGCAACACCACTTCTTAGGCCTAAATGACACCCAGATTAAACATTATTAAAATTCATTGGAAACTTAAATGCAGTGCCTTCATTTCTGTTCACCAAACAAGATCTTAAAGCAACAACATCAGCGTGCATCTAGGCGCACATAGGCAGATTTCTGTTAACCTCTAACAAACAAACCAACAAAAACAGTGTGACCTTTAGAAATATAGCTGTTTGGCAAGTAAGAGAATTTCATTATGCAACCCTCACCTGAATTCAGAGAAGGGAGCACCAGCTTCTTTCCTACTAAGCTAGCAACAGCAAAATGGGACTTACCGTAAAGAAAAGCTCCATAACTCTGCTGTCCAGGAGGGTCTCACGCCAGGACTCTGTTGGCTTTAGCATCACATTTTGTGAGGATTCAAACATAGCTATATAATGTCTGCCTAGTTATCGGGTGTCAAGGTCAACAACAACATTCCGACTTGGCTTTAAAGAAAGAGGAAAGAAAAAAAAAGAATCCCAGATACAACAGGTCCCATTCAGAAAGAATGCAATGGAAACAAGCTTTAAGCCCCTCCACATACACAGCATAATTCATGCATGAGGGCAAGGAATAAAAGGTATTAAGGACTGGAAAAAAAGAATGCCCTAGGAATGCCAGATAACAGTTTGATCACAATGACGAGACATTCCATAGTGGCACAATCACTTTAATAACCATCCCGTTGTGACAGGAGAAAGGGAAACAAAAATGATACCACACTTGGCAGGTATGCAAACTTGAGCAAAATATTTTTCTTAAACCATTCTGAAATGTTATTGGCTGGCTTTATCACAAATCTATAACGAGCCCTTTGAAATCTGTTGATCCTGATCTTTATAACAGTCTAACAGGCTTCACAGAATTAAACGCAGTTCATCTTCAAGCTATGCAGAAGAACAAATGAAAATCCTAATATATACAGGACTGGGGCAGAGCCATCCTGCCGGGGTGGGATGGAGAGAATCCAAGGTAGAAAGAAAGAAAGAAAGAAAGAAAGAAAGAAAGAAAGAAAGAAAGAAAGAAAGAGGAAGGAAGGAAGGACTACCACTAATTTCAGTGGGTCTTATTTCCAAGTAAATGAGCTAAGGATTTCTGAATCAACGGACATCCAATGAGTTCTATGGGGCTAGAGCATCAAAATGGGAGACAGTCCTCTAAAATAAACACGGCTGAACAACCCTATCACAGAGAACTATTACAAAATATTATGAGATTTATTTCGGCAATAAAAATATACATGTAATAAAGATGTGAACATTTGCACTCAACGTTAAACCAAAGTTATAACCAACTATGAATGTTTAAGATATCTGCCAGTTATCCAATTTATTGTGTGGTTCAATTTATCGTATTTTGCCAACAGAAAAATATTCCATTCATTTTAAAGTTCCACACATAAAGCAGGAAGAAGCCATTTGTCTGAAGGGCTAAACCGCTTAACACATATTTCTTCCTAAAGATGCATTGCACAGCTTTTGGAGGGCCCCCCAAAAATGATGCATACTTGGTTAATTTCAAAACTGGAGTGGTAAATTACATTGCACATCATTCACCACCCTATCAAACAACTGGTAGGCTTTTTTTGGGGGGGGTGCTGAAAATTGAAAAACAACAACAAAGGAACCATTTCAGTGCTGTCAGAATGCAATGCCTTTGACAATTATTCGATTTAAATAAAAACCATTTGCAATAAGGGTAGGCCTTAATGTAATTCAAGAGGGTGCACACTAGCTTTTAAAGATAAAGATTTGAAAGATTCTCACAACATATCAAGTATGTATTATTATTACAAAGTGTAAATGCAGCAGTTGCTATGATCAGAACAGCGGGGCTTGTCTTCTGTATGGGCCCTTTGGCCTCCAGCACCTCCCCCCTCATTTTTTAACCTCTTATTTTTAACTTTGCTTAGGGGCGGGGGTGGGGGGTGCTGCAAAGTGCAATGTCAGTAGGACCCCAGCCTCCTGCCATCTTAATTTGCCCAGAGGCAGATTTCTGTCATAGGCCTGTGCCCCAAAGTCTTTTAAGAACCTAGCAACGCCCATGTAAATAAATAAAAACACCCAGATAAATACAAAAATATAAATAGCAGCTTCAGCATAAGTATATGTCTAACTGTATAACCACATATATTAATAAACCCCCGGTTCGGTATCCTCTTGACCCGGGAGTCTAATTCCAGCTCCTATCTAGCTCCAGTTTTGTTGTGCTGCTAATTGTTGTCTTTCTGCAGATGCTTAGTCAAATATTTTGATGCATTTGCAACAGCGAACTATGAGTGATTAGCAAAGAATGCAGCGACATAGCAAACGTAGCAGCTCCTTGGGAATAAAATTAGAATTCTGAAGCTTACATTTCCTCAAGACTGTTTGTCAAGATCAGGTGATTATTTCCCACATGTAATAAACGATCTCCAAAAGGATATAATTTGGAGGGAGAAAATTCCAGCTTAAGACCTGATTGGCTAGTGCAAGGTAACGCTGAAAGACTGAAGACATCTGAGCATTAAGGTTTTCACGCCGGCTGAATTCCTGTAGTACCTCTACTGTGAGCATGAATATCTGTCGGAGGTCGTCTTCCTGTGCAGGATAAGCAAAAACGTTTACATTTCTTTGGTTAAAATAATAAACTATCAGGATTTTTTAAAAAATAAAAAAGACATGCTCCTTAGTGTGTGTTCTATGCAATCTGAAGATTGCCTTGCACCAAGTCAGATCACTGGTCTATCTAGGGCAGGGGTGCTAACTGGATTCTAGATCGGCTGGCAGTGAGAAGACCTTTAACCAGCCGTACCTGGAAATACTAAGCACTGGCGTGCAATCAGTGGACTAGGGGGGCGAGGCTAGATCCATCTCTCCCACCACCTTCCCAAAGCCCACCACTGATGCCAAGAATTGAAGTGCATGCAAAGCACTCAGCTATGGTCCAAGTTAACAGACAGCTCTTTTCAGATGACAGGTGATCTATTGCAATGCGTGTGTGTGAAGAGGCTCATGGAGATAAGTCTTGCCTATTACCTACAAGCTCATCTACTGTGCTTATAGATACTCTGTTTACTTTTGTGTACATATCTGTAAGTGAAATAGGGATTTCCTTTATTCTATATTTCTAAGAAGAAATGTAAACCATGTGTCCTTTGTTTACCTGAAATATCCGCTTGCAGTTGCCGTGGAACTCCATGCTTAGCCCAATGTTGCTGGTTTTGCTTGAACTTGAGAACTCGCTCAACAGCGCTGTTAAAATGGAGCAGGCCAGTGTTTGCTGCAAGGATACAGGGGAAGAATTATTATTATTATTATTATTACTACTAAATTAAGTGTATGATGAAGTAAACCTCAACAATATCTGAACACAATACATCTGTTATATTACTTATTTTAAGAAAACCAATGTTAGAAACTCAGATATATAAGCTAGGGGCCAAATGGCTCCTTAAACCAAGGTTACAGTTGCCAAAATGGAATGTCTAGTTGCCAATTTGGGGCAACGGCTCTAAAGTCTTATTTTTCAAATGATGGACTGATTGTGGTTGATTCTTAGTTCAGATGACAACCTTGAGCTAGGTTAAGAGCTTTGAGAACTTAAAGAAGAAAAGTCACTTGATCCACAGGGACAGTCCATATATATATTTGCCGATTCCTTCTCTTTTTTGAAATGGTGACTGCTTCTGCTCAGGCTTCCCACTCTCCAGCTGAGCAGTTTAAGGAAGCCCCTATTGCCCTCCCAGTTCATGCGAGCCGGAGTGGTATGGGAGCTTGCTCAGTAGGGCTGGGTGATGTATCTCTGCTGCTTCTTCATCCCCTAAGGTGGGGAGGAAGAAGCAGCCGAGATAAATTCCATACATTGTGATATATCAGTCATATCACAGTATTTAGATATCACCCAGCCTACTGAAAACATTGGAAAGTCAGACAATAAATACATAGTTATATGGTCCAAGTCACTTACAGGGGCTACCAGTGAAAAAAATCTCAGTATTTTTTAAAAAATTAATTTATTAACCATCTTTCACTTGTGTCTCAAGGTGAACATACCAAACCTACCTACCCACCATAAAACAGATAAAATAGTTTTAAACGGTCTAAATAGTTTTAAAGGTCTAAAAACAATAAAAAAATGAACACCGAAGGCAGCTGGAAAAGCTTGTTGAAACAAAAATGTATTCATTTAGTTCTGGAAAGAACAGGTAGTGGGTGCCATATCTCAACAGGGGTGCAGTTCCACAGAACTGCGGCAGCTATACAGAAAATCCTGCTACAAGTTACGGTAGAGCGGTCTTGCAGAATACAGTGACCTGGTGGGTATATAAGGGATAAGGTGATCTCTCAAGTAACCTGGTCCTGAGTTATAAAAGGCCTTATATGTTATTACCTTGAACTTGCCCTGGTAGCAGATTGGCAGCCAGTGCAAATCCTCCAAACAAGGTGTTATATTCTGGCAGTAGTTTCACAGAATCATAGAGCTGCAGAGCTGGAAGGGACCCCGAGCTAAGGCCTCCAGACCAACTTCAACGGTAGACCCACACAGAGGACTCTGCAGTAATACAACCTTTAGTTGAATCCAGCCTTAAGGGTTTACTCTGCGTACAATTTAGGAACATGATGTAAGAAGAGCCTGCAGGGTCAGGCTCATGGCCCATCTAGTCCAGCATCCTGTTCTCACACAGGGGCCATCCAGATGTCTGTCAGAAACCTGGAAGCAGCACAGCAGTATTCTCGCCTCTAGCGACTGGTATTCAGAAGCACATTGCCTCTGACCACGGAGGCAGAACATAGTTGTATACCACCCTCTTTTTGGAAAATTGGGGGGGGGGGATACACAAAAGGAAAAAAAGAAAACCTAACGGCTGAGATTCCTAAATCAATAAATAAAATTCAGAATCTGGCTTTATAGAACATTTCGGCTACCTTTATACTCGAAAGAGCTACTTGTTGTCGTGGATCAGTCATAATCTTGCCAGGTTACAACACCTGGGGCTTTAAAGGTTTTTTTTGGGGGGGGGGGTTTAAGTTGGACACATATAAATTTCACATGAGAATGTGGATAGAGAGAAGTTTCTCTCTCTCAAAAGGCTAGAACTTCAATGAAGCAGAATGGTGGAAAATTCAGGAAAGACAAGACCTTTTCACACAGCATACGATGGAACAATCACAATGCGTAGTGGTGGCTACCCATATGGACACCTTTAAAAGGGAATTAGACCAACTCATAGATAAGGTTATCACTAGACATGATGGCTGTGTACTCCAAGACCAGGGGCAGCAACAGGAGAGAGGGCTGCTTCACTCATGCCCTGCTCGTGGGCCTCATCCAGGAATCTGGTTAGCCACAGTGAAAAAAACATATGCTTGACTGGATGAGGCTTTGGTATCACCGAGCAGGGCTCTTCTTATGTTCTTATTGCAAGGTTCCAAAGGCCCTATAAAAGCTAGAAGCTTTAAATATTGCATGCTCATATTAGTAGTATTTGTATTTTCCAGACAAAGGTCTGTTGCTGTTTTATCTTGGTAGCTAAACAGGTCTTGACCTGGCCAGTACCTGGATAGGAAAACCCTACCTGTGTCAATGAATTCCTCTAAAATCTGTAGTAGTGAACTTTGTTTAGTTCATCACCAAAATTTCCAGATGCACTGAAGTTCATAGATCTTTCAGACTCCATTAAAGGTGTATACTCTTGTTCCAAATGGGTCAAGCTTTACGTTTAAGGCGAACTTTCAAATACCACATGGTACCTTTGGCGATAAGTGTCACAATACCTATTTCTGCAAGGGAGAGCGATTTATAGGTCCTCTATATCATACATTAAATGTCCCATATTCCATTGTTTTGCTCTTCACAATGGTTGGGTGCACAATAGATGTCTACAACTATTGGCTTTATTCCTAGACTATTTGGAGCCAAGGTGCCAAGGATGGACAGAGGAACAGGAATTGTTAAAGGGTCATGCATGCCGGCAAGTGTCCAGGGGTTAAACGGAAATATGCACACTACCTCTGAACACCCGAAAGATTAAAGTCGTGATGATACTATTTATGCGAGGTCACGCAACAGCTGACAGTAGTGCCATCCACCCACCAACTGCGACATCTTTGTTCAGAAATGCCTCTGATGTCAGTACCTTGACCCCACAGAGAGCTAGTTATCTCAGCTAGTATACACAAAATTAACATTCTTCTTAGCTATATAAATCCCAGACAATCCAAGAAAAAAAGAAAGAAAAAGATACTTTTAGATTAAATATGCATTTAAGTGGAATTCAGTGGAAAATTACAATACTGAGTTTGGACTCCACAGCCAAAACAAACAAGCAAAAAGCTTTATTTTATTTTCTAGAAATACTTATTATTGCCTACTGCTGTAGTGCATGCAGGTTATGGCTTTGGCCCATTCATGCATTGTCCTGAATTCTGGTGTGCATGCTTCCTGATAGTCTACTACAAAAGCAAATTTCAACAAATTTAAGTGCTGGGCAGCAGGTCTCTATCCTTTCCTTATATTCTCATATACTTCAAACAATACCTGATGATTTCAGTCCTTTAATTTTTGTTAAGTCTCCATAGTAGTATTTTATATCACTATAACAGACTGGCGCAGAGGTAATATTCCTGATCTACTAACCATGGTTAGCAGATCAGTGTGCTGTCATCTCACATGTTCTTTCCTCTCCCTCCCCAATTTCTCTCTTCCTTCTGTGATTTGCTTTAACCACGCTGTGCAGCTTGGTCAGCATTGGCCCAAACAATGGTTAAAACTGGCTAGAATTGCCTGCTAACCAAAGTTTGCAAATCCACCTCGAACCCTGGTTAAGAAGAAAGATCTAACGTGTGTAACTGGAGACAGTACATTAGCTTCATACCAGTAAAGATTGTACCTCATGAAACTAGTTTGTCTCACCCACCAGAAATTTCATTAGTTCCACCACATGAACAAACTACATACCCAAACAATAACCCCATCTGACAAAATAAAATAGTTCTCTTGTTTGCAGAGTGAATTGTCTCTTAGAATAGCCTGGCACTTACCCCAGTTGGGCTTTACTACCAGGAATATACTTTATAAAAGTTTGCCATGCTTAAAAGAGACTTTCAGCTGCTCTAACAGAAGATCAATGAGAATGTGCTAAGAGAGATTAACTGGGCAATCAGACACCCAGTGGAAGAAAAGTGGTCCCAGACAATTATGATTGTTGTTTAAATTTAGGATCTAATGAACTCAACAATGCTACTTTGCAAAAAATATATAAATATATATATATATATATATACTGTTTTATTATAAGAGAAATAGTATGAATTATTTCTGCATGCTGCTGTGCTCTTACCAAAAGTGTGACTCGTGCCTTCAAAAAAGAATGTCACTTAAACTGAATGATAAAGCCAGAATGAATGTTTGAAGGGATTTCACACTTGTGTCTGGGACTGTCAATGGCATACGCGCACCGTTTTATTTGAGAGTGGTTAGGTTACAGAGGATGAAAGGGATAAGAGTTCAAAGACTGTTTAGGAAAATAGAGGGGAGAGTGCACACCTGTCCAAAACACAGAATCTGATCGGAGAATTAATTTCGGCAGCTAAAACTGTTGTGTCTCCATCAGACATGTGCATCCTAGTCCGCAGCAGGCGAAGAAGGATCGCTTTGCTTTGACCAGTTGCCTTTGCTAGTGCTTCTCAAAACAGAAAACAGTGAAATCCCTTGGGAAAACGCCTGTGTGTATGTGTGTTTTCCTCTTTATATCTAAAGCAAAGGGAGTGCTGCACTTAGGGCCAAGAGCCTTCACAGTTGTGTTATCGCAGCATCTGAAGCTAATCCTGCTGTCTTAAATCATTTTCAGACACCGCCAAGATGATTTATAGGGTGGCTGTTCTTCTGAAATGCTTCTGTGAAATCCATATTGTCATTGTTAGCTGATGTCTAAGAACGCAGGAAGTATTTGATAACACCACTCAAGAATTACTTGCAACTAATACAGCGAGAGGAAACAGGCGCAGTGAAACAAGGAAGCTCTGGAACTAAAACGGGCGTTCTGGAAGCAAACTGTTTTCTAGAAGAGCAACTTCAACAAGTAGCTTTTTATTTTAAGTCCTTGTCCTTATGCAACCTTCCTCAGATGAAAAAGTGGTAAAGACAGCTTCTCTTTTTCAGTCAATCCTGAATCATTTGTACTGTTTAGATGTTCTGGGGTTAAATCCAGCTGCTATTCAAGTCAATGAGAACCCTCACACACACTCTCTGCGCTAGCTGGGTGTTGCATGGGTGCTTTT